TTTTAAATATTTGAATTTCTTCAATAACTAATAGCATCGATTTAAATTAATAATCTACTAATAGCTACTAAATTACTTAACTTTTTTTTTTTTTTTTTAAATCTAATAACAAAATATACTGTCTATAATAATAATTAAATTAATATTTCATTTAGTTTTATATTATTTCAATTTGAAATAATTGTCGCAAAATTTTGAAAGTATTGTAAGATTTGAAAAAGCTAAACAGAAGTATTACTAATAATTTTTAAATTTTAATCAAATTTAACAAAATTCAGTCAAAATAGAATTTTTAATTAATTTTTTTAATACTTCAAATTTCTTCTTCAAAAAAAAAAAAAAGAAAAGTCAAAAATTTCAAATTTGAAAGAAGCAATATTTACAATTTTGATAAAAAATATTTTGACAAATCTCAAATTATTGTAAAATTTTTTTTTTTTGTTAATTATAACAAATTATATTAAATCTTTTCTTAAAAATCATTTTTATTTTAATTATTATTGTAATTAATTTTTTTATTGAATTTAATTTTTTTTTTTTTTTTTTGTTTTGTTTTTCTTTCTTTTTTATATTCGATATTATATTACATTTAACAAATTATATTATATTTTAATAAAACTAAATAATCCATCTAAAATTATTAGCTGTGCTAATATTAGACTGACTGAAACAACAATGAGTTATCGTTTTCGTTGTTTCATTATGAACATAACTGTTTGGTGACAAAACAGTTGACACATCTGTTGACATTTTACATCTCATCGTTATTATTTAGTTAAGAGACATAAACTGTAATAACTGAGAGAGAGAGAGAGAGAAAAAAAAAAAAGATAAAATAAAAAGAAAAAGAAATTTTGTAAAAAAAAAGTAATTAAATTATTTTAGTATTAGTAATACATTCATATTTTATTTGATTTTAATTATATTTAATTATATTTTAAATTACATTTAATTATATTAAAATGTATTTTCAAATTAAAAAATGAAAAAAAAATGCTCATAATAAGTTATTATTAAATTTACTTTTTGTATATTATATTAATATTTAATTTAAAAACAAAAAAAAAAAATTGTTTTAGAAATTTAAAAAAAAATTTATTTAAAAAATGAAAATTATAGATAATAATGAGTGTTATATAATGTTTTGATGTATATTAATTATACTTATAAATACTAACAATTTTCTTTCTTTTTTTTTTCATATTAAAATTAAATATAATTTAAAATGATTATTTATAGTTATAATTAATTTATTTTGATGGAATCTGATAAAATTATTTTTAAGTTTTTAAAATGTAATAATTAGTCTTTTTGTAATTTTAAAAATGCAAAACAAATTGCCTTTAAATTTGCGTTTTTTTTTTTAATTTTTTCAAAAAGTTTTCTGAAAAAAAATTTCGTAGCAAAAAAAGAAAAGTTATATTGACATTTTATTATTAAATTTCAAATTATCAAAATTTGATTTTATATTAATAGCGAAGTTTTTTTTTTTCTTTTGCTAATATTATCAATAAATGATAATAAATTATCAAATTAAAATAAAAAATGTAAATTCGTTGTAATATAATAAAGCTTAAGAATTTTATTTTTACAAATTTAATTTATTTTATCAAAATTTGAAGAGAAGAAAAATTACCTTTCCCATTTTGATTTTTAATTAGTTTGTTAATCAATTTATGCAGCAATAAAATATAAATTAAACTTATGATTATCAAACCTTTTATTTTAGAAATTACACTTAATCTATAATTATTTCAAAAAAAAAAAAAAAATCAAATTGTTTTTTTGAGATACAATTTAAAACTTTTTAATTAACATTTATTAGTGTTAAAATGAATGCAATTAATTTTAAGGTCAATTGAGCATTACTATATTTAATAATTTCATATCTTTAAAATATGAAAAAAAAAATTTTTTTTTTTTTAATTTTCTTTTTATCTTTTAAAATTTAATGTTTATTGTCGTAAAAGTGAAGCGCAAAAGTAAATTTAAGAATAAATGAATTGATGCTAAATGATTGACAAATGAATTTTAATTTCATTTTTCATTCGTATCATTTTGCAAATGGCTGAATAAATACTTTCATCAAATTATACTATTTTGTTTTTTTTTTTTTTTTTTCTTTTTAAATTTAAAAATAAATATATTTGATTAATCGATTTTCATTTTTAATTTTCGATTCATATCACTGATAAGTGGAAAATGTTTCAGTGTAATTCAAATGATTTAAATTGATAAATTATCCATCAGATTTTAAACAGTTATTATTATTATTACTTTAATTTTATAGTTAAATGAATTTGTCCATGAATTTATTAATTATAATTATTATAATAATCTCATAAAAATGCTTTCAAATTTTCATCAAAAAAAAATTAGCATAAGAAATTTTTTAAATTACATTTTATTATACTTATATTTAAATATTGCATTTTTTTCCATTTCTTTTTTTTCGTTAAATTTGATTCTTATAGAATTTATTTACTATAAATTTGAAAAAATTAGATTTAATTTTTTTTTTCTTCGATCTTTTGCACAAAAATATGTTTGTCAAATAAATTTTTGCATATTCAATTAATTCTTATTCAATTAATTGATTAAACATTGCCAAATAAATAAAATTATTTGGTGAATTACTAATGTTAAGAAAATAGATTAGTATTTGATTAAAATTTAATTCATTAAAGCAATTTGAAAATTTGAATAATTTTCATTTCATTTCTTTTTCATATCATTTCATTTCAGCATTATTATTATTATTAATATTATTATTATTATCATTCTCGACTTATCATTGAAATATCAATGATAACATTGATATCATTGTTTCATGAGAATTTGATAGTTGATTGAGCAACTGTTCATCAAAATTTCATTCAGATAATTCGTCAGTTATCAAAGAATTTAATATCATCGAACTATTCACTGTTTAAATTTATTATTATTAATTTATGATTTAATAAAAGTAATAAATGTTGGCAAAAATTTTTCTTTTTCTTTTTAAATGTGTTTATTTTAAAAAATTTTTATCAATTGTTTGTATTTTTTTTTTTTTTTTTTTTCAAAATATTTTATTTTCGTGAAAGGAAAAAAAAAAGAAAAAAAATTTATTTAGAAATTATAATACTTAGAAATTTGAAATAATTTTTACAACATATCATTCACTAAAAATCATTTTTTCAAATTTGATTAATAAATTATTGAATTTACTTTTGTAAATTTGTGAATTTTACTTTTAATTATCAATTGCTTCTGTAAGTTGCAAATATGCTAAATTCTATCAGTGTATTTTTATATTTTTGAAAATATTTTTGTCTGTATAATATAAATTGAAAAAGTTTTGAGAAAAGAAAAATAGTGAAACTGCAAAAAAAAAGAAAAAGAAAGTATAATAAAAGATTTGGAAATGAGTAAAATAATTAATTAACTTCCATTTTCTCACTCTCAGATTTGTTTATTTATATTAATATTAATTAATACTATACTTATATTTAATATTATATTTGCTATTTCTATTTTTTTTTAATTATTTTTATTAAACAACAATTAGAATTGAAAAGGATTGATGGAATTATTTTTTATTTATTTAATTTTTATTTATCTAACTTTTATTGTTTTTTTTTTATTTATTGTTTAACTTTTGTTTATTTACTATCATTGAATTAGCTAATAAACAATGCAAACAAAAAGTTTGTTGTTTTTTGTTGGCTTGAAATAATTAATGCTAATAATAATTGGAATGAAATGAAAGTGAAAACAAAAAAAAATTGAGAAATGAAAAGAAAAACAGAAAATTTGTTTATTGACAATTTGAAATTTAAATTGGCACTGCTTGTCATATGGAATTTTTCCACAGAAAAAAAGCTAATAGTATTATGAAAAAAAAAAAGAAAAAGGTTAGGTGTGATGGTTTAGATATAATTTTAGGATGTAAATTCTTCCTTTACCTTAATTTCTGTTAAATTTTTTACATATTCTATTGCTATTGCTTGCAGCAGATTATTTTAAATTTATTAATTCCAATACAAATTCATTATTTATTAATTATTATTCATTCTTTATCTTTATTAATCCAATTTGCATAATTATAATTACGGATAAGAAATAAAAACTGGAATATTTTATCAATTAATAATTGAATTATATTGGAATAATTTTTTTGTATGAGTTGCATTCTTTTTCTTTTTGTGCATTTCTCGTTAAAAATTAATTTTAATTAAAAATTAATTCTAATTAAAAATTAAATTGTAATGGAAAAGTCAAATAGAAGTTTCAAATAACTAAGCAATAATTGAACAATAAGTGATAATTATTAATTCAATATATATATATATATATATATATTTTGTTGCCGCTGCTGATTTATCTGAAAAACGATTTAAAATTTAATTAATGCAAAAAAAAAAAAAAAAAAAAAAAATTTACGAGCAATTATGATAAAAGTGTAAATTTAAAATTAACAAAATTTTTTATTGGATATTGTAAAGTGGAAAAAGTGAAAAGTTTTTTCACTTTTTTAGATTAATCATTATTAACAATAATTTATGCAACAAATTATTCAAAATATCATTAACTATTAATGAATCTCATCCTTTCTTTGTTTGCTTCTCTCTCCCTCTCTCTCTCTCTCTCTCTCTGTCCGTCCCTCTTTAATTTCCATTACAAATTTTTCATCGATTAAAATGGATAAAGAATTACTGCAACAATAAAACAATTAAACAACAAAATGTCACCATTAAAGCCAACAATAACACTCATTAATTGCTATTTTAACAATCAAATACTGAAAATTTTGATATTTAAAATTGTTTATTTTCAATAATAATAAATAATAGCAATAAACCAAAACGAAAAAGAATTTTGTTTTTTAATTTTTTCCTTTCAAATAAATGAAAAAAAAAAAAATTCACTTTCATATTTTTTTTTAGTTCAACAAAAAAAAAACAACTTATTATTTAAATATTTAAAAAATATTCAAATATTCACTAAATTGTTTAATATTAATTTCCAACAACAACAACAACAACAACAACAACAACAACAACAACAACAACAACAACAATAACAACAACAACAATAGCAACAACAGTAGCAATAACAACAACAATAGCAACAACAGTAACAATAACAACAACAATAGCAACAACAGTAACAATAACAACAACAATAGCAACAACAGTAGCAATAACAACAACAATAGCAACAACAGTAACAATAACAACAACAATAGCAACAACAGTAACAATAACAACAACAACAATAACAGCAATCTTATTTCTTCCTATGAAACAAAAAATTAACTTTTAACTTTTCTTTAAATTCAACAAAAGAAAAAAAAACAAACAAATAAGCAAATATTAGGAAACTTTAATGGAAGCAAATCGTTTTGCTATGACAAAGAAAAAAAATGAAAAAAGGAACAAAAAAAAAAAAAAAGGCTTAAGGCATTGGAATTTTAAATCAACTGGGATTGGAATATATTTGTCACATTGACAGATGATCAGCTATTATTTTCATTCTCCTCTCTCTCCCCCTCTCTCTCTCTCTCTCTCTCTCTCTGTCCCTCTGTCTCTCTCTCTCTTGCAAATGATAGAATGATGAAGAGATGATCAAAAAAGGTTTTATTTTCTAGAAAGTACCCACCCAAGCACTCATCCACCTACCCATAAGAACTAAATTATTCATTTCTTCATCTTTTCATTTTTTTTTTTTTTTTTCTTTGTCTTTTCATTTAGACTTTTTCATATATGCAAATTATGCAACAATTTGAATTCAAATATATTTTTCATTTCAAAATAAGAAAAAAAAAAGTGTAATAAAAAGAAAATGGAAACAAAAAAAAAAAAAAAAAAAAAAAGTGAATGAATGAATGAGTGAATTAATTAGTTAATTAACTAATTAACCAATTAATTAATTAATTAATTAACTTATCATTTGAATGCTATAATATTTGTTTTAATGAAATGAATTTTAATTATTTCATTTTAGACATATTATCATATTTCATAGTGCACTGAAATGTTATTCTTTTTGAAAAGAAAAAAAAAAAAAAAAGTGGAAAATATTTTGGTATGAAATTATAATGAAAAGAATAACGCAGAAATAAAAATAATTTCCTTTTCATTTTATAATCATAAACAAAAAAAAAAAATTTTTAATGAAACTAACTGAGTTTTAAATTTAAACTTCCTAATGACATTTCGATATGTTTGTAATTTAATTCAGTTCATATTAAATTCAAACTAAAATGCATCAGTTGATCATATTATAAATTGTTAATAACTTTTTGAAAATATTTTTTAATTTAAATTATTATTATTATTATTATGCAATTTTAAATATATCAAAATTACTTTAGTAAAAAGAAAACAGTTAAAATCAAATGTGCTACAATTAATACTCATATAAGCTAATAAATAAAGACTAGTTTAGCTTTTCGCTATAATATTTTAGCATTCATCAAAAAAAAAAAAAAAAAAAACAAACAAACAAACAAATAAATAAATAAATAAAAATAAAAATAAAATCTCATCCCAACCCACCACATCACATCATTTATCAATTTTTCATTTACATTTCTGAACAAACTACTCCTTCTTTCTCTTTAGCTTTAATTATTTATTGTTTGTCTAATTTCTTTTCAAAAATTATTTAGAAAATTACATAATTTATTGCAATATTTGTTCAATAAATATAATCATCGAATCAGTATTGGTTGATAATTAGTGCAAATAAGCAAATAAGCAAATAAGCCAGAACTTTCTTCACACCTACGATTAACTTTACTGTAGAGATAAGACTTTTTGTCTCCTAACTTTACTTTAACTTTTATTCTAAATACCCTTTTTAAACCAGCAGTGCTACCCCTTGAATGTGCCCCGCGATTTATCAGAGAGAAATTAGCTCTTATTTATGATAATAAAAAATAATTCTAATTAATTAACATAGCTATGCTTCAATATTGCATAAAACTAACAGTTATTTATAAAAAAAAAAAAGAAAGAAAAAGAGTAAAATCTATTTATCATTTAATAAGCTATCGTCTCGCTGAGTTAAAATGGATGCAAAAATTTGATAAACTATTTAATAACAAAGTAGTAGAAGAGCATATTGCTATATATATGTAAGTATATCGTATAATTTTTATTATATTAAGTAAGTATGTTGTACAATCATTTATAAAGTAAGTATAAATGTAACTTATTTTTGTAAAGTATGTATATCTGTAACTTATTTTTGTAAAGTATGTATATCTGTAACTTATTTTTGTAAAGTATGTATATCTGTAACTTATTTTTTATAAAGTAAGTAGATAATGTAATTTATTTTGTAAATTGAAATTCCTTAAAGCAAATTATTTGATTAGCAAGAAAAAAAAAATAAAAAAAAAAAAAGCATTTGGTCAGTTTGAATACTTTTCCTTTTCCTTTTACTAACTCTCATCCATCGATTAGTTGATCAACCAACTAATCGATCAATCGATCAATCAATGGGTTAATCTATATTTATCTACTGATCTATTTATTATCATCTTTTTATGCACATTTGTTTTTAAATTAGTCCAAATGTTGTTATTATTTAGTTTTTTTTTTTTTTTCTGCACACATAAAGGAAATGAAAATTTGCTTCCATTCCTTTTTTAATAATCAATTTTTCATTATTTTAATTAATTATTTAATTAATCAATTAATCAATCTATGAAATGATCAAATCATCAATCAATCAATTAAGCAATTAAATTATTGTATTTTTATTTTTATTAAACTTAACAATATATTTCATTACTATTTGATGCATTAATATTATCTTACTAATAAATAATATTTAATACAACAATTAATTTATTAAATCTTAGCAAATAAAAGAAAAGTAAATTTCTCGAATTTTAAAAGCAAAAATTTTAATTTAAAAAATTAATCATTTACACCATCTTTTCTTATCAGTTCAAATTAAGAAATGATAAGGTTACAAAAATATTACCTATCCGTGAATGAAATATTTGCCATACGTGAAAATTGCACGTCAATTATTACGTCTACGCTTTTTTTCACGTTTATATTCACTTCATAATAAATGTTTTGTTATATTTATAATTTTCACCTTTCTCTCATATTCTGCTCCTTCCTCATTTTTTCCTCTAAAATAATATTATGTCTAATTTTTCGTCCCTTTTTGCCACTACGAAAAATATTTCAAAAAAAAAAAAAAAAGAAAAAAAAGAAAAATACCACAAATTTCATTTATGTGCGCAATTGTCAGCTTTTATAGCATTTTTCCATTTATTTTTCTTATTATTCCAAAGCAAATATAAATCTGTGATACAAAAAAAAAAAAAAAAAAAAAACTTTAATTATCAAAAATAAAAACAAACAAAAATCAAAGAGAACTGATCGTATTATTATTTTGTAATTTATTTTTAATATGCTATTGTATTTATTGAATGATTTTAATTAATTACTCAGTTTTTTAACTTTACTTTTGGAAAGTATAGAAAGTTATTAGTTTAATAATAAGGACATATTTGCATAATTGTAATTGTTTACTATAAATCAGCTAATAGTTAATGAAAATTAAAGTTAATTATATTTAACTTTTTGTAATTTTATATTGCAAATAATTAAATGAATGATTGAAGCAAATAAATAATTAGCATAGATTTGTATTTTTTTTTTTTTTTTTTAGAAATCAAAATTATTATAATAAATTAAATAATCAAAATTATTAATCGTAATTTTTTGTTAAAATTTTCTTTTTCCTTAAAAATAAAAAACGATAAAACGAACATTTGTCAAATTAAAATTTGTACAAATTTTCAAATTTTATTTACTACTTAAAAAATAAATGTTAAATCAATGAATAAACCAATTTTTTTTTTTTGTCTCTTTCATACAATTTCCTTTTTCAGTTTTTTTTTTTTCTTTTTTTTGCCATATCATCGAACAATTTAGAAATTTTAAACGATACTAAATAAGAAAACGAAAAATGAAAAAAATTGGAAAACTAAAATTTATTCATTCATTTTCTTTTCTTCTGCTTAATACCTTATTGAGTGATATTTGAAAAGTTTTATTCGTTTCATTCTTTTCCAAAAAATCTTATTTTAACTTTTATATTTCTTTCTTCGACAAACAGATGCATCTTTTTTCTTTTTTCTTTTTTTTAAAGTTTTAATTTATAGAAAAATACGGATGAATTTCATAGTAAAATTGATGGATGATATTAACAAAAATATTTGTTTGGAAAAAAATAAATAAATAAAATGCACAAAAATTAGTAAACAAATAAGTAAATAACCAAATAAATCAATGAATAAATCGATAAGTAATAAATAAATATCAATTTTTTGCATCATTTTTTTCTTCTTATAACGCTGAAAAATTTTTGACTCAATTTATATTGAATGTTTACGATGCAATAAAATTCAATTTATACACAAATATTTATGGATGTATAATAAATTTAAGTTTGATTAAATTGTAACCAAATATTGGGATGAATTTTTGGAAATTTTTTTTTTTTTTTTTTCAAATAGTCTGTGGTAAATATTTAAGTAAATAAAGTAAACAACTAAGTGAGTACAAATAAATAAATATTTAATATCGATAAAATGATATGTTTTTGAAAATTGAAATGAGCAATCTATAAATTTTAATTCGATAGCGGTATGATCAGATGAAATTGCTGAAACAGTTGTTATAATGATCATTTCCTCTTGAAATGAATAATGAGTTATTGATAATTAATTTTAATTCTTATCATCTAATAAAGCATTATCAGTAGTGATATCAGTAGTGATGATTATTGATTAATAATTACTGATAACTGTTTTATAATGTATCAATAAATGTACACTCGATCAGAAATTGTAAATTGATAAAGTTAAGAAAGTAAAAGAAAAAAATTTTTATCATTTTCAAAAATAATTATTTTTTCATTTATAGATTTTTTGTTTGTGTAAAATACCAACTGACACTAATATATTATATATTAATTACTTTTAATCAGTGTTAAAATTTTCAAACTGTTTTGTTTTAAGTATCATTAAAGTGTGCATTTTAGTTTTTCTTTGCTAATTTTGTTGATAATATTGCTAATTTTAAATTAAATTTTTTTTTTTTTGGAAAATTTTTTCAAAAGAAAATTATTGTTTTTTTTTTTTTTTCTGAAAAAATTTGCAAAAGATTTTTTTTATTTTTTTTTGAAATTTGTAAAAAAATTAACAATTTTTTCAAAAATTTTAGCAAAAATTACTCATTTTTTTTTCTCATTAATTTTGAAAGCTTTCATATACTATTAGTAATAAGTAAATATGTATAAAATACCAGCTGACAACAACTTTTATAATAAATTTTAATAAAGAAAAAGCTTAGAATGTTATTAAAATTATAATTAATAAAAATTAATTTTAGCTATTAATTATTGTATGTAAATAAAATAAATTATTTACGCGTAAAAATTAGAAATTAACAAAATGACATATGTAAATATTCTTTCTTTCTTTCTTTCTTTTTAAATCTTTTATTTATTTTTTAGTTTAGACAATAAGAAGGAACGAAGCAAAAAGTGGTGCTCCAAAGATAAACAAATTCCTACTGTTTTATCTTTCCTTTACATTTATCATTCCGCTAACTGTACAACAAGTAAACAAACAAAACAAATAAACAAGCAAGCAAACAAACAAACAGACAAAAAAGGAGAAAAAAAAAAAACGAAAGAAGGAAATTCCAAAAATTAAAAAACCGTTTAACCGGATGTTACAATTGTGGTTTAATTGTTTATTAGTGCGATATTTTTATTTAATCGCATTTCAACCAATGATTGCTACTGGTAGCTATCATGAACGACGACTTTATGATGATTTAATGAAAAATTACAATAGCTTAGAGCGCCCGGTGCAAAATCATTCACAACCTGTTGTGGTCAGTTTGTTTACTTATTTATTTATTTATTTATTTTTTGAATATACAAAACAATAATACCCACATATTATTTTTTTGATTACTATTTTTTTTTTTGCATTAAATTTGGTTATCGTTTTCTTTTTTATTTTTTAGTTTTTTAATTTTTTTGTTTTTGTTTTTTAATGTGCAGACAATATTGCTTATATATTATTTGCAATTTATTTATTTGTTTATATCAATTTCAATTTATTTCTTATATTCGCAGTTCGCTTTTATTAATTTTGTTTTTAATTGTTTATATTTTATAAAAAGTTTATGGTATACATATTTTGATAAACAAATATTATCATATCATTGATATTACTATCATATTTATGTCAGTGATAATGTGAATAATAATGATAATAATTTTAGACTTTTTTCATTTAATTTATTTAGGTTTATTTAAAAGTATCATTGCAACAAATTATTGATGTTGACGAAAAGAATCAAATTGTTTATGTTAATGCATGGCTTGATTTTGTAAGTTAAATTTTTGAATAATTGCATATTACTTAATTTAAATATTTTAATTTTTAATGTATCATTGAGATGAATTTACTAAAAAACATGAAAAAGATGAAGCAAATGGCATATCAAATTTGAATTGTAATTGATTTAATTTAAAATTTAAAAATGAACAAATTAAATTATATTATATTTTCTACTTTTTAATCAATTAATTTTATTTTGAAGGCATGGAATGATTATAAACTTAGATGGGACAAAAATAAATACGGAAATATAACGGATGTTCGTTTTCCAGCTGGCAAAATTTGGAAACCAGATGTTTTACTTTATAATAGGTAGGGATGTTACTTAAAGTAATTGATTGGAAAGTGAGTTACTTTTAGTTAACAAAATAGACAACAAAAAGAAAAAAGAAATTGAAATAGTATGAAATTTATGCTAAATTATACTATGGGTCACACTTTTGTTGATTTTACATAAATGATAACACTAAGTTAAATGATATCATATCATTGTTATCAGTAAAGTTAATATACATTTTGAGTTGCACTAGTGATAACAATAAGTGCTTATCACTACTCTTGACTATTATCAAATATCAGCAAATAAGTTTATGCATAAGTTTTTGCTTTCCTTTCTTTTTTATATGGATAACCTTTTAGCTTTAACCTTTTTTACAAATTTTTAAATACAAATAATAAATCAAATATAAATTTTTTTAAATTCATATATGATATATCTATTTCTATTTTAAGATGTTTGTTTACTTTTTTATTAGAAATTATTTTTATAAATTTGTAATTAAATTTAAATTCTGCCCATTAATTAACATTTTTTTTACTTTTATTTTTCTAATTTTTCTCTGTTTTTTTTTCTTTTAAAAAAAGTAATTAAAGAAGATTTTAAAAAAAAAAAAATTTTTTTTCTTTTTATTAATAAATATGTTAAATTTATTAAAGGAATATTAATAAATACAAGCAATTACTAGTAAATACTAATACTAATATTAATAAAGTATTAATTACTACAGCGTAGATGCAAATTTTGATTCGACCTATCCAACTAATATGGTTGTTTACAATACGGGTGATATCTCATGGATTCCACCTGCTATTTTTAAAATTAGTTGTAAAATTAACATCGAATGGTTTCCGTTTGATGAGCAGCGCTGTTTCTTTAAGGTAATTTATAAGAAATTTTCATTTCATTTTTTTTTTAAATTATAATTTTCGAATAAATGTGAAACAAAAAAGAAAATATTTGATCGAAAAATTGCTCAATTTAATACTAATTTGATTTTTAATTAATCATTTTTGCTTGTTTGTAATGAATTATAGAATAATTTTTTTTGATGTTTGTAAATTATATTTTTAATTTAAAATCTTTTCAAATATTTTCTTTTTTTTTTTTTGCAATTTTAAAATGAACTAAATTTTTTTTTTCAAGTAGCACATTTTCAAATTGTGTTTTCACATAAAATAATTGGTAAAGTTGATTTCCAATTTAGTTTTTTAGCAATTTATTTAAATGTTAACTGCTTTAGTTTTCATATTAGAAATGGGAAAGGAATTTTTCTTAGATTAGCTATAATTAATTAATCTATTTAATTACTTATCTGATCATCAAAATAAATTACCAAAAATGATTAACTGTATATTACAGGTGAAATTTATCATTTATTATTTTAAAACTAATTAAGCAATCAGTAACCATCATAAAATTTATCAAATATTCTGCTAAATGATTAATAATTTATTATTTAATAAAATCCTAAAATAGCTGACTTCTTTTTTTTTTTTAGAGCGAAATTTTTTTATATCTAAATTAAATCAACTTAATTAATCCAATTATTATTTTTATTATTCTGAAATTTATTCATCTATATCATACAAATATTCTAAAATGATTAATTTATCATTTTCAAAAAATATTTTTCCCAATTTCGTTTTAATCAGTATTTCGTATTATTATATTTTCCAATAAAAATTTCATATTAGAAGCAGTTTAACTCATCATTTTTGTCTTCATTGAGTGTTTAAAGTTATACGAATAATATTTAACAATGATTTATGATTTGAATGTATATTTATCCTAAAAATCTTTTGGCATATCAGTTAAACTTAAATTCGATAAAATGAGATGAGGGTTAGGGGAAGGAAAAGGAATGGATGGTTTGCTCATCGTGAAGAAACCAATATATCATCGGTTAAGCTTTCCATTTCCCTTCATTTTCTTTTCATGCTTTTCATTTATCGAATAATAATAATAATTTATCATTATTCAAACTATTTTACAATTTCAAAATTACTAATTTTTGTATTAAGTACCACTATGTGTTTTGAAATGTTCAAAATTATTATCTTTTTAACAGGTATTTAACTTTATATCAAATATCATCATAATTGATTTGCAATTCAAAAATCATTATGCATCAGAGATGGCTTATTGATCAAAATTATAAACAATTTGTTTAAGTGTGATAATTTATTTATGATTAATAAAATATAATATTAAAAAGAATTCACTTTGTTCTTTTTTTTTTTTTTTTTTTTTTTTTTTCATTTTATGATTGATAAATTTTAATTAAAAGAATTTTTTATCACATATATAAAGAAAAAACATTCCACAAAATATCAGTTTCTTCATAAAAATCACAAATGCAAATGTAAATTTTTTCAAAAATATTTTATTTTTTTTTTGATAAATAGTATAATTAATTCAATTTTATCACATAAAATAACAAATGAATATAAAGTAAACAAATTTCAGTTTGGTTCATGGACATATGATGGTGATAAATTAGATTTACAACCTGGAAAAGGTGGTTTTGATATTTCTGAATATATGCCAAGCGGTGAATGGGCTTTACCCAGTAAGCATCAAATAATAATTTTATTTGGAAAAGAAAATAAATGATAATCTTTGAAATATAGTAGGAATAATTTATCTCAAATTTAGCCATTTTTTTTTTTCTCTTTAATTTAAAATTTAAAAGATGAAAAAAAAAAAAAAAAAAAAATTGATAATTATGCTTTCAGTGACAACTGTATCAAGAACAGTGAAATTTTATGAATGTTGTCCCGAACCATATCCTGACCTCAAATTTTATTTGCATTTAAGACGTCGTACATTATATTATGGTATTTGATATTTTAATTATATATTATCAATTTTTAAATTTTGTGAAATTTTTTTAGATTATATCAAAATTATTTGTGAAAAATAAAAAAAAAAAAAAAATTCTTCGAAATAAAAAACAGAAAAGTATATTTTGTAGAAATATTAAATTTAATTAAACTTGTAAATTTTTAGGTTTCAACTTAATAATGCCCTGCATATTAACAACAATGATGACATTACTCGGTTTCACACTGCCACCTGATGCTGGTGAAAAGATCACTTTGCGTATACTTTTTAAATATTTAAATAATTTATCAGTTTTTTTTTTTTTTTTTTGCCAAATGATTAATTATTGAATGAATCAATTATTGTTGATATATTCAGTGACATATATTATACATTAAAATGCTTTAGCTTCAATAAAATTGTTTAAGTTTTAGAAAGTATATTCGTTCTCTCAAAATTAGTTATTACTTCAATTTTTTTTTTTTTTTCTCTCGAAAAATATAACATAAAAATTATTTCTATAATAAAATAAAAGGACATAATTCATTAATTTGTGAAATTAATGCAAAGATTTATAAAATCTAAACACATATGATAGCATTTCAAAATTTTACTGTTTTAAATATTTATTTTGCTACTTGGACAAGAAATTGTGACATTAATAAATAATTTATCGATTTAACTTAAACATTACGCTTCCAAATATCGATAATAGATAATGATTAAAGGAAAAATAAAAAGTTTTATCCAATTTTTCGTATTTATAAATGATAGAAAAACTTTGAATGTAAATTTATTCTAAGTTAAATTAATCAATTTTATTGTGTTTATATTATTTAACAGTAAAATGTCAAATTTATTGTAAATGAAAATTTCAATTTATTAATATTACAATAAAAATTTTTATGCAAAAAATTAAAAAAAAAATTTTCTTTTCTTTGCAGAGATAACAGTGCTCTTATCAATATGCTTTTTCCTTAGCGTTGTATCCGAGATGTCACCACCAACCTCAGAAGCAGTGCCACTTTTAGGTTACATATTTTCATTTCAATATTTTTTCTTCTTTTTTTTTTTTTTTTACAATTTTTATTTGATAATTAGATGAAAATATACAAAGCGAATATAAATTTTTATTATTTTATTTTATATTCCAGGAAAATATGTAAATTCATGAAGGAGAGAGAGAGAGAGAGAGAGAGAGAAAAAAAAAGCTAAATTTAGTAAATAAAATAAATTATAAATTATGAGACACTTAATTTTAAAAAAGAATTTAAAAGAAGGGCTGTAAATAAAATAACCAAATTCGTTATTCTTTCTTAAATTAAACATTAAATAGATTACTTACTTAATTAATTAATTAATTAATTAAGTGAAACATAGATTAATTTCGTGTATGGTAAATGAAAAATTAATTGGAAACAAATTAATACTTATTAATATCAAACAAAATGTATCATTATTATTATTATTATTTAGTTATCAGAATTATCATTATCTTTAAGTTTTAAGTGCTTAAAAACTATCAAAAGTTATTTTCAATTAATGAAATTCTTTGATCAGATTTTTGTTATTGAGATATAATTTTAAATGAAATTGCTACAGATTGTTAAAAATTCATTCTTTTTTTGAAAATAATTTAAAATATTTTAATGTATTATTCATATATATTTTTCTAATAAAAAAATTATTTAAACATTAATTTTGCATTCTTATTTATAATAATTTTAGGAATATTCTTTTCTTGTTGTATGATCGTTGTTACGGCATCAACCGTTTTTACCGTTTATGTTTTAAACTTGCATTATCGAACATCTGAAACACATGAAATGGGTACATTGGTTAGTATTTTACAGAAAAGAAACAGAAAAAAAAATTTTTTTTGTTTTAAAAGTTTTAAAAGAAAAACAAATAATAAACAAATGACATTTTGTTTATTATATTAATTTTGACGAAGAGAAAAATGAATGAATGAATGACTGAATGAATGGAATGGAATGGAATGGAATGAATGAATGAATGGAATGGAATGAATGAATGAATGGAATGGAATGGAATGGAATGAATGAATGGAATGGAATGAATGAATGGAATGGAATGGAATGAATGAATGGAATGGAATGAATGAATGAATGAATGAATGAATGGAATGGAATGAATGAATGGAATGGAATGAATGAATGGAATGAATGAATGAATGGAATGAATGAATGAATGAATGGAATGAATGAATGAATGAATGAATGAATGAATGAATGAATGAATGAATGGAATGGAATGAATGAATGAATGGAATGGAATGGAATGAATGAATGGAATGGAATGAATGAATGGAATGGAATGAATGAATGGAATGGAATGAATGAATGGAATGGAATGGAATGAATGAATGGAATGGAATGAATGAATGGAATGGAATGAATGAATGGAATGAATGAATGAATGGAATGGAATGAATGAATGGAATGGAATGAATGAATGGAATGAATGAATGAATGGAATGAATGAATGAATGAATGGAATGAATGAATGAATGAATGAATGAATGAATGAATGAATGAATGAATGGAATGGAATGAATGAATGGAATGGAATGAATGAATGGAATGGAATGAATGAATGAATGGAATGGAATGAATGAATGGAATGGAATGAATGAATGGAATGGAATGAATGAATGGAATGGAATGAATGAATGGAATGGAATGAATGAATGGAATGGAATGAATGAATGGAATGGAATGAATGAATGGAATGGAATGGAATGAATGAATGGAATGGAATGAATGAATGAATGGAATGAATGAATGAATGGAATGAATGAATGAATGGAATGAATGAATGAATGAATGGAATGAATGAAATGAATGAATGAATGAATGAATGAATGAATGAATGAATGGAATGGAATGGAATGGAATGGAATGAATGAATGAATGGAATGGAATGAATGAATGAATGGAATGGAATGGAATGGAATGAATGAATGGAATGGAATGAATGAATGGAATGGAATGGAATGAATGAATGGAATGGAATGAATGAATGAATGAATGAATGAATGGAATGGAATGAATGAATGGAATGGAATGAATGAATGGAATGAATGAATGAATGGAATGAATGAATGAATGAATGGAATGAATGAATGAATGAATGAATGAATGAATGAATGAATGAATGAATGAATGGAATGGAATGAATGAATGGAATGGAATGAATGAATGGAATGGAATGAATGAATGGAATGGAATGAATGAATGGAATGGAATGAATGAATGGAATGGAATGAATGAATGGAATGGAATGAATGAATGGAATGGAATGAATGAATGGAATGGAATGAATGAATGGAATGGAATGAATGAATGAATGGAATGAATGAATGAATGAATGGAATGGAATGAATGAATGGAATGGAATGAATGAATGGAATGGAATGAATGAATGAATGGAATGAATGAATGAATGAATGGAATGAATGAATGAATGAATGAATGAATGAATGAATGAATGAATGAATGAATGAATGAATGAATGAATGAATGAATGAATGAATGAATGAATGAATGAATGAATGAATGAATGAATGAATGAATGAATGAATGAATGAATGAATGAATGAATGAATGAATGAATGAATGAATGAATGAAATGAATGAATGAATGAATGAATGAATGAATGAATGAATGAATGAATGAATGAATGAATGAATGAATGAATGAATGAATGAATGAATGAATGAATGAATGAATGAATGAATGAATGAATGAATGAATGAATGAATGAATGAATGAATGAATGAATGAATGAATGAATGAATGAATGAATGAATGAATGAATGAATGAATGAATGAATGAATGAATGAATGAATGAATGAATGAATGAATGAAATGAATGAATGAATGAATGAATGAATGAATGAATGAATGAATGAATGAATGAATGAATGAATGAATGAATGAATGAATGAATCGTTTATTCCTTGTAAAAATTATAATTTAAGTAAAAAAAAAAAAATATTTTTTTAAAAAATTTCCAAAAATAAACAAAATTTTTTTAATAATATCAGACAAAGACATTACTACTTTATTGGCTACCATATTTACTCCGAATAAATCGACCAGGAGTTCATCTCTCCTGGAAAGCTCTACCATCATTATTTCCATGCACAAAGCCAACAACAACAACACCACATAGTGAATCACTGATGAGAAATATTAAAGAAGCTGAGTCATGCTCAAGGTTATATATTTATTTTAATTAATTAATAAAATTTAAAAAAAAAAGAAAATTAGCTAAAAAATCAAAATATATGGTGTAAAATTTTATGAAATAAAGCATGTAAAACAAAATTTAATTTTACATTATTACTACGTTTATTATTTATTTAAGTATTGAATGTTTACTCAGATATTTAATATTTTATTTTGTTATTTAATTATTATTTTTATGCTTTCTTTAAATATTGGATATTTATTTAGGTATTTAATGTTTACCTATCATTTAATTTCTTTTGTCAAACTTATTTAAGTATTTATAATTTACGTCGTCTTTTGTTTTTTCTTTTTCTTTTTTATCACTGTAGAAATGTTGAAAAAAATAAAAAGAAAAAAATTTTTAAATTTGCATAAATTTGTTTCAGATATTTTTTCGTCAGCTTGTTCAACAAAAAAAAAAAAAAAAAAAAAAAAAAATGTTAGAGAAAATTTAGAAAGCACCAAGTTTTAATAAATTTATTTAAAAAAAAAATTATAATTGAATTTAATGAAATATTATTTTACAAAATTTTTTTTTTTTTTTTTTTTTCAGATCTAATTCAGTGGACGTTGAATGTCGAGTTTGTCAGTATATGAGTGGTATTTGCAATGGAAAGAGCCCAATTTCAACAGTATTTAATGGGCCAACATTAAGTCATACAAATAGATCCGTCGATGTTGGCCAACAGGCCACTTTGCTTATTTTACAACGAATTTATCAAGAACTGAAAGTAAATTTTGAAAATTTAACAAAATAAAGTATGGAAATATAGCACTACGATAGATTATAGTAAATTAATTTATTGATTGATACTATGATAACTATGATAATGAATGATAAAAGAACCAAATAATAATTCTTCTAAAGAAAAAGAAGAATTCATTTTTTTTTTTTTTTTTAAGAAGTAAAAGAAGTATGAAAATTAATAAGAAAATGCTACAAGAAGAAGCAGAAGAAGCAAGAATAATGTTTGTTTATAAAATAGTACGGACTACCTAAAAAAATTAATTAATTAATTAATTAATTAATCAATTAATTAATTTTTTAGATGATAACTAAACGTATGATGGATGCAGAAAAAGATGATGCAAAAGCAAATAATTGGAAATTTGCAGCAATTGTTGTTGATCGTTTATGCTTGTATATTTTTACAATATTTATTATTGCTTCATCGTGCGGAATATTGCTTTCAGCGCCATATTTCATTGCTTAATTAATTTCATTATTATTATAATTAATAAAATGATAAAAATAAAAATTATTCATTTTTAAATTTTATGCAAAATATCATTAATAATTTTATTATGATTTTATTTGGTGTTATTTAATCAAAATCATTCTAACAATATTAATACAACAAATAATTAATTTTTTTTTTCCTGTAAAGACAATAACAATCTACTGTAAAATAATAATTCAATGAATAATTATAAATTTAAATGAAATTGTAAATTTAATTATTATAAATTAAATGAAATTATAAATTTAATAATTTGTTGTAAAATTGAAATTTTTATTGTATGCAATGAAGGAAAAGTAATAATACCTTATTGCCTTAAGTAAAAATTCATCTAACAATGATGTAAATTTATTATCTTTGCTCTATTGTATTCCGCCGTAATTTTACGCTTACCGCTATTTTTTTTTTAATTTTTATAATAAAAAAGGTTGTTGTCTGATTCAAATAAAATTTTTGTTTCCTTTTTTTTTTCAGTATAAGTAATTAATTTGTAAACAATTAAAAAATATATCACTAATTAATGAAATCAGCCATAAATTATCGAAGTTAACAAAAAAAAAAGAAACTGCTTAATTCTAAATAATGAAAATATTACTATAATTATAATTATATATGCAAATGAGAGTAAGTAAATCCATAAAGTAATATTTTAACAATTCAATAGATAAAATCAATTGAAATAATATTAATATTATAATTTTAGCTTACTTTAAACATAATACAGCAATTGGAGACATAAAATTTCAATAATTCAATAGATAAAATCAATTGAAATAATTTTAGTACAATGATTTTAAAATGATTTTCTTAATATTGAAGCGTTATCTTGATTATCATTAAAGTGTGCTTAATCACTTAGCTTAGACACAACAAATCATCTTGGCAATCTAAATTCGCAGTGATCGATCGGTGTATTTATTTCTATGGAAAAATATAAGAAATTCTTTTCTTTTCTTTTCTTTATTACAAATAATAACAATAATAATAATAATAATAATAATAATAATAATAATAATAATAATAACAATAATAATAATAATAATATAGTTAAAACAATAGTAATAATAATAATAGCAACAGTATGGGAATCAAATTGATTTCAAAGTTTATTCAAACTAGGTGTAAACAATTTATAATTTTTTGTTCATATAATTTATATATGCTATTAAAAAATTTGAAATTTATAAATTTAATATATGAAAAAGAAAATGAAAAGAAATGTATTCAATATAATAGCAAATCTGATAGAATAAGTTATTATTACATTGCTATAAATTCAGCAAATACTAATATACCTAATAAAAAGAAAAAGATAATTAGAAAATTTTTTTTAACGCATTTACATATACTTTAAAAATGAAAATTCCAGAATATATTTTTGAAAAATGGATAATTTATAAAATTGAACATATTTGCGATATTTTTATTTATTTCATTTTTCACTTTCACTTTTTAATGCATCAGAAGAAACAATTGTAAAATTTTGAAAATACAAATTTATAAAATGGCGTAGCCACTTGACAGATGGATTACAATTATAATTTTAAAATAATTCATTGCTAAAATAGACCATCTTCAATTATTAACATTGTTGTTGGATGAATTTATAACAATAGTCTGATGCTAATTCCCTCATAATTTCTACAAAATATCCTGTCCAATTTGTACTTAATTGGCAGATAGTAAAAAGGAACTCAAATTGTTTCACATTTAATTCGGTAATCCGGTATTTATATATGAATAAAAATATATAAATAGGTGCATATATTATGTTCGTATATTGTTTACATAGTTAAAATTATTAAAATACTATCAAATATTCAAATTTTATTATTTTTTTTCATTTAAACTAAAATTATTAAAATACTATCAAATATTCAAATTTTATTTCTTATTTTTTTTTCATTTAAACTATTATTTTAGAAAAAAAATGCAACTTTTTCGTTTTTTTTTTTTTTTTTTTTTTAAATAATTTCTAAACAAAAATTTTATTACAAAATTTAAGCATCATTTGTAATCCATTTTTGTAAAATAACATTGCTATAAGACTTCCTAAATATATAAACATAAATTTGAAAATGAAAATTTCATTTCATTTATAGCATTTTTTTTAGTGATATTTTATTTAGTAAATCTAATGCTGGATGATTATTGTTGGAATGTTTTAAAATTAATGTATATTTCACATTTTACTTTTTATTTTATTCATCCTTTAGATTGATTAATTGTTACCACATTAAGCTTCTTTGTTTTATTTCCTATTTTTATTAAGCAATCAATTCAATTAATATTTTTCAAGTACCTAATTCAACCAATTTTACACCACCATAAAGAAATCTATAAATTCTAATATCTATTAATTAGGATGGTTAAAGCAATTTTTAAACTAATTAATTTCTATGGCATTAAATTGTATACGAAATAATCAGAATTGCTTGCTATTTACTAGAATTAAGAAAAAAAAAAAAAAAGAAAAAAGAAATTTTAAGGGCCAAAAAAGAAAAGACAAAGAGAAAATTAAAAAGTTTATTTCGAATTGAAAAGAAGATGAATTGTGTTCAAAGATTTTGTTTATTGATGCTTTATTGTTTCATTGCTGCACAAATAAATGAAGCAAATATTCAGGTAAATTTTATTTTATTTTTTTTTTTCTTTTAAAAAAAGAAAATACATTAAAAAAAGTAATAAATATTTTGAAGGAATTAGGAAGTGTTATAATTACATTCACTCAACTCGAACAATAACAACTTCTGCAGAATATATCTTATTGTATTTGCTAATACTTCTCAATACCTGTTATAAATATTCATTTTTATTAATTTATTCTTTGATGAAATTTGTAAAACAACAAAATATCAACCATTCTTTGTAGCAGTTAACAGTAACAGTTATGTTTGATCTGATTGATAGTTGATAATGATGATAATAGGTAATCACACACACACACATATAGATGGGAAGAATTATTAATTTATAATAAAAGTTTAATAATTTTTGAATTAGTTGAAAATAATTCTGCTACTAATTTTTAGAGTAATTGCTAGAATTAGAAAAGAGAATGATAAATAAATTTCTTAGTGTTAAAGCAATAAAAAATATTCCAAAATTGAGATAATTTTGTCAGTTATTTGAAACTTTTACTTTGATACCTTCAATTTGCTTTATGATGGTAAACAAAAATGTATCAAAATGTAATTCAATATCCAAAAAAAAAAAAAAAAAAGAAAGGAAAAAAGAAGCAAATACAAAGTTTTTATGAATTACATAAATTTTTGATCAATAAATAATATGATTTGAGACTAATTAATTCATTGTTTCATAAAATAAGAATTAAATACAAAAAAAAAAAAAAAAAAAATACTTAAGATTCTGTATGCTTAGGACAAAATTTTGATAAATTTGATGATAGAAACCTAAACAATATGATTTAAAACTAATTAAAACAAATAAAAACAAAGACTTCTTCATTATTTATGATTAGCATAACATTCAAATATACCGAAGGAAAGTAACGCTAAAAGTTGACAATGTTTTTTGGAAGTTTTACAGGAAGGAAATTATCACATTAATCATTTTTTGTTAATCATATAATTTAAATTACCCATTTCAAAATTTTCATTTCTCGAGAAACAATGATGAATGTTTTTTCCTCTTCCATTTTTCCTAATCAATGCAAAAAAAATTTATTATTGTTTCAGAAGAGTACAAATGGCAATGGAACAAAACTTACAGAACTTACCGACGACATTAAATTGTACCTGAAAAAACTCTATGAATTAAATGATCAATTTCCAGGAGAAATTATTAAAGGTAAGGATAAAATTGATGAGATTGAACAAAATGCTCGAAAAATAATCGAAGCAATCAATCATATACGAAATAGTTGGAATGTTGAAGACTATGAGAGAAATATGGCAATAATTTGTGGAATGTCATAAAATGATCAAATGAAAAGGAAAAATTCAAAAAGTCTCATAAATTTTCTCACGTACATTCATTTTTTATATTTAAATAATTATTTCTTCATATTTTATGCTGTAATTATCATTTTATGAGTAAATGTAAGAATAAAAAAATCTTTCCATAAAGTTAGATTGAAGCAAAATTAAATCTTAAATTATTATGCTATAGAAAGAAAAAAAAAAAAGAATGAAAGAAAAAGTGATTCCCTTGCTGCAAAAAAAGAAAATTATTTTATCGATTAGAACGAATAAACAGAAATTCCATTACTTATGAATAGCATAACACATTCAATAATTTACTATTCAAATTGTATGTGTCAAATAATATTACTTTCTTTTTCTCTTGTAAATTATGTGGATAAATAGGGTAAAATCTTAACAAAAATTATATGAACCTTTCCGGAACTTTCGATACATTACAGTTGCACCATTTCAGCAAATGTGCTACCATCTGCTGTAAAGTTGTGCTACCAATATTATGAAATATTATTTTATTACCAAAAGCTTAACTAACTCATTTTCTAGGTTTAATTAATTAACCAATGTTCAAGTATCACATCTAGAATTCAATTATAAAGTTATATTTGAAAAAATCACTATCTCTACGAATTTGAACTTCTCCTTTTCATGAATAAATTAGCTAGTGTCCGTCTGTTTTAAAATGGTAGAAAAAAGGAAGAAAATAAATGAACAATTATTTACGAATAACGATAAAATTTTATTTTCATTCAACAAAGATAATAAATATGAGCTTTGCTTTACAAATAAGATTGGAATAGTAAATCAGCCATTTGTTGCAAAACACGTCAACTTGGCTTTATTTACTATGAAAACATTGATTCTGTGACATTCACTTAGTGAAATGATTATTTTATTATATAATATTACATGACCATTAAACAGCCAAAAAAACGAAGATATGCAAAAATCATACCTAACACCAAAATTTTACAGAAATTTTAGAAAAACTTTTTAATGAAACCATTACCTTATTTCATGTCAATAAAAAGAAAAAAAAAACCATAACTTAGATAATTCATTCAGAAACAAGAAACATATGCGATTCACAATTATAATGGTCAAATTTATAAGAGTTAATTAAATTTTTACTGCATTTATTGAATTAGTCTTCGTTTCTATCGCTGTTCTCCGCTCACGTTTCTTCAAGTTATCCATATTTGCTTTTAAAATACCAGCATATGCCAACTGGAATTTATTCACTTCTTTAGCATGAACCTGCAAGACAATAAATGGATAAATAAATATTAATATACATAGTTCCCCTTTACATTTCGGTGAATTCTAGTATCTTCAATAGTTTTAAAATTACATCAACTAAAATAGAGAAAATTTATATCAAGAATTTTTAAAAAAAATGAATAAGCAACAATAAATTGGACTATTTGTACTACACATATTTGTAAAATTCATCTCCTCACAAAAACAGCAAAGTCAATGTTCCTAATCATTCCTTTATCCTCACCACAGTACTAATTTTCCTATCACCAAATTTTGCTCGAAACAGACAAAGATCTTCGCCTTTCAACGATTGTTGCGCTTCATTTCTTGGATAAGGTTTCGTCCTTCCATCATCTGAAGACAACTAATTAAAACATTAATGAATAAGTAAATATGGACAAGTAAATTGATAAAATTAATTGCAAAACACTAACACACTAATAGTAACTTATTCAAGTAAGGTAGATAAAATTTTGTTACGTAGTTTAAGCCACTTTTCAACTGTTTTTATCATCAAAAAGTATATATTAAAACAATTTTATAAATGCAAGTTCAGTTGTACACGAAAACATTTATCGATCAGCACATCTAGAAACAAGGATCTAAAATTTCATCAAACAAACAGTACAATTACTTACAATGCTTCAGCGTGATAGTTATCGTATGTTGAGTGGAAGTTCGACATTTCTGAAATAATTTTGCTAATTCTACCAGGAAATGATCATTGTCCAATAAAGTCATCTGTAATTTTTAAACTTGTATTTAAAAAAAAAGAAAATTATAGTACTTAAAGAGGATAACACAAGCTAGGTTGACATAACTCCTTAAAGTCGCAACACAACTTTAGAGTATATCAAATAGAAACACACGATGTGCTTGTGACTAAATTTATATTCTCTTAAATGATCTAATGTCACCCGATTATATCAGTAAAAATTACACTACCTTCATACCTTTCTTTATTTGTAATTCTTGAAATTAAAAAAAAAAATTTCAATAGCAATCTAAATATGAACTTTCCTCAAACAAACAATAACAAAATAAGTATGCAATTCTATATATTACAATTATACATCGATTAAAATGAAACTTTCAGTAAACAAAAACGTACAAAAATGTATCATACATATATAAATAAATCATATTTTGTAATTGCTAATTAATTAAGTACTAATTGCTAATTAATTAAGCACTAATCTAATTAATTAAGCACTAATTAAACATTTAATGCACAATCGCACAATAATACCAATTGTTGGAGAAAAGAAACAAAAATCTGACCACAGCCAATTCCATTGCATGCAGTAACTAACATTACTCTCAATCACTGAATTCAATAGCAAATGATTATTTCCGCATTCTCTCACTCTCTGCCACAATATATTTCGCGCATCTCATCCGACTCTAATTTCTCTCGCGTTGAAATTATGTCTAAAAGAAACGAAGAAAAGCACAACCTCTTCGCAAATTTCTTAGTAAGTCTTGCGCACTCTCAAATGGTCACACTATAATAACAAAGTTTCTTTAAAATTTTATTTTATTATTATTACTGACCAAACGCAACATGACCATCCCTCCCAAAAAAATGCATATAAAACAATCAATAAAATTGAAAATATCTGTTTTTTTTTTTTTTTTTTTTAAATGAAGTTATGTTTTTAAATAGTATTAGCATTAAATGGAAACAAAATTTGACATTGTTAGGGCCTATTTCCTAGTTTAACATACAAAAAAATCTCAAAAATTGTAATATTTTCAAAAAATGCAAAATTTAAATTTTTTTTAAAATTTTAATTTTAATTGTAAAAATGAATTTGAGCCATGACCAATTAAAAAATTTATTTATTTTGCTACTGAAACATTGTTAAAACTTTAATGATAAAGTTTTTTGTAAAATTTTATTTCATTCTTATTACTGTGAAATGATAACTTGAATAACTTGATACTGATAAAAAAGATTGTAAAAAAATGCTTTATTTTTTTCTTCTTTAACAAACTTTTCCAATTTCCTGACCAAAATTGGTTGTTAAATTAATTTAAATTGATTAACAAGTCTTGCAACATAGTTTGTAATTTCTAGAAGACTGAATTAGCTTACTGAAAAGTGGAACGAAAAAAAAAAAATTCATGAAAATCTGTGAAATAGTTTATTTTTTACTTTCTTAGATTTATGGTAAATGTTTGGTGCAAATATTCAATTTTTGTAAATAATTGGTGATGATATTGATAATCACATAAAGACTGAACGAATAACTTTGTAAATTCCTTTTCAAACAATTTTTGTTTTTACAATTTAAGATTTTTGCGAGATATTTTGCAATCATTGCTGCTTTTAGCTTCCAGCTGTAAAAAAAAAAAAATGATGAATCTATGAAATTGGTTAATAATTTTTCGAATTATAAATTCTGATAATTTAAAAACTAATCAATGCTACTATCATTGTGTTTTATCATAAAAGTAATGGCTCATTTGAATTTTCTAAACATTTTAAGCATATCTCATTTAAACATGAAATGTGACATAAGTGTCATCTTGTAAGGAATTAATTTGGTGTAATGAAAACATACCTTCCTTTTTACAAATGAAATAATTAACTTTTTTATTGCAAACAGTTGCTTGCAATTGAGCACCTTCAAAAGGTTTTCCCTGCAGTTTTATTTGCTCATCTGAAAAAAACTAATTAAAAGAGAAATTTTTTATCTTTGTAATAGGAAATATTAATTTGTCAAAGACATTTTCTGTATATTTGTAGAGAAATTTTTTTTTTTTTTTTTGATTGAAAGTTTATTTTACATTAGTAAAAAATATTTTATAGTTAGTTATAAAATTCAAAAGATTTCTCAACATTTAATTTAAATTTCAAGCTTAAAATAGCATTTAATAACACTTAATTTAATTACAGTAATGTAACGTTGCTTTAATTAAAACAATATACTATCTGCTTCAAGGCTTCTGTAATGAAACTAATTTTAGGAACTATCTATTCAGTAGAAGACAAAACGCCGAATAATCACTGATCATCCATCCTATCTTTATTTCAAATTTAATAGTCATTTAATTCATTTACTTCATTATTACTCCTTAAATAAACTATTTTAATCTTTTATCCTAACGTTATGTGCAAGAGTTCATTCATTCATTCATTCAGGAATAAAACAAATCCAAAACGTGTAATATCGCTACGTGAGTTGTAAATACGTAGGTTGTAAATACGTGAGTTGTAAATACGTAGGTTGTAAATACGTGAGTTGTAAATACGTAGGTTGTAAATACGTGAGTTGTAAATACGTAGGTTGTAAATACGTGAGTTGTAAATACGTGAGTTGTAAATACGTAGGTTGTAAATACGTGAGTTGTAAATACGTAGGTTGTAAATACGTGAGTTGTAAATACGTGAGTTGCAAATACGTAAATACTAAAAACAATTTTTACAGTTAATTTTGTTGTCAATATCCAGTTGCAAACAACATTCGGCATCACTTGAAGTAGTTGCATCAGGGAAGGGAATATTTTCTGCTGAAATGTCACCTTCCATTGTGCGCCATTCAGGTGGATCGGTACTACAGCGCGTATAGCCTAGCAACAGTGAGCGATCAAACGTATTAGGTGCCAATGTATCGGCAAGACCTCAAATAATAATTATTTCAGCTAGACATATCTATCATAATTAGTTCAAATTAATTAACTTTCATAAAAAAAATCTGAAAAAGATGAATAAATTTGTAAACATTGAAGTAATTTCTAAAATATTCCATCTTAATTAATTGTAATAATCATTCAATCCAATTAATAATAGACTTTGTAATTTTTTTGTATACTTATTAAAAGTAGCAGAAAAAAAGTAAGACATATAAGCAAAAAGATATACACAAAATCTTCAAGAGTAATGACTTACGTGTAACGTAGGACCATTCACCGATATTATTGATTGTTACCAATTGAGCTTTCTTCTCCCTGCAGATATTTCGAGCATTTCGAGCTGATGTCCGATACTGAAAATGTTTGAGTCATATGATGTCATATTCAGGAATGCTAATGTCCAGATAGCAATGTATTCCTGTCCTTTTTGTAGTGAAGGTTGCATTTGATAAAAACTTTGTGATAATCACTAATCAGTTATATTATAACTAATGATAAGTTAATGTAATGATTACGCGATGGACAAAGTAGCAGTTGACATGAGTTCCGTGATCTGCTTTAAACCAACCATTACAACCATAATTAGTCATTACTGGTTTTGCTAAAAGTTTTAATTAACTCATTATTTTAACCGTCTCACAGTAAAGTAATATAATAACTACAAGATCACATTGAATGTTTGTTGATCTTGGCGATCGGTTAATTAATTAATGATTAATTTCTTTTTTTTTTTTTTTTTTGAAAATTATTTGGCATTTTCTGATAATAAGTTATTTTTATATCATAATATATCAAAATATGAAATAAAAAAAAATTGTCACAGGTTATGATATCAATGTTCAATACATCAAAGTTGACAAAGCTGTAAAAAAGAACTTTTTGCTTAAATTATTGATAATATTTTTACATTCAAAATATTGTAGATATGGCAGTTTAAATGAACAATTTTTTGAATTCATCTATCGTTTTAATATTTTATTTCAAAAAAAAATAGGTGAAAAAATCTAATTATAAAGAAGCAATTTTTTATTGAATGAAAAAAATTTATTTATTTTTATTTTTGATAGAAAAGATTTGTTTCAACTGAAATAAATTACTATTAGGTTATTGAGAAATCTTGCTTAATAGTTTCTATTTTTCTTTTTACAATATTGATTAAATCAATTTAAATGCTAAAATTTGATTTGTTACTTCGTGTAGATATGTTATGTATTTTGAAAATATAACACTTATTGAAGAACAATTTTATAATCAAAAATTTTCAATTTGAATTGAAATATTTCTTTTCTAAAATGGAAATTCATATCAAATTTACCTTTGTATTGGCACCAAAGTGTAGTAAAAGAATCACAATTTTTAAATTGAATTTCACCCTAAAATTAAAAATATTGAAATTTCTTTTCAAGAATTGAAAATTTGAAAATATATTGCCATCACATACATACACAAAAAGATGAGCAGTTTAGGTAATACTTAAAACCTTTAAAAGATTCCAGGCGCAAGATTTATCGGGCGCATTAGACATGGCATTAGTAATTGTTTCTCCCAATTTTCGTAAATCATTGCCAGAATGATCGTATGGTGCTTTTCCTTCAATAAATATATCTAACATTCCTTCTAGCTCTTCCGAAGTTGCAAATGCTGAAATATTTTACTAACAAAAATTTGAAAATATGAGCGATTCTTTCTATTTATCATAACTATTTATAATATAGAAAATATTTTTACAATGCAAATTTTCTTTTATTTATTTATTTCAATTCCATTTTATTTATTTATTTATTAATTTTTTTTATATTCGTAATATAAAAAAGAAAAGTAATTGAAAGGAATATCAGTGCTTTATTTATTTTTTTTTTTTTTTAACTCTTTAGCTAAGAAAAATAAACTGTAATGAATCGCTTTCAATTATAATATTTTTACTTGAAAAACTTTTGACAGAAATGAGAAAATGAAATTTTAAATTAGCAATTGACAAACTGAGGAAATTTTTCAATTCCCTTTTGTCGTCGGGTCGAAAAATTGTTGCAGTGGTGGATCCATTGCCAAACATATGTGAACATGCATTTATTGCATCGTCTAATTTTGTTACTTTTGATTTTAACTACAAAACAAAAATTTTTGCCTTACTAAACATTTAGCCAATTTCTTGTTTATTAGGTAAGTAAAAAGTGTCAATTGTGGTTGATAATGTTAATCAAAATATCGCTGTTAAGGATAATTATAGATATTTAAACATTTTTCATTTTTATCTTCTAAGCTAATCATTTCATTTTCATCTATTTTATCTCATTATTTTAAGTTGAAAAACTTTGGGCTTTGAAAATTTGAGCTAAAAACTTTTTTATCATTATCATTATCAAATTGTGTGATATTCGTTGCATTTTATGTTAACTAATTTGTAATTTCTTTGTATTTTTTTTTTTTTTAAATGCGGTTATGACTGAAAATAAGCTACCAATTAAGCTAACAAAAGTAATCAGTTGTAAATGAAATGATTGTGTGATACGATGCAGAATAGTTTGTTGAGTAATTTGTATAACTTTAGTTTTAATTAATATTACTCTTACGTTTTTTTTTTTTTTTTTTTTTTTTTTTTTCCTGAAGTATTTAACAAAAAGATTTTTTTAAGTAACATACTGAAGTTACATCGAGATGAGAGATGCATTTTTGAAGAAGCGCAAAGTTGTTGTCTTTCACTGGAATCAATGGTAACCATTTTTCCGGACACGGACCTAATTTTGGTTCTCCATTGGCTTTCCACGTAATTACCTATATTTTCTATATTTATGTTTTAGCTTATTTTTGTCCAGAATTTTGCAAACTATATTAACAATTTTGAATTAACATACACCTATGTCATAGATACCTTTAGAAGTGGATTTTAATTTTTGCTTACTGCTCTTTATGGGTAAATAATTGGGTACCAAGGAAATACATGTTATCATAGGTGTATGCAGGTGAAATGACACCTAACAGATCAATCAATTTCCGTTCAATATTTTGTTTTCGTTGGAGGAGAAATTTTGAATTGGAAATTTAAGTCGGTAATATTTCTATTTTAATTTATATCAAGCATAGATTAAAAAATATTTTGAGTGTTGAAGTTAATAGTTAAAGTTTTTCAAAAATTAAAATTTTGAGTTACAAAAATTTTAATTTTGAGTTTTGAGTTAATTATGATGTATTTCAGGAGCTTTTATAATACTGTATCCTAATCCTATAACTCAACATTTAATATCTCTTGGCGATCTTTATCGCTCCTCTGCATAACTCACGTATTCACGTAAAAATAAGCGCAGAAGACGAATTCATGGTGTGGTAGTCTGTTTGTCTCAAGAATATGATCTCTAGCAGAACGGATACTAATTTACTTTGAAACAGCACTGCAAGTCTAAAATTACTCAGAATACTTAATCGAACAACTGAATTCTAGTCTAGACTGTATGTGGAGTTTTTCTTATCAAACCGGAAAATTTTTTGTCATTTCATACATTTTCTTTATTGCCGATTACCTACTTAGTAATACTATAAAAGTTTATAATAAGTAATAATCAGTGTTGTGTTTTTCAATCTATAACAAACATTTCAATTTAATTTCATTTCAATTCAATTCATTATTTACGACAAACTGGAAACAACGACAAATGACATATGACCTACCATTAGAAGCAAAAAAATGCAAACAATCTGATAAGTGTAATTCATGATAAAGTGCTTATCTTTCATAGACAACGACTTATTTATCAATCTCACATTTTATTTAATTTTAACTTCAATTATGCAAATTTTTATTTCTTCTTTCACTTATAGTTTATATGAACATATCAATGTAAATGACATTTATTGACGGTTAATTTGAATGTATGATAGGAAGAATAATATCTGAGAGAACCGATAGAAGAGATAAAGCATTTAAAAATTAATTTGATGTAAAAACATTAAACTATAGAGTAATATATACTTTAGAATTTAAATAATATGAATTAAAATTTTATATTTTTACCCTTGTTCTCAGCACTTCCTTTCCTAAAATTCTAATTCTTGAATTAGTTTTTACCCGTACTAATTATTGAGATATTAAAATATCTAATTATTGAGGCTTTATTTGCTCGTAAATTACTGCTTAATAACACGTACGTGATCAGATTAAAACAACAATCATTATTAGATATTTTATAGTTTTTTAGTTATTTGTGATAATCTTATAATCAAACAAATGAAAGCAAAAATAATTATAGGAGGATTACTGGGAACAACAAAAAGAGTGACAGAACTAATTATAATGCTATTAAAATGATGAGTCATTCATTGTAATGAATGTCAAATGATGAGACATGCTATCATTTGAGAAAAAAAAAAAAAAAGCAATTTGTTGCACTTTTTTCAATTATTTCTTGAAATTGAATAACCCAAAATAACTTCTTCTTGCATGTTGATTGCATGCATGCAAAGAAGTAACGCTGCAAGTTTTAGGAAATAATTAGCTGTGTTGAAACTTTTATATTTCATTTTTTAATATTTAAAAAATTTTTCGAAACTGATTACAATTTTTTTTTTAAAGAAAAATTTTTGTGGAAGTGAAATAAAACTAGCCAATATTAAATGAACTTGGCAGTATCATAAAGATTGCATACAATAATGTCAATTCAGTTTTTCTTCTAACTCTCCATTCATTTTGTGATTATAGTGTAACTTGAATAGAAAGTATTACCTAACTTATTTTAATTAATTTTATTTTAATTAATTTTGGTTCTCATTGAATTGCTTAAACAATAGATAGAAACAACTAAACATTGGTACCATTCCCACTATTCGGAGAATTATTTTCAATTCAGGTAGTATTAGCATTAAAGACTTAGGTGTTTATGCATTAGCTAATCTAAATTTAAATTTTAGATTTCACAACAGTTATGAAACCGTTTGTTGTTGTTTGCACAGTATTCCTTATGTCAATAAAGCAAGCAACAACCTGGCGATCGCTTCCTGCGCCAAGTTCATGCGATTCATCAATAATATGTCCTCCACCAGTTATATGTCCACCTCGAATTTGTCCACCATGTCCACCGTCTTTTCCACCACCTATTTCACCTCCTTCATATGTATACATTTCTTTTACTGAAATTTCTAAAATTGTTTCGAAAGTTTTATGATTAAACTGTTTGCTTATTTTTTTTTTTTTTTTTCATATAAATAGTGACATAAAACTTTCGAACAATCAATCATATGTGGCTAACATTACGTCCGCTTTAAGTCAACAATTAGTTTATAAATATTTATCAAAGTTTTGCAACGTAAGCACTAAAAATTACAAACTATTAAATAAATAAATTAAAACTATAACACAATGTATTATGTATGGTATACGATACTATATATTATATATTTCAAAAATTATTATGAAATTTGATTAAAGTCAACAAATTTAGTTTTCATAATTGATAGATTCTTCTAATATTATCGAAATCCTTTAGCCAGCGATAGCTCACAGTTGTTTCCGGAATCTACAATTCCGGAATATTATTGTCCAAGAATTTTGATGTATATTTTAGCCTTCAATAATTCCTAAAATAAAATGCTTTGTTATTGTGTTCAAAAAAGAAAAATTGCTGCTACTCAATAATAACAAAAAGCAGAAGTTAGTGTTTACATTCTGGAAATTTTTTTTGTGAATATATAATGCTTTACTCGAACTTTTCATATTAACCAAATTTCAGAAACCGGTTAGCGTGTGTTGTCAAACGTGCGTATGTTCAGTACGTCGTAAACGTGATTCATCAAGTGGTAATAATACAATGTATGAAATAAATCCCATCTGTAATAATGATCAATTAATGGTAATTATGAAAAAGGTGAATATTTCATATTCTTTTTTCTCAAATATTCAATGTCCATGCAATATTTCTTCGTCTCTATCATTTATCACTTGAACATAAATTCTATTATCAGTAATATGTGAAAGTATCTATTATCAAACACATTTAATTTTATTGCATATCTTTCTTATTAATTAATTCTACAGAAGATTAGAACGAATGCAACAGAGTCAACGTTTGCCATAAAGAAAGCAGCTGATTCTATGCTGGGAGCAGAATTTAACGTATTTTGCGCAATGAATGATTTGACACACGTGGCGTACGCAGAAAATTTTTGTCAACATAAAAAAGGCAATGTTATATGCTTTGCTTACAAAATTTGACCACTTTGTTTTTTGTTTCTTTTTGTAGAATTTAATTTACCAGTGAAAAAAAAAATGATAGAGATGTGGTATAGCATGGTGTTTTTGTCAAATTTTAGGTTTAAAAGAAAAAAATCAATAATAGTAATTCTGTAAACATTTCGTACTTTTTTTTTTACTTTTTCAATTACACTGCTATGTTTCATTCAAAGAATGTTTGAATGACGTATTAAATGTAAATCTATAAAGAAGGGAATAATGTTATGCTGTAATGGTTTTTAAAATAAATTTTTTCCATTTTATTTATTTCCTTTTTTAATTTAAACTAGAATCTTCAACTTTTTTTTCTCACAGTTTGAATTATTTGTATGAAGAAATGTAAAAGACGCATATGGGACATAACAAAAATAATTTTACCTTTATAGGAATCTCGTTAAGTCTAAGCTGATCGATTGAGCGAGTTCATTATTTCCTGAAACTGTATCCGGATTTTCTGGGTAGAGAATCCGGATACAGTTTAGTACGAAAATTTTGAATTTGAAGGATACATTTAAGCTCAGTACAAAAATGAAAATTTTTACGGTCAGTTAGGAAATGATTCACAATATCCTAACTACTTGAACATTTTACCCATGAAATTCATCATTCTTACCCACCAATTCATCTTGTATCAAATATCTTTTATTTGCTTTATATATATATATATGTTTTAATTCTGCCACTTTCATACATAAAACTATAGTAAACAATTGAATAAAGTAAATTCCTCAATCATTAATTGTTCAATTTTCCTAACGCAAATTCCACATGAAAAAAAAGAATTTGAAAATCTCACATCTAATCAATTCTGTGATCTTTTTTTGAGATGATGGAAGAGGAATTTAACAATTTAATTATACTCTCATTGAACATATTTGCGAATTCCTGTCATCCTGAAGATATGACTAGGCAATCAGAAAAGACGCATTTGATGTAAGAAATTATTGTTCTCTTCGGGAAAATGATAATTAAATTTTAATTAAGCGTTACAACTTAAATCATAGCGAATAAGAAAAGTTGAAAAATTGGTTCAATATAATGTACTAATACTAATAAACTAAGGTATGCAAAAATGCATCGAAAAGAGAAAAAAATAATTGTCAGCAAAATTTCTAACTGAAAAGCAAAATGAAAAATAACATTGAAAATTTTATATCCTTTTGCGCCTCAGATTACTGCACATCTCAACAATTCATATTTGTTGAAATGACGAATGAAAGAAAAGAAAGAAGACAGCGCTTATTTGTGACAGTTATACATTGGTCGAATTAGAGGGAAGTGAGAAATAGTGGTAGATCTGGAGTAGTTATAAGGTTAAGTAATGAAAATTGTCGTAAGGTTAAGTAATGAAGATTGTCGTAAGGTTAAGTAAGGTTAAGTAATGAAAATTGTTGTAAGGTTAAGTAATGAAGATTGTCGTAGGGTTAAGTAAGGTTAAGTAATGAAAATTGTTGTAAGGTTAAGTAATGAAGATTGTCGTAGGGTTAAGTAAGGTTAAGTAATGAAAATTGTTGTAAGGTTAAGTAATGAAGATTGTCGTAGGGTTAAGTAAGGTTAAGTAATGAAGATTTGCGATTAACGTATTTAAGGATTGTGTATAAAGAATCTGGTATATTATCAGACAGGTAGAGAGAGGATTGCAACAGGTAAGTAGACAAGAAATGAGATAATCATACGTCGCATTTATACACGTGCTGTAGGAAGGATGACGTGAAACGTGAGCGCATGCAGTACATGAGTGATAGGTTTTACAACAATGAGTGATATGATGATAGTATTTTTCAGTCTCACGTTGTTCTCGTCGTTTTTTAAATTTGTGATGGAAGTGATATGATATATATTTCAACTCGTCAGTGCTACAATTCAAAAAATGTGGTCTCGAAACTTTAGTCGGTTATCGATGGCTGTTATTCTGGTCAATACTGAAGGTTGTGCTTGTGAGAAAGTGGAGAAGAGAGGGAGGAAGTGACGGGAAGTCTCGGTAGTTTAGTGATTTGTCTAAGGAAGTGACGGGAAGTCTCGGTAGTTTGGTGATTTGTCTAAGGAAGTGACGGGAAGTCTCGGTAGTTTGGTGATTTGTCTAAGGAAGTGACGGGAAGTCTCGGTAGTTTAGTGATTTGTCTAAGGAAGTGACGGGAAGTCTCGGTAGTTTAGTGATTTGTCTAAGGAAGTGACGGGAAGTCTCGGTAGTTTGGTGATTTGTCTAAGGAAGTGACGGGAAGTCTCGGTAGTTTGGTGATTTGTCTAAGGAAGTGACGGGAAGTCTCGGTAGTTTAGTGATTTGTCTAAGGAAGTGACGGGAAGTCTCGGTAGTTTGGTGATTTGTCTAAGGAAGTGACGGGAAGTCTCGGTAGTTTGGTGATTTGTCTAAGGAAGTGACGGGAAGTCTCGGTAGTTTGGTGATTTGTCTAAGGAAGTGACGGGAAGTCTCGGTAGTTTGGTGATTTGTCTAAGGAAGTGACGGGAAGTCTCGGTAGTTTAGTGATTTGTCTAAGGAAGTGACGGGAAGTCTCGGTAGTTTGGTGATTTGTCTAAGGAAGTGACGGGAAGTCTCGGTAGTTTAGTGATTTGTCTAAGGAAGTGACGGGAAGTCTCGGTAGTTTGGTGATTTGTCTAAGGAAGTGACGGGAAGTCTCGGTAGTTTAGTGATTTGTCTAAGGAAGTGACGGGAAGTCTCGGTAGTTTGGTGATTTGTCTATGTTCAATATTATATGTATTTGTTAATTGATGGGAACAAGTGAGATGATGTTGCATAAATCAGATTAGAAGACATTAGGTGTTGTCAACTATTACCTTTGTTCTTTTCGACAGGTTAACATTCCCAGTAGTTTTTGCTTTCTCTTATCTAAATGGCTCATACATCTAAAAATATCTAAATGATCCAGAAAGAAGCCAATAAATAGAAATTAAGTTTGGTACATTTGCAAAATACTGCAGTGATAAAACTGATTACAAATAGTTGAAAACTTTGCATACTCGACATGAAATATATTCGCAGTAGTGTTTATAACAATTAAATATAAGGAATATTGATCTGATGTTGTAATTGAATAAAAGTTTTGGATGTCATTTCGAATAATAAATCGTTTTCATTCATTTTACTTTAATTTAATTTCTATCTAATTCATATTATTTTAATCAAATTTTAGACCATTCGAATGTTTGGAGAGGAAGAGATGAAGCGTTATTGTAAGAAGATGAAAATATCATCTGTGATGAATAGCAAAAGATACAGGTAATTACAGAGATATTATATTGAATTGCTCTCCACTTCTTTCTAATAATTTTTTATTGATTTATTCGCTAGAGAGGAAGGAAAGAAAAGATGTATTTATCACTGAATTGTTATGAAGTGATTTAATCGTTATAATTAATGCTATTTTTTTATTAATGTATTATTGGAGAATTTATTTTCTTTATTATATTATAAATTAAAAGGAAATAGGGAAGAAATGGCTGGATATAATGGAAGTGAAAATATTTCTTTTATTTGGATTATGCAAAGTTTTGTCCTTTTATATATTAACTACAGCTATAAAACATTCAAAATGTGAACTGCTTCATAAATGTTTAAAATGTGATGATAATGCAGATTTTTATCATAGAAATTAATATAGTATTTCAGGAGATTCATTAATGTTTTGTCAACGCAGCTTACAATTTGGTGTCATGGTTCTGCTACAGTTGCTCCTAAAATAATTCAATTTTTTGTGATTTTTATAAGAAGATAAAATAGAAGCATTTGGGAATGATGAAAAATTCACAAAAACAGGATTCATTTCTTCTAGAAACCCAACTAAAAGATTTACTTATGCTTTCAGTATTGTTAGATCACGAAAATCCACATCACAGTCACCTCAAGTATTTCAAAATCATAAATCTACTTTCAACGTCTTCCAGTTGCTCGGTATGTCATGAATTGAATCGATTGTATGGGAATCCATAAAATATGTTTTTATAGTCTATATATATATATCAGGCTTCATTTTACCGACACCCATGATTTGATTGATATTAGCATATGGCTTGTAGTTACATACATTCAGTCAAAAACACACGGGAAAGGTATATATATATATGTGATCCTTGGACAAATGATTAAAGATTTGTAAAGATATTAATAATACCTTTCAGTGCCGAAGGAAAAAATAGAAATTGTGGTAGATGATACATCAGTAGAGGTATGTAATTTGTTTCTTTGTTTTGTTTTAGTTATTTAACTTATGCTTGCTTAGCAAAGATAAGGGTAATATACGCCTCCAACTATTATATTTTGGAATTTTTATTTAAAAGAATATTTGAGATTCTATAAAGATTCCGTAAAAATTAATCCTCATGCTAATGATTAGTTGACGATCTTGTATACTGATTATTGTATGGCACTTTCACATTTGGTTTCGAACTATTCTAGATTAATCGTTTACGAATTTGGCTGGATTGCTAACAGGCCCTTTACTATTCCATGGCTTTTATTGACTTAACCTGACTTGTTTGGTATTATCTAGTCATTTCCATCTCTAAAGCTTGTTAAACTAGAACTGTTTATGTTAGAATAATTTCAGGTGAACTGTGACACAGATGTTCAAAAATTGAATGGAGATAAAGCAAATGAAACTCAGTTCGTTTTTTTCATCTAAACTCATCAGAACTTTTTCCCTCCCTTTAAAATGTTTATTTTTCATAAAAAACCAAGAGATTAAGGGTAGCGTTACTTTTCAGAGACGCTATAGATTCAGATGTTATTTTATTAACAGACGAAGAAGAAAGTTTATCTGGCAGCCAAAGGAATTTGAGCGATGTCAAACCCGAGGTTTATTTCTATTATTTCAGATTTTTGGTCTTATAGTGACTAGTTTTTAGGAATTACAAGAAATTACCATTTTTTTTTGTGGTGGAATTACATCAAATTTTAATAGCATTATTCGACATTGAACTTTTTTATCTTACAGAAATATTTTTGTTCTTTTTGCAGATAGTATTACTTAATGAGAGTTCGTCCAGTGACTTAGGTATTTCGGACGAAATTATCTGTTTAGAGGTAAATTTTTTTATTTCAGTTTCGATTCATTAATGCGTGGCAAGTGTTTCATTTATAGAACATGCTATCTTTTGAATATATAGAATATTTGGCAACTCATAAGGACTCTAGTTTACATATCACACCATGATCCTTGTTCATGTAATTCGTTCATAAAAATCGTATGGCATGAATATTAATAGCATGCATGTGCATAGATACTAGATGAACCTTAAATTTTCATCCGAAAAAAAAAAAAAAATTATTTAACTTAAGAACTAAGGAAAGGAGAATCGTAATCCTTTCAAATAAGCATTAGGAAGTTAAAACTAAAAGCATATTTTTAGCATATTTCTACTCGCCTAAGAACTGTTCTACACACTAAATACTATACCTTCTATTCATTTAAGGATTGTTAGCGTTGAAAATATCCGAATTCTAGGTCATAAATTACTGGCAGAAAATTTTAGTAGTCAAAATTTTAGGGTTAGCGTACTTTTTTGCAGGATATGAACTTGGTTCATGAAGCAGGACTTTCTCCCCCTACGCTACCACAGAAAACAATGAAGGAGCAACAGGACGAAGTAACTAAAAATTTATTTTATCAACACGTATTTAATCCTGATGTTTGCTGTTTTGACAAAACATGTAAATTGTTATTGTTACTTAATTGTTCTAAACGTAATAAATATCTTGAAAGGTCTGTTTAATATGCGATACTTTTCAATTTTGATTGTTTTACTATAACTGTTTTAGTATAATTATTAGTTTCTCATTGTTATATAATTTCCAATTTATTGTGAAATACTTTTTCATTTTATTTATATGAGTTACAACTTTTGAAATGGCTGTTTCTTTAGCGATTGCTTTCTTTACGACAAAAATTGATGCCTTAGAACTTGACTATATCAACACAAGTGGCAATCGTCAAACCATAAGATTTTTGTAACTCAAATTTCTACACAGTTGATGAACCTTTTAATATAAATAAGTTTCATTTTCGTGCTAAAGAGTTTACTACCATTTAACAAACTGATTATTTCAGACAGGGAGATCTACGATTTGCGAAATTTACCGAGAAAAACAAACCGGTTCTTATCTCACAAATAACCAAAGCTTTCCTTGGGCTCACAGTCTGCTGCCTTCAACTTCATCGTATCGCCCTACAAGTTTGTTTTTGTTGGTGAGAAGTTTCGAACTACGTGAATTTTCCTTTATTTGGAGCACTGAATCCTCCCCACTATTGTTTTGCATTCCTTTTCGACCTACTGATCAATCCCTCTATATGAAATTCAGTTGCAAGTTAATATGAAAAGAAGGAAATATCAAAAATTTGCTTCCGGTGCTATTCAGCTGTTTTTTTTTTTTTCTCATTTGAATCTTTATTATGTGTGACGGTAGCCTTGCTGCAGTTGGATCAAAACGGAAAAGCTCTGTTTTGATTACTTTTGCAGACTATCACAATTATGGGACAATAACATTAAGAATGCTCATATTAACCAAGTGTATTTATCAACACATTGTAACATCTTTTCCTCTTACATAAATTTCTGCTAGTGTTACCAGTTGCGTTATTTTTTTCTCTCTTTTTAAACTGAATGTTTTATATGTCTTGCAAAAATGAATGTTTCATATGTCTTTGCGTTTTTCTTAATAGTCAATTAATCATCCCTGACCTTGAATGTTAGTTTAATGAATTCAGTTTGAGATTTTCTCATTCGACTATTCATTTGCAATAAGTTCTTTCTTTTTAACAAAAATCAGGATTTATAAGGCTTGTTTATTAGGAAAATGTTGGGAAAAGTAAGAAAGTTTAGAGTTGAGACATTGATGAGTAAATTTTATCAGTATCTTTATTGATAGTGGAGAAAATTTTTGATTGAGTTGTCTTGCAATATGTAGATCATTTTATTTTTGCTAAATACAATTAGTCAGTGCTAATTATATATATTGCAGACATGCCAGAATTTGTGGATTTGCTGACTCAAGGTACTTTATCAATTTGTAAGAAATGGCTACGAAGATGGGATGTTGTACAGGTTATTTCTGTATATTTGTGCGTAATACCAATTAATAGAGGGTCTCATTAAATATGTTTTTTACTGTTTTTACTTGATCCATTGATAGTTTAAAAGTTGTTTGAGAACAGAAAAAAACAGGTTCCTAGTAGTGATCAAAGTTTTTCGGTTTTTGTATATGGAATATATTTTCATGCAGTATGCAGTTCACCGTGATTTCAGTATTGGTACTTCATAATATCTGGAGTTTTACCTAGTCTTTTTTATATTAATAATTATAATTTTAGAGCGGAGTGATCGATGGTAACCCATTAAGGATATGTAGTTACAATGTTCTTTGTCAACAAACTGCCTATAAAACTCCTGAATTGTACATACATCTTGCGTGAGCGAAACTTCTTGTATTTTCTTTTTTTATGAGCATAGATTATATTTTCTCTCCCATATATTATCAAAGTTTTTTGATTAATAGCAGCTGCTTGATAAGATAGTTGTGACATTTATAAGAGAAGATGCACTTTTCACTAAATGATAGTGATAGGTTTTTTTTAGGAAACCAGGACGTGCTTACGAATTAACTTGGGAAAACCGGTGGAGGTTGTTGACACGTGAATTCTCAATGATCGCTGCAGACATTTTTTGTCTTCAGGAAGTGCAGTACGACCATTACGATTATTTCTTTAAACCATACTTCGAAGCTGGTGAGCTTTTCATATAAAGTGTCTTAATGGCAGTATATTTCATATGAAATGGCAGTATGATAGTACACATTTAATTACTGATGTGCAAGTTTTCAAAAACGAATAGTTCCAGAAGTGGATTGTTTTAAAGTAGTTTTACCTTCAATACAATTTATTACAGAATGTTTTTATATTATTTTGAAGTTATTGTGGAAATTGGCTTAAATCTTAAGTAAGAAGTAGGCTTCCTTACTCTATTGAAAAAATTATATTCTTACCTATAAATTTGCTGCTTCATCGTTATACTTTCATTATTTTTTTGAGATATTGCTCATGACTTTTATCATTTCATGAATATTTTAGCTGGTTTGCTTGGTAAATACAAGAAGCGAACACATAGTTTGATAGATGGCTGTGCAATATTTTACAAATCTCATTTTCAACTGCTTAACTATCAGCATATTGAATACTACGTAAGCAGTGATTCAGTATTGGACAGGGATAATATCGGTAAACAGTTATATTTTTTATTTATTATTTTGTTTGAGTCAGTATGGTGAGTGAAATTACTCAGAATAGTTCTTAATTCTATATTTTTGCTTCCATTTCAGGTCAATTGGTTCGTTTAAAAGATATGAGAAGTGGACGGGAATTCTGCATCGCTAATACACATTTATTATTTAATAAACGACGTGGTGATGTGAAACTTGCACAACTTGCTGTTTTACTTGCAAACATCGATAAGGTGATTTTTCTACTTCTGGCATATGATGACGCGGGTATAGCATTTTTCTGTAGCTTTTAAAAGAAACCGGGAATGGAGATAGTGGGTTATAATGATGCCTTTTATGAAGAATACTTTTGCCTGAAATGCCAATAAGGTAATTTCACATTTAACTGTGTTGATATGTGTCACTAGACATCTTTGGATAAGCTAAATTAACTCAATGATAGCGAAGTCAAAATTTATTCCTTCAAATATTTACTAATTTTTAAGGGGTTTTTTTCTAACACACTAGAGAATATTCAAAAATATTGTGTAGTAGTCAGAACTTTATTTAAAGGCAGTTTTTAGTACCGACAATTAAAAGTCGCAAAGAAAATTGGTTGTATATTGTTTCAGTGTTGAAACATAAGAGTTTGCTAATAGAAATAAATTTTTCTTTACAGGAATGTGGTCCGGAATCTGGCCAAGAATGTCCGTATATCGTGTGCGGGGATTTTAATATTCAGCCATATAGTCCACTGTATAATTTTATCATGAGTGGTGAAATTTGTTTCACTAATCTACGGCGAGGTGATATTTCAGGCCAAGGTAGTCCTGGTGGCCCGTTTGTTTCAGTTAATCTATTGCCTGAAGATGTAAAAATTGCTCGAAATTGTCGATTCAAATATCTGAAAAGTAGGTCTATAAATCTTTCTTGCTGTCCATATTTTTTGAAAGTTAGGAATATTCTCTGTATTGATATATATTTAGGTGTTGATGCTAAATGTGAAATTATGAAATATAAAGTTGCTTCATGCTTGCTATGAAGTATAAAAAATCGATCTTGTGTTATTCCAGAACTTTAGATACATTAGCGATCGTTAACTTTGTTTCGAACTAAGAGCTTTACAAGCACACAACAAACTAGCAGTATTTTTTTGTTAAGTTTCTGTCTTATTTAAGACAATAAAAAATATTGTACTTTAAAATTTTCCAAATGATCACTTTTTTATTAAAAATTCAAAGTATTGAAATTTTACAGAGCATTTGAACACTGTGAAGAATTTTGGATTTGTATGGACAGAGATTAGTAATATTTTTGATGTTAAATTAAAATTTTTTTGATACATGACAAATGATAGCATTTTCAGATCGTGCAATGTTACTTCCTTCGATAAATTGCTGGAGTCATCCGCTCTCTTTCAACAGTGTTTATCATCATGTAAATACAGAGGGCGGGGTAAATAACATTTCCATAATTTTATTATTTTGTAGGGGAATGTATTGCTAAGACATCCGCAGTGTCAGACTCCGAAAAACTGTTATCAATTTTTATCGAACTTAAGCTTGTTACATGTTACATGTAAACTTATTACTTATTATGGAAATCTTTTTCAGCCAGTGGTTTCAACTTATCACAGCGTTGAGGCTGTTAATCCAGATTTCATATTTTATTCTGTCAAATCAAATGGAATGAAGGTTATTTTCACTTCAAAATATTGAAAGTTTTACTTATGGATTGTTGGGAATACTTAGACTTCCTTTTTTTTCACAAAATTTATATGTCTTCTGTTATTTGTTTCTGAGTATTATTGTTTACATTCTTTAATGCACGATAATACATCTGTGCATTGCAAATAATTTTAAGTTCATATGTTCATAATGCACAAAAACCTGATAGTTTTTTCTTCAATATTTTGCGTTTTGGTTTTTTTAACATCTTAAAATTAGGAACACATTGAATATCTAAATAAAACCTGCAGAGATTTGTAAATTGACCAGTTATCCTTAACTTTGTCTTTTTCAGCAAGCGATGTTCCCGAGTTTCAATCAAGAAATAAATGTTTCTGAAAGAGAAATACGGTTGATTCGACGTCTTAGTTTGCCAAATATGAATCAGTTAGCTGGAACTTTAGGTCCATGGCCTAATTCATCGACTCCATCCGATCATATACCTCTCATTGCTGATTTTGTTTTGCAGTAATAATTTCTGCTGTTATTTGGATAGTGTAAAGAAATTGTTATCAGATGTGATTTAGTTATGGAGAAAGCAAACCTTTAGGAGATGAAAAATTCAGCCGTGCTGAATATGGTTGTTAGTAATGTTACTTCAACATATTTTTTTATACTTTGAAGATGTAGACAAAGTTAGTGTAGAGAATTTATTTTAATAAAACTAATTCTAAATTTTCTCTTGTCTTTAATTAATTGATCTTAGAAGTTCTACAATGGATGCCTGGTACAGTAGTACTATGATTGCGATTCTCTAGCAGATTAATCTTGTGTTACATAAAATATTAATATCGGTATTGATTTTCTCACAGTAACTAAAATATGGATGATTTATCGAATTTCAGTGTTAACCGACTTTATGAATTAGAATTCTCCCCGAAGGCATTTAAATGATTCGTTCACTGACTTGCGATGTTATGATGCAATGTTATGACATTGATAATTACTGAATTTTGGTTTTTTGGGTGGCTGAAAAAATTCTCGGTAGTAGAAAATTCTTTTTATTTAATCCTATTCATTACCTAGATTACCTCTCTTTGAAATTAGAGAGCACTCTTTACTAAAGAATTCTGATGGTGACAATTAGCTGAGTTATTTTTAAATATCCATCCTCTTCTTTTAGTCGAACTAAATAGAAAACAAATTATCATGAGTAAATTTACAGTAGTTGTGTAATATGTATCATATGCAAAAACATATATGTATTATTAAATTTACAAAATTTCCCCTTTTATCAACCAGTATTTTAAATTCATTGGAATAAGCAACACATTTATGCATTTACCAATTAGTGTTGACCTTCACATCTAGCAGCATATGTACATCTAAAAAAAAATCTATATTTATACTTACCATAATTAAAATAATAGAAATTAAAATAACAACAATCTTATTACCAGATCTTATTACGATTATAATTTACTTTTCTTGTCCAGGACAAAGGGCGTAAATTTTCGATACTTAACCAGGTAAGATAAAATTATGCCAGTTTTTTTCTTATAAACATTTGCTCAATTCTAAGAAATTACGAATGAAAGAGAAATTAGAACATTTAAGTTATCCAAGGAACAATAATGCGAAACGAATAAATCAGTAACATTAAAGTGCATGGCACACTAATAGTCAACGGTAGAGTAATTAGCTGATTTTTTGTAACTCAACGATTCCGCATGACGCAGCGTAAACATTCCTCATGCTAACGTCCGTTACGTCTATACATCAGTATTCTAAATTATATGAATTGATCAACAGAAATCAATACGGCATTAGTTGGAACATTCATGTAATTCAATCATATGTTATCAGTCTCGGTTAAATGTCTTATTTAGGAATTATCGAGTGGCAATGAATAATTTTTAAATGTTCATATAACTCAGTCGAGAAGACAAAAATTATAGAAAGAGAAGAAATTCATTTTCCATCTGAGAGTTGCAAAAAAAACTAGCAAACGAATGAGAAATAATATTACGGAAAGAAAAGTGAAACAGCTTTCGAGAGGAACATTTAAGATTGAGAAGAGAAGTAGAAAGGAGTAATTCTGTTAAATGGAAATGATCGTGTAATTTGCTGAAGGTTTTTTAACCGGTGAGTATGTTTTTTTTTTTTTTTTTTTATTTTAGCTTTATCAAAAGTCGATGTCCATCCTTAGACAATGTACTGGTCACTCTCCGTTGATGGTTGAAATAAATCTGTTAGAAATTTTCTTTCTCTTTATCACTACCTCATATATTTACCACTCATTCAGTGTCTCATTTATTTGTAGCACTGGACTCTACCATATAAATTACTTTGATAAAGTAAAAATGAGGGAATAAATTTGTAGCCAAGAGCCTATGGAACACAAAAATTTGTTTAGTCGTTTAGGTTATTTATATTAGATTGTCGCCTTATATAACATTGACAGATTCTCTAATAAAACATTTTAGAATATTATTGATTATTGTTCCAATCAAATATAACTAAATTATATATAGACAGCATCTCAGTCAGTCTTCATCTATCCTATTTTCCGGATTATTATTCTATTTGAAACAAAATTACAACTTTCAACATAAGAAATAAATTCAATTCAATTTCAATGATTTATTTTAATCTTAAGAATGATTCATTATATATTTACAAATTGAGTTATTTTGTTAATTTTGATTTATTTAACCGAATAAGAAATATCGGAAATGATTGAAGCATTCCATTTCTTATGCAATAAATGAAAGAAATAGATGATAGAAAAGGTTAGAAAGCTTTCACTTAATATTTTGCTTCTCTCTCTGATGATAATTCCATGGATGTAATTAAGATTAAATTCTGATAGTATCACCAGTAACTGCTATCATAACCAAATTAATTTCAACATTAGTTTAACAAATTGATATGTCGAATATTTCATATTCAAATATCGTTGATAACTATAAAAGATAATAACTGTATATTCGAGATTATTTGATAATTGTTTTTTTCTGTTGTATGGTAAGCTATTTGCTATTTTTAACCTTTCAATATTTTGTGTGGGCTGTATTGAAAGAGAAGATCAAAGATTGATTGATCAACCTTTGATTAGTATAATTTCTGATTGTATTGATTGATCAGTGTAATTTCCTAGCATTTAAAGAGAGCAATTTTGAAAGTGAATAATAAAAATTTGATATTTTTGAGTGAGAAATTATACACTTGAAATGTTAGAGTTGAAATGTGAAAATTACTGAAAAGCAAAAATAAAATCAATGTAAAGATAGCAAAATGTATAGTAAGATAGATTAGATAATGAGAAATGTTTAATTGCCTTAAGCTAAATTTTATCTCTGAGAGGATAATATTTTGAGATGGTTGCGGAGTAATATTTAAATTTACCTATAAAGTAGACTTGGAAAATCAGTGAAAAGAGAAGTCAGAAAAAGATTGAAGTAGACAGTAAAATAGTGGTCTTCAATTAGTTCTTTGGAAAGTTTCAGTCATCCAGAAACGAATAACTTTTTGTAAACATTTTGAAAATTGGTGATAATGGGAGAAAATTTAATTAAATTTCTTGCAGATCAAAAATGACTGAAAGTAGTGCATTTTCGACTACATCATCAATGTTACCAGGCGGTATTCCTAGACCAATCGACCATACACCAGATGAGAATGAATTTCAAATGACTTTAATCCCGATGACAAGAATCATTTTCATGTGTGACACATTTAATAAGTAATTTAAAATGATAGGAATATCTTTCTTAATTATATAAGTTTGTCGCTGAATTGAATTTCTAAATTTTTTTATTTGTAAGAAACATTTTAAGAGCTTCAGAATAATTTCCTGAAACGATAACCAACATGAAATATCATCAAAGAGGAAAAGAAAAATTTTCCTCTTAGAATTAGGCTGGAAACAAAACTTGAATTTATATATTTTCAAAACTTCTATATCGTAAATTATTGTTGTATGAACTAAATTATTGAATAAATGAATCAAAAATGAAATTTCTTAATGATTTCTTCCAGTAAAAAATGACTTTTGTTTCATTTTAAATAAACAAAACACAAAAGAAAAAAAAATTAATGAAAAAAAAAAAAAGAAAAAAGAAATTTCAGGGATGAAGATATTGGTATTAAGCCAGTAACAACATCTGTCACAATTCATAATGATACAGTACTAGTGCAAGCATTTAAGGTTCTTCTTTTTTTTTTCAAATTTTGCCAGCCTATCCGAGACAAAACTATACTTAAATTACTTGGCATTAAATTTCTCGACACATACTTCCTAAACATTTCATATAACATGTTTCTTCTATTCAATTATCGCAATTATCAGTGAATTTATCACAATTATCAATGACATTTATTTCTATGAGACTTTGAAGATTCACTGTTACCATTCGGTACGATATGCGCAAATAACATATAAACATTGGTGGAAAAATTATTGTAAAAAATTACTGGAAAAAAAGGACAAAAAAAAAAAAAAAAAAACAAAAAGCGAATTTTTGCTTTTTGCGCATTAAAAGATAAATAAAGATTATTACTCAACAAAATGAATTAAATACAGGTAAAATGTACATCAAATAAAATGAATTAAATACAGGTAAAATGTACATCAAATAAAATGAATTAAATACAGGTAAAATGTACATCAAATAAAATGTTTACTATTAGACCATCGTATGGAATTATTGCTCCAAATGAAAAAAAGGTTCGTTTAAATGTAACATGATATTGTCTAATTGAATCTGACTACATCTCCACTCAATTATTTCTAAGGTAACAATATAAATAAATAGACGAATTTATAATTTCTTAAATTAAATATCAACAGTTTCAGAGTATTAAAATAACATTTAATTGGAAAGATGTGCCGAAAGATGACTTACACTTCATTTCATTTTATCATATTCGAATTAACGAAGTATGAATTCAAATTCTATTTTCTCTTTTAAGTTTATTCACTGATTAAACAATTATAATAAATTTAAGTGAAAAATAAAAACAAAATCTAAATCGAAGATACAATCTTCCATATGAAATCATATTTTACACTACATTTCTAAGTTCTTTTATTTCATACATTGTTTTGACAAATTTTAAAAAGTGACCTTCACGTCTATTATGTATTTATTCTCTAACTGCAGAACACTTGCAATATGCAGCCACGAGAGATTTTTGAAAAATATAAACCTGAAGGTGTGAAGCGCATTCTGTGTCAATTCAAAAATGCTAGTGGACAACCGATTCATCAACCTGATCCGAAACCTAACACAGAAATTGCTTGATTGATCAACTAGTCTGTCCACAACGAAATGACAGTGAATACTATGATAAAATGTGATGAGATGATTAAAGTAGACACACCATGAATTGAAATGCATTTTGATATGTTACGGCACATTCAACCGGTTATCATCACTTATTCATTCAGGATCTCTTCATGAATTGTCTTATAGCTTCAAAACTTTTTTTACAAACAAACTTTTTCTATGCTCAATTTTTTGCAAAAAAAAAAAAAAAAAAAAAAACAAAAACAAAAACTTTACCTGTATTTTTTTAATACATTTCTTCCTGGGCTCACATAAATTCCTCATTCCATTATAAATTCTGGTATAATCTGTATCAATGATTTATAAAACAGAATTGGAAGTTGATTTTGTGAATGTTGCAACAAAGCCTCCATCTTTAGACATTACATTTGATTGACAGTTACAGTTGCAAACAAAAATTTCGACAGTTTGGCAAGTTAACGAGTACAATGTATTGATTGTTTTTTTTTTTTTTTTTTTTTTTTTAAATTCTTTCGTTGTTTCTTTTTCTCAATTCAAATATATTTAATACAACTAAAGAGTGAGAACCGCTTTCTCCAAAGAAATGTTAACATTTTTTGCAGTTAGAGCATTCTTTTAAACTATTTACTATTCGATGTTTCTCATAAATATAAAATATATATATTTCATTAATTTAAATAAAATGCACGCATAAGTAGAAGCGTGAAGAAAATATAGTTTTATTAACGGTTATTACTAATCCACTGGAAATATTTCTGTTTTGCCATCACCACGATCGATAACAAGTGATTTATAATATTGTATTAGCGCTGACATCGAACGAAATCTGCAATTTAAGAGCCTCAACCTTAAATTTTGTATACTAAAAAAAGAGATCACTACGCTTCAATAATTGAAATTCATTTTTTTTTAGATGCTAGTTTGCAGTGCAAAATATTACCATGGAGTAGTAAAAATGAAAAATTTCCAGAAATCTCACTGATCATTAGGTAGAACAAAAATGATCGGTAAGAAAGTTCACTTAATTCAAGAGAAAAAAAGAAAAGAACAATACAATGGTTGCTCACGATCCTCAATGCCACTCAAATCCAGTTGCCAAAATGATTCGGAACCAAATTCATGTCTTTTAAAACCGAAATTGTATATTTTTCCAGATGAACTCATATAAGCCAACATCAATGGCATTTTGATTGGCATCTAAAAGAATGATTTTCAATATGACTGATATAATTTAAATCTTTCCAAGTACATTTTCTATTTAAAAAATCCCTTTTTGAATGGCTTTTTTAATCACAACAAGTGTTTAATTTTGACAATAGATATATGGATTACTAGAAAACGATTAATCATCTTTGTGTGACTACAGAAGATATATAAAAAAGTAATATAATTTTGTTCAGTTTTTTTTTCTTTTTTTTTTTTTGTTCAAACTGACGGAGAACATAAAAAATCGATTTTATCAATTACTCATCTGACTGAATGAATTCATTGATTCTGGTCGCATGTAAAAAAGACGAAATTCTGTAGGTTGCAAAATGTAGCGCAGACTGGATGTCGATTGAACGCCCACATAGATACTACTACTACTACTGTCTTTCGTTTGTTCTGTTGCATGGCTATGTGACACTTCAAGCTGTCCTTTTGACTGCTTTCTACTCCTAAAACAAGATTGTGCATCAAAGCGTGGCACAGTACAGAGTGATTTCAAAAATGGATGCATATCATTTGTCACACTTACCCATCCTATTTTGCATCTTATTCTGCCCGAGTATCGAAGTATCTAAGATGAAATCTGTCACAGGTAGAGAGAATCATACAGAACGAACTTGAAATCGTACTTTTTATTTTGTCGCTGTTGTTCAGAATGCTTTTGAAAACGCTGTTTTTGCTCTCTGTATTCCTTAAGTGAATAGCGCCCTCGACGTGGACGCATTGGCCAAATCACCTAAATACTATTCTTGAAATATTCTAAATGGCTAAAATTATAATAAATGATTAGTAATGAAAGCCGAAACTTACATTAAGAGCTGGATTGACGAGATTACCATGTTCATCTTCAAATACAGCATAGCTTGGAGGTGATGGACTACTCTCACTTTCGTTGCTATTCTAAAAAAACTTTAATATGATAAAATCGTAATGCAGTTTTTGCTTAAAATTTTTGATTAAAATCAATGAAAATTCCATATATACATTCTCATCGGTGTCCAGCTTGTCAACTGCGCTTGAAGACGAATCAGTCATTGCCTGGAATTATAGAACCGCTTGATCAGTGGCTCAAGGAGTAAAGTGACAATTCATGATATTGTCCTCCTATTTATGTGTTAAACAGTGAATTACTTATACTATAAAAGAGAAAAATAGAGGATAAGAATCCTCTCAATTGATTTTGGCTTTCAGTCTTTTCCATTCTATCAAAAATATACAAACAATTCTAAATAATTCTATACTTACAGGACATTATTGCTATTTCTCCATTCAAATTCATAAAAAATCGGACTATTATGTAACAAGTGCATGTAATTAGTATGTAATTGAATTTTTCTTTTAAAATTTTCAGATTATCCGAAAAACAGAACATAAATGATATTTTCGGGGAGGAATAGATTCAAATATATGTCTTCCATTACCAGTCCTCAATAAATGCCAGTCCTCCAAACAATTGAAACTTTTCATATCCACTTGAGGTATGTCAATTCTTCTTTTAATAGACTGCAAAAATTTTGAAGCTAATCGATGGTGCGCCCTCTTTTTCAATTCTTATCATTTACTTCGTTAAGCTCACCCTATTTTTTCAAGTTAGCAGTTAATTCTCCGAAGATTATTTTCCCATCTTATTTCTTGTGAATTTTTGTTTTTTATGAGCAGTTAATTTAATCTTTTTTTTTTTTTTTTTTTTTTTTTTAATGAGTGAATCATTTTGGCTAATTCAAAATGATGCCATCGCTAAATTTTTTCTCACATTCACTGTCTTCTATTTCAATTAATATGTTATTCTAATTGTCACATCTGAGATCCGAAATGATTCCTTGCAATTATATCTCGAAGAGAATATTAACTCAATCTTTTTAATGATAAAATGAATAATATTTTATGATGTGCAGTTGCTGTTACATCCCGGTACAGTACTGTTTTTTTTTAAACTGGCAACATGTGGAAAAGATGTTGCCATGAACATGCAATTTAATGAATTTAATGAAATATTTCATTGTATGTATTTGTCGTTCGACCATGACCACATAAGTACCTGTGTCACTGCTCTGCTCGATGAGTTTCATCAAAGTCAACATTATCGGACGGTCCATTAATCTCATCCAGGTCATCGGTTTTAAGGTGATAACGATTAAGGCAGAAAGATGACCTTGTTCTAACCGCGTGATCCTGCACAATTTTCTCATTGCTGCCTTTCTTCATTTTTCTAAAACAGTAAATTCATCAATAATCTTCGGCTATCTCACCTACTTCTCAAACAAGTAAAAAACAGCTTTATATATTTGAAAAAAGGAAGAGAAAGAGAAGGAAAAAGAGAAAGAGAGATCTTCAATATTATATCCGTAAGTAAACAAACATGTACTGTTTTGAGTGTGAATGAAATTAAGTCTTTCTCCATCTGAAGTATTGTCAATTACATTCTCCTAGGATATTTTCAATTCTGCGTTCTAATTACAAATTTCAAATATGTCCCACCAGTAATACTTGCAAACTTGTAAAATTTGAATTTACTATTTTTTTTATTTTTGTGTCAACAATATTAACTAAAATATTAGTCACTCAGGAAAGAATGCTTGAAGGTGAACCTGAAAAGAACAATTCATAATTTTGTTTGAAATAGTTCTACAATAATTGCACTACAAATGAAGGGTAACTTTTATATTGAAACGATAAAGGGTTCAATAGGATGTTACAGATACAGCAAGATAGAGGAAAGTGGATATCAGAAGCTCAAAAAATCAAAGTTCAAATAACTTCTTTTTATTAAACAGCAAACTGTGAGACTAAATGTATGGCTCAGTTTTTATCTTCAAGAAAACGTTAAAACTAGAAATTGAAACTGTTTATTAGTTTTGTTCATCGTAGATTTGTAATGATGAAATTGTGCTTCCAAGAATTCCATTTTTTTAATGCTTTAAAAACAGCTTACTTAAATCATTTATTGAAGTTTCGCAAAATGGAATGTGCCAATTCTGATAGACTGCGGTCTTTCCTTAAACAGCTCCCAAAAGTTTTGTTTCTTCCCATATTGCACAATGAATGAAACAAGGATAGTTACGGGTACAATTTATCCGAAAACATGAAAAATACCTCTCGAATTTCTTTTGCAATGAATAAATGCATGCTTATTAATAAAGACAAACATGTAAAGAAGATGATAGAGAGAGAAACATGGGTAGTACATGCTAACTTGAGATAACTGTTTAGTCGAGTCATGCACTCTCATAACCCATGGTACGGAAATTGTTACCAGTAGCACACTGTCTGCCCATCACAAATGTATTTTGCTCTCATCCCTAAAAAAAAACTGCAAAAGAAACTACCAACTAATAGTCTATGACTGATATCGCTTAGATCACGTAGATTAAATGGACTGATGTGAGTTGTATCACGTTGGATGAGCGGATTCGGCGTTTTAGGCTATTTGGTTTGGGGATGAGCTAGATTAGTTTTTTTGAAACTGGAATGGTTCAGGTCAATTTGAAGTTAACTCATAATTTTTTCAATTTTATTTAGTTAATCAGTTTTAAGAGTTTATGGGCATTAATTATTCGGTCATTTTTTAAGCTCATTTGTGTAATTTGACAGTTACATTAAAAACGAAATGTGCAGGACGTAATTGACACGTTTTTGCACATAAGGATAATTCGCTGTCACTTGAAATTCACTTCATTTTTGAAGTTCGAATCGAAATTTCATATTTCACATTTAAACGAATATTTGATGTTATTTCATTCTGCAAAGCGATACAATACAAGTTTTTTAGAAAAAAATTGTAGTATCGAAGACAAAATTACATGCAAAAATAAATGTTTCATTTGGTAATGTTGAATCTCGTTGAGTTTGTCACCGTATTATCACTCAGAAGTTTCATACCAATGGAATTCATTATAAAGTATACGTCTGAACCATTCGGGATGAGTTATGTGCATGAAATGAGGCATTGCTTAATAAATAAAGGAATTGAAGCTTTTAATTATTGGGTTAGTAATGCTTTTAGGGCAAAAATATAATTAATTAACGCCTCTACTGAGAAAAATGTCTTATACTTGGAAAAATTTACCCCACTAACTATGCTTATATGTTTAGTTATATATCCGTATCACGCTACGTATTTATGTTTCGTTATCGTAAGTTGTACAAGCGTTAACATTAAAGTTATTTTCGGACGAATTAGAGAAATCGTTTATCCGAGATGAATTTTACTATAATTATCACGTGACACTCAGAAAAATATGATGTGTAGTAGAGAAGTTTTCCAGATATAGTCTAATTTTGTGCTTAATTTGTCATATTGCAACATTTTAGTGAAATTGACATCTCAGAAGAAGCTTTCACATAGTTGGATTTGTGGAGGTAACTAATCAGCAGATACTTCGTGAACTGGCTAGGTTAACTTTTATTGATTGCAAATCTACTGATGTGCAAGGATGGCGATAGAATTCTCAAATTTAGAAGTAAGTTAGATAAGTGGCAAGGCATTTCTGAGTTACCCAAGTTTGATATTTTAACAACGGTTCTAACACAGAATGATAGACTAAAAACAATATATGCATGATGCCAGTTGTTAACTTGAACCAGGGTCATTATGATGAAAATAGAAAGGAATTGTTAATAGCGTTTGTTGATTAAAAATTGAGTAATTTGCATAACGATCAAATTTGCTTTATTCCTTTGCCTATTTGTGCTTTTACTCGGATAAATTGTTAGCAAATTGTAATGAAAAAAGGCTTTCCACGAGACCCTTATCTTTTTAATCTAAGGTAATCTCATATGAGATAATTATTTACACATAATTCATTTTTGATTTTGTGTTTTCATCTTTATTTCAAAGTGTAGTTTTTCGTTACATTGATATTATACGATTTCTTTGAATGATTCGGAGAAGATTTGTAAACTTCAATATAATATTTTCGCTATGCTTAAATATACTTCTATCAGTTTTTTCATGCAATAATTATTTTATACCTGAAATCGAAATATAAACATCTATGTTTTTTTATAGAATTGAAAATGTATATTTTTATTTCACTTTATTTGGTTTACTACGAGGTTATTTTTTGATTGTATGACACTGGTCATTTTGGAAAAGTCTTAACTAAATATTTTGACACGAAATCTTACATTCAATGAATCTCCATCTTTGTGTATGAATTTAAAACCCTCCTGCCTGATTTTGCTTTGAAAAACATCTTATGTTTAGGATTAGTAAGTTGTTATGGTTTATCAATCGAGAGATTTAATTAAAAATTCGTATCCTTGTGATGAACAAAGCATTACTTCAAAATTTCAATATATACATTGAAATTTAATTGATGTTATTGCTGTGACAACAATCAATTATTATTTTACTTAAATTTAGCATTTGTGTTAATCCATTATTCATTTGTAGTGTTTCCTCTCGCGGCAGTCGGTTTGTGCAAATTTACAAAAAGTTTTTGGTGGTTTAGTTGTTGGTGGCCTAATAGGTGTTGTTATTTTGGGATTTGGGTTCGCGGATTTGGAATCTTGTGCTGTTGCAATTGTAATGGCAGTGGGTAGCAAGTAAGTCTCTTTATTAATATATACTTCGCTCACTGATATTACTTACCAGTGCCTTATTTCTTATTGCCATTATTTTTTCTGAGCAATAACAATGGCATATTATATCGAGTAAATTCTATCAGTAAATAACTATTATTAAATGCGTCTCGACGACACATGTGACAATTGAAAATTGAAACTTCTTGAAGGCGCTGCAGTCTGATTTATTTGTATGTATATTATTCATGAATTTTTCGATTGGAAAGCGATTATGAAGTTTCCCTCATTTTATTTTTTGTCCTTTTCAGAAATAAGAAGAGAAAAGGATTAGTTTCTACCTTTGGTCATAAAACAGTCAGAAAGGTACAGTCATCTTTGTTGCAAGCATTAGAAGTAAAGACTACAAAAACAAGCTTACCAAGACCTTCCAAGGTAATATCATTATTCTTTCTTAAAGAATTCTTCGTTTGTATTATGGATTCAAAACACGATTTTACATATACAACCGCAATTGATTCATAAAGAATACTTTATGAAGTTATTGATAATTGTACTAGTGTTAAAAATTTAGGAGAAATAATGTGCACACAGGAATATGAACATTAATTGCAATAATTTCAAATTAAATTATGTAAAGATGATAGAAAAGCAGAGAGTCAAAGAAAATATGTTGTGAAGTTATTCGCATATCCTTCGGTTTACACAAGCATTTACACATCTAGATAGTATTTCAAACTTTGTTTCAAAAGAAGTAAAAGTTCGAGTGCACTTCGCGCTTGTATAAGTGGGACAACTACAACGAAAAAAGGCGCCATGTCATAATTTGAATTCCTTCCGATGAGATTCTGATAAATTGTAGAAGAGGTCGGAGGGAGAAACGTTGCATTGACTGCTGGACCTGTTCATAAGTTTCAGTCAGCTAAGAATATTTAAGAAATTCTAGTTAGCAGAGGGGAATAAAAACTAATATACTTGGTGCACGTAAGTTACTAATTATTATTAGTGCGTGTAATGTGAAGAGATCATCGCTAAAGTGAGGTTAATGAAGTTAGACTTCATTAATGAAGCCTGTAGGCAGGAAAAGTACCTTTATATTTGCAGGATATAAACGAGTGTCAGCTAACACAGGCAGGATCGGAAAATGACGAGGATTCATTTGTAACGTCACGGACCAATATTAATGTGTCACTTCCAAGTAATTCCTCTGGTAGTTATGTGACAGCTTTTTGTGAAAGTGGTGCTTCCAGTGAAATGTTCAGAGTTATGTCTCCAACTGCATCTGTTTCTATAGATGTGGGCGAAAAGTCCAGGAGACAAGGAAGTTTTGACGCCGACTCTGGAAAGGGTGGCTCACCCCCACCGCTGCAACATGTTTATGTTGATATTTCGGATTTGGAAATGCATGATGGTTATTTTTCCTCTTAAAAATTTTTTCTGTCTCTTGCGGTTTTCGACTCTTAGATTTTTGGTTTATTGCGGTAATTTTGGGTTTTTCGAATGCAGTATAGTGATTTTTGTCTTTTTCATTTAGGAGAAATAAGCTTACGAAATGTCGTGAAATATTTTTAAATATACTTTACGGCTGCTTTTGAGAGGAATTTTTCTTTAACGTCCATTATTACAGAACATTTAAAATTAGAGAAGTATGGACTTTCAGAGACAACAGCATCACCATTGCTATCCCACGTGTCACGGAAGAGTTCACTCGAAATGTTGAATAAAGTTTATTTTAAATACTATTAATTTTTTTGTTTTTATTTCCTATTTTTTCAGATTTTTCAAGCACGCTGTGTGAAATATAATCTTGTGTGATGCTCAAGATTACATTTCTTTGAATGAAAAAAAGGAATAACTGTAAATAACTGTAGATTCAGTTTAATCGAGATCTGATTCTTCCAGGAATCTAGAACTGTGCAGACCATCTTAGATGAGCTTCAGTCTGAGGCAATCAGTGACGATGTAAAGGCAAAAGATTTAGCTTCTTTAAATCGAGTTATACTTCAGTGCAAAGACTACATGCAGCGCTGTTTAGTACGACAGGATTTAATGTGTAAGTAAGCTATGAAAGGTTTTGAAGCAACGCAAACTTCGTTATTATTTGAAAAAAAAAAAAAAAACTTTGTCTTGGAATGTTAAGTATTAAGATGACTTATAGCTCAATTAATTAATTCAGATTTATTTTTCGATCGTTGAAATCTGATTTTAATTTTGACTTGCTTTTTGGTATACTAATGGAGATCGATTTTTAGCACTGGGCTTATTCACTGCACTACCTAGGCTGATCGAATCACGAAATCGAGGAATAGAATCAGAACTGGAAATATTTTTTGCTAGTGAATCCAATGACAATTTATTGGGCAGTGGTACTCGTCATCCAATCGACATCTTCCAGGCGGCATACGTGAAAATGAAGTACTCAAAATCTGCTGAGATTTTGGTATTCCTTTTTTTATTTTTTGATTTCAGTAAGTTTTGATATGAGAAATATGTTATTTGTGCTGCTTTAATTTACATAGTTTGAAACCTATCTTTATATCGAAGTTTTAGTGTATTATATACTTTTATTGAAACCTATCTTTATATCGAAGTTTTTTTTTTAGTGTATTATATACTATGTAGGTTTCTATTATATACTTTTAAGAAACTGAATCTCTTGAAATTTATGTCTTGAAAAATTTGACACCATTAGCTTTTTTTGGGGTAATATTTCAAAATGTTTGCCGTACAACAGCATTTAAAAAAATTTTTCTCTTTTTTGATACATCCATGAAAAGAAGAAAGGTAATTGGTGGAATGCTTATTCCATGTTATCTACCAATCAGTTAGAGTCTTGTTTTTTTCCTCTTTTATTTATTTGCAAGAAGTGATTATTGTTATATTTTTCTCTAATATCAAATTAAGTGAAGTTTTTAACTAGAAACATTTTTGAAGTTGCTATCTTTATTTAGCTGGATATATTAGAGCTTATCTCAAAAATTCAACCAAGTGGCGAGAGACTTCACGGTGTACTCCACTATCTTCAAAGAGGTTACATGCGAAACGAAGAAGTGCAAACTCAAGAGGGTAACTTTAGCTGTGTTCTTTCCAGGAACAGTATAGCTTACTGGAAATTAAATTAATAAAATTTCAGTGGGAGAAAGCGATTCATATGGTGCTTTACCTTCTCAAAATACTATCAAGAGCAATAATGTTCGGGACAACTTAGTGCTCAATGAATTCTCGCCAATGCCACAGGTTTATATATATTCTTTAGAGATTAGTATTAAATCCTAAAATAGGATATTAAAGTTCCAGCTCAAATATTCCAAGTAAATTTTTGATTGGCTCTTTTTAAGCCAATAAGACGACCGCGGTCAACTTCTCGCATGAAACGCTCCAGTGGAAGTCGACAGATCGAAATTACAAATATTCCATTCATTGATGATGAAGCTCCTGTGGTATCTCCTAGCATAAAATTAGACGAAAAGGATGAGGAAAAAAGTCACAATTTAGAAGAATTACCAAAGTCGCTACAATGTTTGCCGCCTATTGAGAAACAAAGGTAAATGAAGAAATTGACTGAAGCAGAATTATATAGAGGTAGTTTAGATTTCCTAAAAGCTGGCATATTCTAATTGGATTTAATTACTAGTGGTCATCGCTTAGCATAATTAACCATGGTGCATTAAACATTTTATGCAGACATCAATGAATTTATCACTGTTTTATTTCTAAAGTATTAAACCTCATCTTATATTGTCTTGGAAATATGTTTTGTTTCGTTATCGTATGAGGAGGGCACTTATCAAAATGATTATCAGCATTATCAATTTCTATTGAGAAGTCATTTTATTTGTAAAAGCCGAGCTCGTATAGTCTGGTGCAGCAAATTTTTCTAATGCTTTCCTTAATAAGAGTAATAAAGAAAAAATGGTTGCTTAAAATATAGAATTGTTTAAATTTAACATAAACTCATTTAAAAAATATTTCATTTTGTTTCAGATCCTAATAAATTATACATTTCAGTACAGGGAAGCCACCATTAACTTCTATACCTCCTCCACCACCTCTGCCTCCACCCGCTCCTGAGTTTCTGAATACTTCACTTGTAAGACAAACGCCGGTTACTGAATCATCAGTTATCGTCAAATCAGTTTCCGTATACAAGTAATGTTTTCTTTTTTTTTATTATCACTAAATATTAGCATTTGATAGTCTTAGTGTGATTTTCTACTTTCTCATAATTTAAATAAATCTTATATAAAAATATATTTAAATAAATTATAGCCATCCGTAATGGAAGTCTAATAATATTTGAGAGTTGAAATCGTAATTGGATTAATCGATCGCCACGTTTTATTTCTTTTTTAAAATACAAATTCAATCAAAACTGTAACAGAAATTTAGTTACATTGAAATTAGGATGGAGGTTGAGATGCAACTTCACCAAGTGATAACAAAAATAAGCATATTTGCAGAATATTACCATAATATTCGTAATGACAGCTTATAATTCTTGCTGTAAATTTTATATATTTTCAAGGAAGGCATGTGCGACTAATACAGTTGCATGGGAGGCAGTGAAGCCGGAGATGGTAGTGACCAGACCGACCATTTGGAGTGATCAAAGTGGCATTTATGCAGAATTTAATCAGCAAGAACGCGAGCGAGTTAGTAGAATTGAGATGCTAAATTCATCAAATAAGCATAGAAAATATTTCTAGTAAAAAAAAAAAAAGACAAAAAATTACCATCAGAATCTGTTTTGTCCTATCAGATGTGATTTCTTTTTGAAAAGTTTCAAGAAATCACTGGAAACGTGAGCTTGGCGAAACAGTTAGTTCATTCTTAGATACAAAAACAAATAAAATGGTGAGTGGGATTTAGCTAAGATTCACTTTAGCGGGATTATCTTTGAGAAAGAAAAGGGCAGTATTATGAGGCAAATATTGCTATGTGTGCTATCTCTTTTCTTTGAATTCTTAGCGGTAAATGATTTCTAAAATACATTTGCAGCTGGAAAAAGTTTTTGAGCGGACACATGCATGCAATTTTCGTACTACCACGACCCAACAGCGAATACGAAATATCAGTGATCATAAAAAAGGAGCTGAAGCAATTGGTGGTCTTACGGAAAAGCGGGCGCTCAATTTGGGTATCGTCCTTGCACGGTAATTAATTTTTAAATTCAGAAAATTTGCTTTCCTTATAGTATAACCTAGTAGCTATATTCAAATCTTAGAAATTTGTCCTTTGTTAATGTATGCAATTGTTAACAGAATTTTTGTGCATCACGAATGTTCGTTTGTTAAACAAGCTTTACCACTTTAAGCTTAACCTAACATACAGCTCATTCAAGAAAAAGACATTTGAGTTAATTGTTAGGATAAGCGATCTTAAAAATTGCTAATATAGGTAATTTAGATTCCGTCCACTTACACTGGAACAGTTGATACAAAAAATGGAATCTCTTGAAATTAGTAATCTTTCTCACGACTATTTGGCTTCTCTTCTTAAACACTTCCCATCACCCGAAGAGGTCAACTTTCTTTTTATAAATTTGAATTTTTTCAATAGGATTGTGCTGTAATAGTGGTATAGATATTTTGGAATCAAAATAAAAATTTTGGGCAGAGAAGTGGACGACTTATTTTAGTTATGCTACAATTCGTTTTTCTTAACAACTACATGAATCGAGAGATAGGCATATGGCAAAAAGTTAAAATTGTACAATTTCAGTAGCATTAAGTGAAAAAAATATATTTCAAAGTCAAACTTATGTTGGGGTGTTACTAGATGTGTCGTCTATTGTTTGATGTTGAATAATACAGCCTAGAAGATTTCATGTTCCCTTTCATTACGTATGATACACTCTTCTATAATGCCATTGGTTTAAATTGTTTTGCAGTTCACATATTTTGCAAAAATGAAGACCCCTGATAATTTGAAAGATGCCGAACTATTTTGCTTCTTAGCTGCTCGAAAACCACTATTGAAGCTGCGTATCGAATTGAAAGTTCTTTCTGACAATATAGTGAACGATGTGGGTTTGTTTATGTGATGTCTAATATGCTGATATACAATAAATGATATTATTTTAATGGCATGGTAAATCTGTAATTGAGAAGAAAAATGAAAAGAATTGTTTTCGTATATTCGAATTTAAAAACTCAAATTAACAAGTCTTTTTCGAAAAAATTTCATTTATAGCTTGCACGACAGCTTGATTGCACCCGTCTTCTTTTGACTGCAACTGGTGAACTTTACAACTCTGCCTCCATCAACGCCTTTTTTCATCGCTGCTTGCACTATGGAAATTTCTTGAATCAAGTTGGTCCTATTTTATAATTAGCAATTACTTTAATTATAATTAAGTTATTGTGACTCCGTGATGGAGAAAAAATAGATTGGGAAGTAAATTTGTAGTTATAGATTATCTTGGATATCCAAGAATTGCACATTTCCCTACTTCATTTTACTCAATTCAGTGCCATATATATATATATTTGAATTATTTGCATTTGTCTCTATGCTATTTTTGCTTTGATCCCATTTCTTGTTAAACTTTGTATATTCATTTCGCTCATATGTCATATCAAATTAAGTTGTGATTAAATTTTTATTTGTTTTGGTTTTTTAATTAAACGATATCAGATTACTAGCTCAGTGTCTGATTATTTAGCATCTTTAATTGTAATATCCATTTTCTTGCGCTATTAAATATCAAAACGCTTCTTATTAATCTTATTAAAAATTTTTCTTAAAAAGAAAAATAAGAAAAATTCTTAAAAATTTTCCTTATCAATCTAGAAGTCAACTAGATCACCAGCAATTTGAGCTATGCTTAGCACAATGAAGTGTAGTTCTGACCAAATATAATGATGAATTTCACAGAGTAAATTTATTTAAAATTTGTTTTGTCTAAGTAATTTGAATATTTCAGTCAACTTTCGCGGCCGGTGCTTCTGGATTTGCATTGTCATCATTGTTGTCTGCTCTGAACACAAAAGGAAGTGGTGCGGCAGCTAATACACGTCTTGTTGATGTTTTGGCGGAATATGCTGATGAAAATTTGCGAGCTGTTGTGAAAGTCCTAGATTTTTTGGAACCTGCAAAGTTAGTGCTGTATATAACTTGAATCACTATTCTCGGAAACATTGATCACAGTATGTGAAAACTATGTATCGTTAAAAAAACTAGGAAGGAATGGAAAAATTTTTTTTCCAAGTGAGGATAACTTGTTATACGTAACATCATTAGAATAATATTTCTCAAATAATGTGTCTGACTTGTTTGAAATAATGCAGTCCTTCCATCCTTCATTGTTCAAGATATATCTTCTAGTAAGGGGTATATGTTTGCAGGAAATACTCTATTGACGACTTGGAGAAATCAGAAGCATCACTTCGCCATTCTTTGGAAATGTCTTTAAAAAGTCTGCAAGAATGTGGCGATCGTGAACTTTATGTGCATTATTCTCCCATCATCATGGTATTCAGATTTCATATGAAAATTTTACTCTGGTTCTACGATTACACCCCCTCCCAATATTCTCCAAAATTAGTGGAAGAACTTGACAAAGGTCAGACTGAAATTTTTTGAGAGCATCTCATTATTTCTTGCAGGATTCCACAGCAAAATGTGGACAATTAGCGCGATCTATCAAAAAAGTACGTCATAATGAGATTTGCTTGAAAGAATATTATTGTGCTTCGCAGTTGAGTTTGGAAAATATCATTGAAACTCTGAGCCAGGCTGTTAGACTTTTCCAGGACTCGCTTAATGTTGGTTTGAAGTTTATTATCCTGAACTTTTTTGATTTATTATTTAGGTTTTTCGAAAATTGTCAAAATTATTTACTGGTTGGTTTGTTCTATCAGTTACTTCTTAGTAGCTAGGATTTTTAATGGGCTTAATTGGATACTACGATCCATTACAACCAGTTATTTGGCTTTTTCGGTCCCAGTTATTTGATATTTCAGTTACTCACTTTGCGTTTGTAATGTATGATATGTCGACTACTTTACCATGTATCAGAATTTCAGAAAGCAGAAGCACGTGCTGCTCGTACCCAACGAATGCAGAAGCAGCGTGTTAGTGCTGGTCATGATACCGCTGTTCGCGGAAGTAGACGTCGAAGAGGTGATCGAATTCGAACTTTTGAACCTCCAAATGTGAAGGATCTCATTAACATAATTAATTCAAATGAGTGCCGTTAGAAATAAATTTCAAAATATTATCTAGTTTCACACTGTTTTGTCATTCTTATTTCAAATGTTTCTCAGGACTTTATCAAATTACCATTTGTAATAGAGGTCGCCACTAGATAATAAAACAGGTGTGTAAAGGTCGGACTTCCAGACCTTCATCTAGCTAGTGCCACTAAACTGATAGCCAATAAACAAAGACATAATATTATGAAGCAACTATATATTCTAAACTGATTTATTCGTCTCTGTTGTATTTCTCATTTTTCATTCGCTTTAATTTCCTATGACCGGTTCTTGTTCTCGTCTGTATGCAGTATAATTGAAGTTAAATAAGCGACTTAGCTTGCTGAATTAACAAACTCTACTTTCAAGTCTTTCAGGCATCATATTACCTTAACCGCTACTGTAATAACATAGCTATAACTTCTTTTAACTGATACATTCACTATTATCTTCACTTCTGATTTGTGTCTGCTTTCTCATACAGACTGTATGTAGTGATCTCATATCGTAAAATTATATCGTATTCATTTTAATTGATTCAGAATGAAATTCCAGTTTGAAATTTGGATTTCTCTTTATATGCGACATTCAAAATTTGTAAATTAGTCATGCTCACTGGAGACTTCCAGCGAGCTAAGGTCACCTACTGCCATGATCTCATTAAGGCGTTTATATATATATAAACATCTTTTTATACCGTACACATGTTATTAGGATCGCTTTGGATTCAATGCCAATCTAAACGTTCTGTTAGAACTTTTGGAAAAAATAGATTGAATCTCTGATAATGTCTAGTGTATATTTGGATACATGTTTCATGCTTCTATTATTATATGCATCTCGCTCATGAAGTCAATTTATTTCTATGTATATATATGCATATTTTTTGTCAAAATTAAAATCAGGAATAGTTTCTTGCATCCGGAATTTGTTCTATTGAAACAAAGAAATCCTTCTATTTCGTTTCTTTGGATTCTTTTTTTAGTTTCCTCTTTTGTGGAGCGAGGAAGAAGTCATTTTCATTTGATAATGTGTGTGAAGAATTTGTTCTTTAGGGAGATTTGCTCTAACACAGCAAAATTTTGTAAGGGCTAATGGTCTCTAAGAAGGACATTTATTTATTGACTCTGGAATATATCGATTCGATGCTGTAGTATATACAGCAGAAGTATTTAACGTAGCATAACAGAGAAGTACTTCGGCGAATTTATTAACGTACATGAGGTATTATAAGTCATAAGAGAAAGGAAAAGAAGTATCTGAAGGAGCAATATTTCTTCGCATGTTTATATAAAGTATATATATATATATAATCTCGAGTCGTCACTTTGTGTGGGTAGTGATAATTGAAGTAAATTTACTGATTAGGATGGTTGCTGTTGGTGGGTCAGCTTTCTACTTGCGTACTTCTAGCTTAGCTGCTGAAGAGCTAAGTCTATATCATTCTTATACACACAGTTATTTTAGTTTCTTTATCATCAACTATTAAATTAAAAATATCAATTATCTGCTCAAATTTCTCCTCCTCTTTATTTCTTCTTGATGAAATTGTTATTGTCTTTGTACATTCCTACTATGTTCCGTTAGTCGATTCTCGAGCTTCAATACGTAGTTCAGGTGACTAATTCCTTCCTCGATAAGTCTTTTTATACATCCAGATAATACGATCTTAGCCTGTAGATTTATATCTTATAAATTTAAACAAATTGCTTTGACACATTATAAAATCGCTTCTATTTTTCTGATACCTTGATTGTTTCAAGAGATCGTTCATGATTCCTATATATTTAGTGTGACACAGCACCGTATTTATAAAGATCTTTGCAACAGAAGGAAACATATATGTTTGTTGTCAAATGTTCTAATTGAAGACAGTTTAGGCAGACATTATTTTCCTTTATCGTCCTATTCTTAGATTGATATTAGCATACATTTGACAATCATATCCCAATGGTATTCATTAAAAAGTGCGCAAGTGCGCATTTTGTTTTAGTAACTTTTTCCAGTTCGCATCCGTTTTGTAGTCATATGCCTTTGGGGTCGTTATTGCGAAGTCGAAGTTCCTTCCTTGTAATATGTCGTATATATTTATTTATTCATAATTTCTCTCCTTCTCGGATTTTCCAGTAAGTTGTTTTGTTTTGTTTTGTTTTGTTTTTTGTTTTGTTTTCGAAGGATTAGCTCTTTGTGATTTCATTTCGTTGAATCATTAAGAATTGTCTCAATTTCTGGCAACTGACTATAATTCTTGTTCTTCTTTGAGTTGATAAATCCTGTACAGAATTCAGGTTAGTAATTTATTTTCAGTTGTAGTTTCGATATCGATATTTGGTTTCCTAGATTCCCACCCACAGCTTCTAATTATCGAAGTATTCTTTTGATAGCCTCAACCGTTACCTTCCATTCTCGGTCATTCTTCTTGATCGAATGTAACTAGTGCTATAGGGATTTTTTAATTACGTGCGATTGCAAAATTGTCAACAAAGACATTCTTTTTAAAATCGTAATCATATGGTAGTCTCTAAGTCTGCAGTTAAGTAATTCAACTTTTGAATATCTGTAATAAATGTACTCAGCATCAAGACATTCCAGAATTCTCTGCTTTTGGATGATCACTGAATGTTGTGATTTCTTTGTTGTTGTCTTTAAAGGTATGTCGATGTTCAGCAACAAACAAGAATTTTAAAGGCTTACTTTGGGTATTTCAGTAAGCAGTTCAGTTGAACTGATGTAGTAACAATAGTAGTGCTACGTTAATCGTGGAAAAAAATAGTTGACGTCAGTTACGCTTAGTTTATGAAACCGTAATCTTAGTTTATAATTTATAATCACTACAATCAGAGGTATTATTTATAATTCGAGGTTCGCGACACTTCACAACAAACATAGATAAGTAGTAAGGGAGAGTAGAGGAGGAAGTTTCTAAAGAAAAGCATTAAAAGTATTTCTTTGTATATTTGCATAAAGTATACTTTATATACATATCGAAACATAATTTTTTAAATTTCAAAATTCATCACAAGAAGGAGAAGAAGGAGACAAACAGCAGAAAAAGAGGAGAGGGAGATTTGATATAAACAATTTCACACCGAAAACAATTCACAAGGATGATAAACATCAAATCGAAAACAATTGTGCAATAAAACATAAAACAGGTGTGTGTGTGTGTGCGAATATTAACAACATCAATTATTAGATATGTTTATTATAATGATTAGAGGTTTGTCATTTTCGAATTTTAGCCAAATGTATTATAGGAAATTGTGAGTGAAATTCTTCGATAACATTAATTTTTGCTAGTATTTTTTGCGTTGTCATCTGAGAGACACACGGTCATTTACTGTCTATTAATGAGAAATTAATAAACATTCGATCTCGGATAATCAGGTGATAAACTACCTAAGTTCGTTGTACTCAGTCATTAATGTACACCAACACGATACTAGTACTCAAACGTCTGTGTGTGTATGTGTATGTGTATGTGTATGTGTTGTGCATGTATGTTTGTATATGTATCTGTTATAAATTTATAGATAATAATATCGGCAGAGGGTGGAGGAATGATTTTGTCATCTTTCCTCTGCTGTCGTTGATGTCTACTTGCTTCTATTATGTATGCATATTGCATAATGCATTTCTGATGATGGCTTGTGTATTATATATGTGTGTGTATGTATGTGTGTGTGTGTGTATGTGTGTGTGTGTATGTGAGGACATATACATAAATGCTTTCGTTCCCTTCGATATCCACATTTATGGTGGTTGTCGATTATTGATTGTTGTTGTTTTCAACTTAACAGCTCGTTGTTCATCGTAAGCATGCTGGTATCTGTACAGTGGGATGGTTAGGTTAGCTGTTGTTTGACGATTCAATTCGTGTCTAGCTGCTGTTCACAACCAAACGAATTAGCTATTTTATCATGCTTTCTGCTTCAGTAATGTATGCTGGTGTATTGCTGTCACTTAATAACCAGTTCTGATGTCTTTGCTGTGACATTAATTGTTTGGAAGAGATTTTGTATGAGGATTGAATCAAGCGAAAGGTGTGTGTACTAACAGTTGAAAGATCTCTGTGTTGTGGGTTCTGTTGTGAGCAAGTTTAGTGGGATCTCAAGTTAAGATAACCTCTGTTCATATTGGCCTGATAAATGCGAGAGAAAGAAATTTTTCAAATTGTCACTTCTCCATATGTTTAATGCAGGTTTTTTTTTTTTTTTTTATTACTGTTTAAATTATGAACTTGGAGTGAAAGCGGTTTACTTTAATGACAAGTGATAAATTATGCTGTAAGAGTATCAATTGTGTAAATGAAAGAGTATGTTAGCTGAGTAGTTTGCAACTTCTAGAAGCTAACATGTAAGCAGTAGTGACAAATATTATTTTGATGGATATTATCTATGGTAGCTATAAGGTCAACGACCGTGTCCAACAAGATAGTAGGACTATGAGAGCGCATTTTTGTTTTCTTTTGCAATAACTGCAGATTGATGAAAGTGATTGAAGTACAGTTTTTATGGGAATGAGAGCTATTAGATGAGTTTCTCGAACATAAGAGGAAATCCAGACATTTCACATATAAATTAATCTCTTTATTAGCCCTTGTTTCCTCTTCAGAGATATGTTTTTGAAATGATATTGGGATGCGAAGCATATGCTCGGATAATTTCCTTAGGAATGTTAGCTTTGAATTTCGCGCCCACATTTTGCATACATTCTCAAATTATTTCATTCTATAAAAACATAGTTTAGAATTTGACGATGTCGGAGGTCTCATTAATTGAGGAATAAGAAGAAATAATTATGTTAAATAATAGGTAAGTGATTTTACCTGTTGGAATTCTGCAAAATTTACTTGTAGAGCGGGCGTTATTTACCAATTCTAAGATGATTAGAGTCATTATTTACTAATTACTTTATTTGACTGATGTTTCAGGTCATGAAACATCAGTCAAATACGCCGAAAGCTGCATCGTTTTAGAAGTGGTTATAATGTATTATTTTTAAAAGATTTTTTTCATGACAGTCTTGATTCGTTTTTTCTGAATTTTTTCAGTTGTATACTGCAAGTGCGAGGAATGCTCGGGATGTTTTTTCCTATAAATGGTTTTGAAATTATAATTTTTGGTAAACTTTATTATAGCAATGGAAAGCACAAAAATATTGGAAGTAGCAGGCGGTGATCAGTGGCCAGATCAAAAACGTGATATTAAGAATAAAGGAACAATAATCAGCTCACTGGATGATCTAAAAATGATTTTCCACAATCTATTATATCCGAAAGACAATAAAGCAGTTGATCAGGCATTCCAACAGCTAGAACAGAAGACACATTTGGAAAGAGAAAAGGTAATTTTAATAAATGCATGGTACAATACTTCGTGATCATTGCATTTAGAGTTTAGGAATTCCTAATCGATTATTAACGAACATATCTTGTCTCGATCGCTTTTTTCAAGATGATGGCTGTACTTTTTCATGATCCGACGGAATGACTTTGAATGTAAAACTGATTACCAAATCAAAACCCAAGTCCGTGAAATCTTTTCATAATACCGATTGAATATTAATGTGGAATTCCCTTTATGCCCTATTATCGTCTTTATATTTGTTTTGCATTACCGTTTTATTACATATATGTTTACATTGTTTTTTTTTTTTAGCTTTTGGATAAAATCTCTATATTGTGGGTACTATTGTATAGTAAACATGATAAGTTAATAGTTAAGAATTTGATTAGCTAATGTAATATTTTCTCCTAGTTACATTTATGCAGGCGTTTTTGTCTGTAATAACTCTTATTATTAGTAACTGATATAACATATTACACTAATTTTAGATAGCTTATGCTGTCATTGCTCTTGCTGGATTATATATGGTCTTTGGAGCATTTGCTAGATTGGTGTGTAATTTTATTGGTTTCGCATATCCAGCATATGCTTCTGTCAAGGTAATTTGAAGACTGCTTAAGATGTGCCATATTTTTCACAGCTATATCATCAGATTTAAGACTTTCGGAGAGAATTTGGAAGATGTAGGCAATTTAATTGTTGGAATGAAGCAGAAGTTTGTGAAACTCAGAACAAGTTCCAATACTTAGTAGTGGATTTTTCGTTAGGAAGGATGATTTCGAATTTGTGTCAGTCAGTCAGTTTCGAGTGGTGTTAAATTTCAGTGACAGGGAATATTTAAAAGTCGTAATACCTTGGATGAGAATGGAATTAGAAGATAAGAGATCATGCATTAAAAGATCAATTCTAGGCCATTCGAACTGCTCAAAAAGATGATGATACTCACTGGCTTATTTATTGGACAGTATTCTCAGCTTTTTCATTGATTGATTTCTTTGCAGAATTAATATTGTGCTATTTTCCTGTTTATTGGATCATCAAGGTCGCTTTTTTTTTTGTGCCAATGACAACTAATTTTTCATGCACTGAAAAGCAGTTAATGATATGCATTAGTTATTGATCATGAGCAGATGCATTAATTTTAGCTATAAGTTGAAAAAGTAAATCATAATGGTTGTTTACAATTTACTTTTTCAAAGTTATTTTATCAAGTCAGAAACGCGGTTACTTAATATCATTCTGCTATAGTATTTGCTTTTTTAGGCATTATTCATGCTTTACCTGTATCTGCCGCAGACCTATGGTGCGATAGTTTTGTACAATCGATTTTTGGATCCAGCGATTACAAAAGTGGATGCTTTGCTAAAGCAGTATATGACAGAGAAAAAAGAATAAAGTAATTGATCTTTAAAAATTTTCATGTTTAATTTGAACTTTTCCTTGTTGTCATCATTTCGGTATTAGACGGGATTTCTGTTTTATAAATTCCCCTCCAAAAAAGATGAAAATAATTTACAGTTTTGCGTTCTTGTATGTACATAACTTTATTAGCTTTAAATATGTTTGAAATTACTGAACTATTTCCATTTATTCCAAAGCTCTCCCGGTTGCACAGCATTTTTTAAAGCATGTTTCCTGTATGTAATGCTGATTATAACGGGAATTTCTGTGCACTGAAATTTTTATTGAGATTAATAAATATTTCTTGGTTACTTTTATCAATTATAGTTTGCATATATTAATGCATTAACCAATGACTTGGACTCAAGAGAAGGTGTGATTATGAAGAGAAATGCTAGCGGTCCATTTTTTTTTTTTTTTCAGAAAATATCAAGGTAAAGCTTGTTGCAGTATTACACATCTCGTTTCAATCCTCCATTTTTTTTTTTTTCAAATTTGCAAACCTGGCTGCTAATTCATTCATTTCGAAGTTATTATCTTCAAATTTGTGAACAGAATTACGTTTGTGGCATGGCTTATAAAACTCAACTTTGGGAATATTGTTCCGGATATTTCCATTTTGCTTACGGTGTTCATTAGATAAACGTTTTTGAGTAGAGTTCTGCCAAAAAATGTATCTGCGAGTCAATCCATCATTAGTCTAAGAGATTTCATTTTTCATCAACAATTATAATTATTCCTTCTTTCTTCGTATTGTTTATCACTCACCTTGAAATGTCGTCTCTTGGCTAAATATTGTGTCAGAAAAACAGACAAGACCAGATGTGATATGGAAGTCAAGTCCTTGGCTACAATGATTTGCTAGCCTATTTAAAGGCATACCCTGCATCCAGTGCATGTACAACACCCAAATAGTTTACATGCTAAACAGATGAGGAGTGGTATGAAGCAGCAAATGAATACGAATGATAATATAATTACAGCTAGTATTGACCTGAAATTACACTTACGAAAACTTTGAGAAGAAACTTTATTAGAGTTCATTGATAATTTACTTAAAGCAGTGATGATTAATGAAATTTTATTATGATCTTGTTTGAAATGCACATAAACTTACAGCGTCCATGATTGAAATTCGATAGCATCATCGATTGTATCAGGTTGAGCTTCTTTTAATTTTACATAAATTGTTTTTTTCAGTTGCAAGAAATAATCTTTCATAGTTATATAGAAATAATCATGATAAGTAAGTGGTTTTTTTGATTGGTTAATAGTTGATTCATTTCTTGAGTTTTTCGCTGACGTAGTGTCTTCATTCCTTATCTGATTTAAAAACATTGAGTTGGTAAAATTGATAAATCTAATAAGAAAAAAAAAAAAAAAAAATGGCAATGTAACTTTAAAAAAAGAAAACCAGAATTCGAGAGAGCTTCGAGATTTGATTCTTATGTAGAAGAAAATTTTTGCTTTATTGCTCGAAAGTTTCTGATAGCAAAAATTACGAGAATGAAATTGTAAACTTGAAAAATGAAAAATGTGATAGTTTTCTTCCAGATGTTAAATAAAGATGTAAGTTAAACTTAATTTTGTCAAACCATTACATACTCACATCATTTGTTGCATCATCTGCAACTGATAATGCTATAAGCAGTAGTGAAGGAATAATAATAATAATAATAATAGTAATAAATGATTTAGAGTAAGTAGTTGCTGAAATTGAATTTTAATATGTTAAAAAATCTCAAGCATTATGTTCGATTAGACAAACAATTCCATTTCGATAAGTTCATATAAATTCGGATCAATAATTTGAAATTGCCTTTCGAGATATTATCACAGGAAAAAGATTAACAATAAATGTTATAATTTGTTACTTTTAATTAGCTCTTATAATAGGCTGACTTTTTTTTTTTTTCATTTCAGTACCAGATTGTATGTTTAAATTAGAAAATAAGATACATTCTTTTCTTTTTTGCTAAAAATGTTGCACTTAAAAAAAACTTACCAGTCGTCATCAAATCAATAATAACAATAAAATGAAATGTCTTTTCATCTTTATAATTAAAAGTTTCTAGAAGATTTATAATATTTCACTAGAGATTTTTTAGATTTTTTAGAGATATTATTTTACAAGATTACAAGTAGCATCATTTCATAGATTGCTGAATCAAATTTCAGTAAAAATTTATTGGTTACTTTTTTTTTTTTTTTTTTTTTTTTTTGGTACTATTTATTATATTATATGCTGCATTTTTGATTTTTTTAAATGAATAAATAAACGTCTGAAGAAAAAGATCTGAAAAATTTATTTAATTCTTTATGATAATAATAAATTAAAAATAAAATTTTTCAGATAATAATGAATGTGACAGAATCTTAAAAAACTTTTTTACTAATATATATAATTTGCTGGTAATTATAACATTTCTGTTTAATATTCTCTTAAAACATCTGGCATTCTTGTCTAATGCATATCTGAATGTCAAATTATTCATTGGAGGAAACTTGTACCCATTCGAGGAAGCTTTTCATACTTTTTTAGTCTAAAAAAATGATTTATCATTGAATTAAGGATTGCTCTCGTGTGACAGTAAAACTAATTGACAATGTTAATTTTCAATGTCACCATAGGTTTTCTTCGTTCTGTCCTATTATCACAATTCTTATCATAAAAAAAAAAGATAAACTTCTGTGGCATCTTCCAAACAGCATTTTTGTTTGAACACTTTGAATTAATTATAGATTCATTTCAAAGAAAAAAAAATTGTTATCACTCAATTTCATTAATTCATTTTGTTATCAATGAGGAATAGAAGAATGTTACAAAAATAAGAAAAGTGCTAGGATATTAGTTTATTTATAGCAATTGATGTAATAATATAATTTATAAATTAATAAACATTTGAAAGAATTTTTCCTGAAAATAGTTTCGATAACTAAAATAAATTTTGATATTTCCTGAAAATAAATTGTTTCAATAATTAAAATTAATCAACTAGCTAAAAACTTGCAATGGAAATTATATAAAAAATTTGTTTTGAAATTAATCATAGGTTGCTTTTAAGCACCTCTACAACACTTTCCGATTAAACTCATTTATACAGTATATCATATTTCAGTACTTCTTGTAGAACGATTGATTTATTATTATAAGCACCTCAATGATCATAATTAATATTATAAAATTTTTCTAAAATTTGCATCATTAAATTTAAAATGACAAATATCTATCCAATATTACAATGTATAGCACTTCATTTTATTAAAGTTTTTTTTTCCAACTTTTTTTTTTAGATATGACACAATTATGAAAATGATTGATTGTATTATAAAATCATTTTTTTAGCACTGACAAATATGCGATGACATTAAAGATACAAGAATAATTAACTGTTTACTAGAATTAATATACACAGAGAGCATAAAAAAAAAAAAAAAAAGAATGTTAAGCATTAAATTTTATTAATTATAAATTAATATTTTATTATTAAAAAAAAAAAAAGATTGCAGCCAGATTGGCTTCATTTTCCTCTTATCATTCACATTATTTTCATTTAATCAATTTGGAAAGTTTCAAGATATGGAAATAATATGAGTAGCTTAGTAATCAATTCAATGTGTTCCACCGGTAGCTCTCCACTTTTTTCCATTTCCGTAAATTTAGGAAGCGATAAACGGAGAAATTCATGCATTTGCTCGAATGGATGCTGTCCTAATGCATTTTGTCTGAAACTAAATTTTGCAAATTTTTTTTTTTTAAATTTTGAAATTAAAATTAAAATGCAATTAATGATATTATTAATGGTGTAGAAGGAAGCTTTTCTTTTTTTTTTTTTTTTTTTTACAACTTTATTACTTCATGCAATCTTCGTTTTCAAATAATTCATTTGGTAGAATAATAGCAGCGTGCGTGATTGCAATTGATGAAAGCTTGCTGCATGCATTCGAGAAATATTTCAATTCATTGTATTCCACCGAACAACCACGCAAATCCAAATGTTTCAACGCGCCATAAATTTGTTTCGCAGATCTTAAATTTGAATCATAATTAGCAGAATTAGTCGAAATATTACTTATTGATTTAAATATCTAAAAATTCAACTTTAGCGGAAATAGAAGCACATAGGAATCCATTTTCCTGAGAAGAAACATTGATATTCTAACTAAAATTTATCACTGAATAAATTAGACCAAATTTTGGTGACCAAAATTATTAGTTCTTTCAGAACTTTGCGCCTTATATCATAAATAGAGACATCAAATGATAGTCTATTCCTGTTTATTTTAACTTTGTTGACATGGTTCATTTCATATGGATTATCTTTTTTATGAAATTTTAGAAATGCTTTAAAGTTTAATACTGAAATTTGAAAGTAAACAAACTTTCTTGTGAACAATTCTATATCTTGCAAATCCCATAGATGTAGTGTACAAATAGGCTGAAAATGAAGCGTACGTAATGTAAAGTCAGGTATTAGACGCAACATATTGGCAATTTCTTTACGTATAGTATGCAACGAATATTGATTCGTTTCATAAGCAATTGAAAAAGCTTGCTTCATCACTGCACCTACGTGAAAATCGGTATAAGTCTTCCAATATAATTTTAATGCCTGTAACACGTGAACGTGATCTAAGTTCAAGTAAACGTTAACATAAATTTAAGTAAACGTTAGTGATATCAATAGCTATGAATTTTAAAATAACAAAAAAAAAAAAAAAAACGAGTTTAGTAATTTATAAAATGAAATTATCAGAATCGATCGATTTCTTACCGATCTAGCAGCTCTGCAAGTATCAGAGAAATTTTTTTGTTCATAGATATTTAAGTTAGATGCAATTTTTGATAATAAAATTATCGGTAATTGTTGTAAGGTAGGTAATACCATGTCATATTCCATTATAATTGCTTCTTGCATGTTATTTTGTGAATGCAAAAAATTTCAGAATTTTAATTTCGTCTTTCAAATAAAAGAAAAATCAAAAAAAAAAAAAAAAAAAAAAACATTCTAAAAGTATTTTTTTTTTTTTTTTAATTAATTTCCTATTCTTCCAAAAAAATTTATATTAAAAAAAGTTCATAAATTAAAATTTTCAATTGTTTAATTACTCTTGAAAGATGTTCAGCAAAATAAACTCGAAAATAATTGGAATTTTTAGAAAATTAAACAGAACTTTTGAAATATTAAAGAAATTTTTTTTTGCACGAATAAATTTTATTTGAGTAGATAAAAATGTATTATTTTTATTTCAATTTGATTATTTCAACAGACTATTGGGCATGTTTTTTTAAGTAATCTATTCGCTTTTTCAATCATTATTATTTAATTTTTGTTAATTTTTTAGTATAATTCTCATTGTTAGCAAAAGTATTTCCTGTATATTAGTTACTGTTCATAAATTTACTATTAATTCCAAAAATTTTACGATTTTAAAATGTGATATTTGTGTGCAAATTGTTTTTGATATGATAATTATTATCCTTTTTAAAGTTATTTTGCTAGTATTTATAAAAAAAATTTCATTACTTTAGAAATTCAAAAAATGATATTTTATCAAAATTTAATTTAAGAATTAATACTGTAACACAGTTTATAAGTACTATAAAATTGAATTGTATGTAGCAGTCATATTGATGCATTACTAGGAATAATTATATAAGGGTAAGTCGGAATAAGGGCAAGTAAGTTGGAATAAGGGTAAGTTGGAATAAGGGCAAGTAAGTTGGAATAAGGGTAAGTCTGAATTCTATTTTAAAACAAAATAATAATTATCCTTAAAAAGAAGAAAATGGTCTTTAGAGTCTTAAAAATGAACAAATTTTTTCAAAGTAAAAACAAATTGGAATGAAAGCAAGCGAACACATACCGTCTACCAAATGTTAGATTACTGAAATAAATTTTTTTTGTAAATTTAAAAAGTTTTAAATGAAATATTTAATATTCCTTTCAATATCATTCTTGAGAATTATTGAATTTTCATCTACTTATTTGAATCTCGATGGAATTCTTTGTTCTATGCTTAATTTCTGATACATTTTACATTGCTTATCATTCCTTGTTTACTGCTAGCGATGAAACAAGAAATAGCAATTAAAGTAATTCTAAATTTTAAAATATTTTATTTTTTTCAATGTTTAAAATATGAATTAAAAAAAAATTTTTTCACAATTGGATAAAAAATGAAAAATGGAAAATTTTCAATGTATTTTCATTAATCCTTCTCCTAAATTAAACTTAAATACGATCCATAATTGATAAATTAAAGTTATAAGAAATGTTTTCTTCAAATGCAAAACTTTCATATTAACCAAAAATGTTTGGATAATTTCTTTTTTTATTAGCAACCTCTAGGCTATAATTAGCAAATAGTGAAAATATCCTAAAAAGTTACATAATTGATAAAACATCACAATGAAAAAAAAAAAAGCAAAATTTAAATTATGAAAAAGTTAAATGTACCAATTAATATTTAATTTCAATTTCATTTTTTTTTTTTTTTGTTTGTAAATTATCATCGCTTCTGATAGACTTATGAAAATGAATTTAATTTTAAAATGAAGAAGAAATAATTTAAGTAATTGAACTGATGAAATTCTCATAAACAGTATAGTATATCTGTCACAGAACACATTTTAACAAATTTAGTAATCTCGTACACTTCTTATTTTCAATTAATATTCGAGTGAATTTTTCTAATTTATTTATTCAATCAATTTTTTTTCTTTTTTTTTTTACTTTATTTAATGAAACTATCAATAACTTTTAGTTGGTTTTTTTTTTTTTTTTTTCATTAAATTAATGTTTTTTTTTTTTTTTTTTTTAAGTTTCAAAATAATAACAAACGGTTAAGCATTCCTCATCTTTCTACCAATTTACATCTATTGAAAAATAACTTACACTTTGTTAGTACCCTTTTATTTTTTAACTAGTATCTCAACACTTATCACTATGATAAACTAGTAGACAGTGATTAATTAACTAGGCTCAGTTTTCCAAGCCTTAAGCCTTCAAGCCTTAAATTTTCAAAATTCATATGCCTAAGTGATAAACGAATATCTTAGACATACACTTCAGTGATATCAATATTGTCTGTGATCAATGCCTGTAATACAGGGTAATAGGTACCCACCCGATACACTGCACTGTACGTATGTCTATGTATGTGTGTATGTCTGTATGTGTGTGTGTGTGTGTGTGTGTGTATGTCTACGTCTGTCTGTCTGTCTGTTTTTGTATGCACTTAAATATATCTAAAAACCAGTTTTAAATCTATCTTATACCTAAAAATAGCAAAGATTGCTGAATGGTTTTCCTTCTCGATGAAAATCTTTAATTTGTGACAGAAATGTTTGTATGAGAACTTGTTGTGATGCTGTGGAATGTATCGGCGGGTACAGCAATCTTCTACGCATCTTCGTCCTCTCCTCGCCATTACTGTTATTGTCAACTGTCGCGGAATTGTCACCCCCCAATAGATGATGACATTTTATTGGCGCAAATATCGATGCAAGGATATAGCTATCATCTATTACTCTCATACTTTTTTTCATCTTCAAAAAATATTTCCTTTTGCGCATTATTCCATAAAAGCTGATTTTAATTGCCTTAAAATTTAGATATATATAAAATTTAGTTAGTTAAGTTACTGGAAGAGAATGTTGGTAATTTTAGAAATTTGTGAATATTCAGGCGATGTTAAATTTTTAAATGTTGAATTCACTTTTAGTCGAGAGATGGAAAGCAATATTACAATATATTTATATATCTTTCAATTATGCATAAATTATCAATGTCGAAATTAAATTTTAAAATTATGTTTTATTCATTGCAAAAACAAATAATTGAAAATTGATAAAAAGTTTTATAGCAAAAACTCTTAAATATTATTTTTTTTTTTCTTTTTGAAAAAAAAAATTTTTTTCTATCAAATTAGAATGTCATTTCTATTCATACTATTTGCTATTTTATTCCATTTCTAGCAAAATTTCTTGTCACATTCTCTATCCATTATCAATATGATAACACTTATCTTTTCTAGAATAGAATTTTTAAGGAACTTTATAACTTTTCTGAATAAATACCAAATAATTAGTGTAACGGTAAACAGAATCTTTAGAGAATTTTTTTTTTGAAATAAAAAACTTCCTGAAATGACAATATTAATTGATCGGAATGTTCTATGGTAGAAATTTTGCATAATGGTTAAATAGTTCTTTTGTTTAATGTTTTAATAAATAATTTAGATTTTGAGTGTGAAATATTGGGCGTAGTAAAATGTGAAATGAATTGGAATGTCATTTTTGTGAAAATATCAATTAATATTGCTAATAATTAGCTTTCTTTTGAATTTATTTTAATGTATTTTAAAAATGTAAAATCTTTTTGTTCTTATCCATATTTATTGCATCAACAAATTTTTTTTGTGTTAAACGAATTTATTGCAAATTTTGACCTCTTTTATGACTAATTAGCTCAAAATAATCTTGCTGAGCAGAAAAAAAGAAAAAATTTTTTAAAATTATATATTTTGGCAAATTTCAATGTGTAGAAGAAAGTATTATTATTTAAATAAAATGATTGAATTGAAGTGTTCGATCTTTGTAATCTAATAAAATTCACATTAAGAGAGGTGGAATTTCTGAAAGATGAAAAAAGGTTAATTGAAAAAGTTATTACAGAATTAAAGTTATAAAAAAGCCATTCTTGGGATTACTTAGATAATGAATTCTCAAATTTAGTTTACATAAACTTCATTTAAATTGTAATTTAATAAAGTATCAAAATATATAGCTTAAAAATAATGCATTGAATTAAATGGTTTACTTTTTTGTTTTGTAATATCGTAATTTTGACGACAATTTTAATACTGTGCATATGGATTAATTTAAATTAAACTAAAACAATTTTCATTAATATTTGGTCGTTTTTTTTCTTTTTTTTTTGAAAAAAACTTTTTTTCTAAACCTTTTGAAAAATTATTCTGATTAAAAAAAAAAAAAAATATACGATATGACGAATGTGAAGTTTGCAAAAATTAACAAATTATTTTCGCTTACTTTGAAATGAATATTTTAAATTAAGGAAAGTCAATTTTAACGACATCGAATGGAGCACTGTTACGATTCGAACTATTATTGCTAATGTGTCAGTTATGGATATTGTTCTTACTTATCATTTTACGAATAAATGGCGGAAATACGACCAATTCGAACTTATCACAAATGCGCATTTGTCAACTGAGGTGTGTCGCCAAATGTGTCATCGACGATAAGGTATTATATTATGATAATTGTACCATTATTTTTCTTTCCCACATGTGTGAAATGTTAATTTAATTTGAATTAATTACTTAGAGAGATTTTCTAGCATAGATTTCGTTTTTGTGTTCATTTGAAACATATACTAAAGTATATTGAAATGTGAAATAATATTTAATAGTATCAATCATTGAGCACATTTTCAATTTAGCATAGCTAATAATCAGAAATGATTTAATTTAAAAAAGCAATTTTAAATCTTAGAATTGGCTTATTTCATGTAAACTAATGATGTATTTAAAATGAAAAGTTTTTTTTTTTTTTTTTAAATTGCGTATTTTGTTTATAAATTCACAAAGTTTTTCAGTTGTTTTTCAACTTTAAATTCTTTAAAAAAAAAAAAAAAATTCTAAAAAGTGCAAATAAGGACTAATTTTGCAAAATTGTTTTTATATTTTAAACAAAAAGAAAAAAAGAAAAACTGAGATTAAAATAATTTAATAAGAATAAAAAAAAAAAAAAAGAACAATTATTGTGATGAATTTTCAGCAATCTTCAAAATATTGTGAAGAACAATGCAAGAAAAATATGGCAAATGACCTTTGCGTGAGTTTAAAATTTTTTTTAAACTTTCATCCTTAAAGAGAATATTTAAAAGAGGACAAAAATTTACAACTTTAAATTGACCTCTATTCGAATAGATCATTTATTTTCTTTTACCACTACCATTTCGATTTTAATTTTAGTCTTTCAACTTTTTTCTTTGCTATCTTTTACAGTTATTAACTTTATGTTTGATAGGATGAAAAATTAATTTTCTCATTTTAAGTTTTAAAAAATTTTTTTTTTTAAGTTTATAATTTTATTCAACTTAAATTGATCTTAATGCGGAAAAAAATAAAAAGTAATATCGTCAAACATGTATGTTTGCTGCTAATACGTACACTCACTCATTATTTTTAAAAAAACAATAATAAAATTTTGAAAAATGGTAACAAATTAAAATTTCAAAATGAAAAAAAAAAAAGAAGAGTGAAGAAAGCGTTATAGAAATATTACTTAGAATTTATAGGATGATAAGATTCGAGACAAGAAAATTTGCTGGGAGACATGTGATGGTAATATAAACCAAGGACCAAAACCTGAAATACCGAAAGATATTAAATGGATCTATACACCCTCATATTCCATCAATATTACTTGGATTGGTGATGGAACATTGTATTTGTTGAAAATGATCAAAAAAGTTGGGGACAATGAGTATAGCTATCATTTTGTAAGTTTTACACTGTCATTTTTTATATGCTTCAACAAATTTAATAATTTGATATGAGTTTTGTTTGTTTTTTTTTTTTTTTTTTCTGGTAGCTAATTTTTATTGTTGACATTATTTAGAAAATGTTAACTTTTAAATATTGTTGAATATATTGTATAACTTTTAAATATATCCGATATAAAATGTAAGATAGAATAATTAAAATATAATTAAGGCATTGGTAGTTACCGATGGATGTTAGTAGTATTTGTCTTGTCTTGTCGCATGTCTTGTCACATTTATTTTATTTTATTTTATTTACCTTTTAACTATGAGAAAGAGAAATAAAGAAAAAGCGAAAGAGATGAGCAAAATTTAGTTTTAAAATATTTTTCATTTACTTAAACATTTTAACAAAAATTTGATAATTTATAAATACTCTTTTAATAGCTTCGAAATGTTTGGAATTTTCTGAAAATGAAAAATAAAATTTGTTAATTTAATCTTTTGCACTAAACAAATCTCAGATTGACTATATTGAAATTTAAATTGTGGCATAAAGTTGAAATGAAAATGAAATAATTTTCTCAATTTCAGCTTACAACAACAACATCACAGCTAAATTATACGAAATCTGAAACAAATTTTTGTAATCCATTGCTATTCCAACTTGCATCAGTAACAACTGCAGGAATTAGCAATTTTAGCAATGTGCAAGAAATACCCGCAAGTTCACCTGAAATTATAAAAAATTTAACTGTCAGATCTATGGAATATATTGTAAGTTAATTTTTAATTTTATCAGTTTAAATATGTTTTTTTTTTTTTTTTAAATAAATTTCTACAAGAATATCCAATATTTCTATTTATAAAAATATTTGTAATTTTGTTAAAATTGCAAAGTTAAAAAAAAAAAAAAAATCTATGATAAAATTGTTACTTTTATATTTTTGCTGAAAAGAAAGTTGAGAGTGCTGTGTGAAGTAGAATTATTTTCAAAATTTTCAAATTTATTAGAACACTTCGATCATTTTTTTTTTTTTTTTTAAACAACTAGAAAATCAATTATGAACTATAAAGGGATTCTCATGGGTAACTTTACCTTGAAATCTTTCTTAAAATTTTCATTTTACAGAATCAATCATTCAGCGAAAGTGGTTATTACTCTAATGGAACTATCAAATTAATTTTACAGTATGCAGCATCAAAATATAGTAAATATATTTTATTTTGTAGCAATCTGTTCTATTTGTTTATTTTTTTTATGAATTGTTTTCCAAACATTCTTATTGTTCATTGCGACTAATTTATGCAACAATAAGTCAATAAATGGAAGATAATTAATTTATTTAATTTAAAATTGTCTTCAATGGAATTCACTTCAACTTACACTATCTTAAGTCATTTTAAGAATTGACAAAGTTAAAAGCTCTTTGTTATTTCATTAATTGTAGTTTAAATTTTGATGATAACAATGATTCAAAATATTTTGGATTTTAGATTGGCCATTGGGTGAAAAGGATATAAAAATAGATTTACTCTTCCATATGGTTAGCTGTAATATTCCCGATTTATCGAAAGCAGTACCAGCTCCAGAATTCGTTAGTTTTCACTCTTTTTTTAAAAAATTTCTTATTAAGCAAGTTTTAAATGAATTCAACGTTGTGAAAAGTTTTTCTCCACCTCTAACAAAAGTCAAAAATATATTTTCAACTAAAGGATAACTTATATTTGACAAAGTATGACAAAAAATGTGACAATGTACTGGAACTGAAGATAAGAAGAACCTCTTTCACGGAAATTTGTTTTTTTAGGAAAGAAGTGAAGAGCCACGAACTTTGATTGCTGAATTTGGCGCTGATTTAATGTATCGCAAATGTCAATTCTTGTATTATGTTAGTGGAGTTCAGAGTTATCGTTGTGGTACTACAAAAACAAACAATGATTTTAATCAAAATTCGATGAAACCATTGAAAATAAGTGAGTCTTTATCGAACACAATTCAAATGGATAACATCGAAAGGATGAAGTTTACTAGTTAAATAAAAAAATTAAATTCAGATATGTGAATTTAGTGAAATAGTAGAGTGTGATTTTCCAACAATAATTCAAAAAGTGATTTGTATAATTTAAATTGGAAAAAGTTTTCTTATCATTATTTTCTTGAATTCTTTCCAGAATTCAGATACTTTATTATTTTACATATTCGGATTAAATATAAGTATCAGTATCAGTTGAAAATAATCTATCATTTACAATTAATCAATTATCCACTTTTATAGTTGAAATTTTTGATAAAGTTTGAATATTTGTGTTTGAGATTGTGCTACCGTACTGAATAGTCCATGTGATGATAAACCGTTGACACATCATCCACCAATGTGCGGTCAAGTAGAAGGATTTACCTATAGTATTCTCAACGATCATATTAATCCGGATGACGTAAATAGCAATATAACTGTCAACGTGACATTCCGGTCCACGTTAATGAACAAAAAACCACTTTATTTTGTGGCTTTTTATGGTGATGCTGAACCATTTAATCGAGAAATTGATGTTAGCTTCTTTTGCTTACTTTTTATTAATATTAGGCGCAAATGTTTTAAATATTTGAACATTATTACTTTCTTTATTCAACTTCATACACAAATTAGCCACTTAAAAATAGACAGATACATATGAAAAGTGTATTAAATAAGCTTATTATCACTAACTTAATCATCTTATCATTCTTTATTCATGTACAAATTTGCTATTTGGAATTACTTTCAATCTACTTCTGAAGAAAATATTATCTAAAACTCATACTTAACTAAACTTACATTACTTTAAACATCGATTTGATGTTGAAATTACGATATTAGATGAAATACAAAAATAAGTATATTTTATTCAGTTTATCATTTATCACAAGAAATATCTCTAAATAGCTCTTTTACAGTTTTTTTTTTTTTTTTTTTTTTAAATAAATGAATGCTCTAAATTACAGGTAGAATTGCTTGGTGTTAATATGCGCCATATTTTGGGTAATGCAACAAATTGTCCAAAATTTAACAGTAATGGCACATGTGCGGTAAATTTTAAGTTTACTTTCTTTTTTTTTTTTTTTTTTTTTCATGTAACTTAAATGAATATAAAAAGTTGAAAAGTTTTTTTTTACACTGACGAGTTTTAATTGTATTGATTAATTGATCGATCAAATTGAGTGATCAGTTGAATGATCGTTTATCTATTTTACTTTGTATTGCTTCATTTATATTTTGAATTAAACCAGGCAAAATTGAACCTCGTAAATGCATCGATAATAATAACAAATTTACAAATGAATAAATTATACGGTGTGACAATATGCGCTGTTATCGACCCTCATAATTTGACATACCCAGAAGTAAGCGGTGTTGCACTGGGCATGAAGTCAAAAGCTAATAGAATATTTATTGATTCTGCAGGTTTATAATTACTTTTCTCCTATTCATTTATGATAATAAGCATTTTTATCAAGAAACTGATATTATCACTACTTTAATATATCACTCAATTCTAATCTGTTGAGAAGAGTGAATTGATAAGCAGTAGCAACACAACGAATACTTTATCACTTATCATTTGCTGCATGTCTATCTATCTGCTTATTATTTATCAAACCTTATAATTCATCTTCTTGATTCTTAAAAAAAAAATAATAAATTTTTTTTTTTCGCTTGCATGGCTGAATTTTCTTATCTAAATTCTCTTTTCTTTCAAATGGTATTTTCAGCATTTAAAAAACAACGTCCAGGCTTATTAACAGGACTTATTGCTGGCAGTACGGCAACTCTGTTATTGCTTCTTGTTGGCACATTTATTTGGATTCAGCGAAAACAAAATGCTAAAGTGAAAATGCATCAGCTAAAGCTCGAACAAATGAAATACAACAACGATTTAAGATATACTAATTTACCAAAAAAGTTAGTTGTAATTAAATTTTTGAAATAAGTCATTGCCATACCTTCAAATAGAGCTTCTAAAATTTTCGAAGATTTAATGTCAGGGCGAGAAATGTTTTCATACAATTGGAGAATAAAACATTGAATGAATCAAATTTGTGTGAGTATTAGAATAAAATAAACTGACATTTGATAAATTTTAGAGAAACAGAAGTACTTTTCTTGATTGCTTACACATAAAATTTTGAATGTAAGGTAATCTTAAGGTGTAGATTCGATGGATAAAAGAATATCACCGTCATTTCGTTCTCATTTTCAAGTAAATAATAAATAATTTAACCAGTAAATGCTAGCTATTATTGAAATCCATATTATCACCAGCGCTTTCTGTAGCTTTGCAGGCCTAAGATGTACTTTATCAGTTTTTATATCTGTAATTTTAAATGACTAGTAATTCCTCTTATCTGGTGGCTTAAAAAAAATTGAGCGTAAAAATTCGACAAATCAGATAAGAAATAATTAAAAGAATTAAAAGAAATGATATTCTAACAATTAATAATGTAAATATATATAAAGACAAGATATATGGGAATTGGAGCGTCGAAATCTCATTATTTACGATGATCAAAAGCTTGGTTCGGGTGCATTTGGATCAGTTTATAAAGGTCGATTGATTGGTATTGCAAAAGGGAATAAAAATGCTCAGTCTACCTTGGGTATTAATCTGATGAGAGCCGAGAATTGTGATGTCGCAGTGAAAAAATTGCTAGGTAAGGAGAAATGTTTACATAAAATTAGTATTACTCACTCACTCACTCACTCACTCACAAGCAGCTTTCATCTTCATTTGTCCTCACCTAAAAATGTTTGTTGTTTAGATAACTGTGCTTTTATGTTTTGTCGCGTAAGCTTAATTTAAATTCTTGCTAACTTCAGCACCTAACTATTCAATTTCTCTTCAACATTAAAAATTCTTGTATTTGTGTAGAAGTGAAAAGGTTATTTAATTTAAGGTCTGTAACTATTTGTAGGCTTGTCTTCCTAAATAATATAAATCCATCGGGTAAATATTTGTTGAAGTATTATTGTTGTTCTGTTTTAGTGAAAATATCAGTCGACTAATTGACAATGAAATTAAATGATAAAATTGCTTCATTTGATTTCCTTCATCCTACGGACATACTTTTTTCTTACTAAAAGTTTTATTAAAGACAAAATTACTAAATCTTTGTTAGTTAATATAATTTGTTTCTTGACATTGAATAGTAGACAAATGAAGTGAGTAAGAGTTTATGAAAATACATTGAAATAATAAACTATTGATTCTCATTTAAAGTACTTAGCAATCTTTTTAATACACTTCGCTCTTATTCATTTTAACTTTAAAAACATAAGTTTAATCAATAGGGTAATGATTTTTAAATGTTGCAAATTTGTAATTGCAATGCACTCTGTGTTTTAACTTTACAAAAAAAAAAAAAAAAAAAAAAAAAAAAAACAAGTATTAACTCTAAATTTTTATGAAAGTTATTTCAATTTTTTTTTTTAAATTTTGATGTAATTTCAGTTTTTTTTAGCATAGCAAAGAATTTCATTAAGTTTTTTTCTTAATAAATTTTATTAAGTTTTCTTCTTTGTCTTTTACTCATTTTTAAAATCAAATTTTCCAACTTCGTTATAATTTCAAATCACTTTAATGTTCCTTCTAATAGCTGCTAGTTCATTTCGATGCATTTACCATCATCCTTGGCTTAACTAATTTAAATGATAAATTTCATCATTCAATATCTTATTATCATCAAAAAAAGAAAAACTTTCATGTTTTACAGACTAAAGTTGAATTTAACATCATATCAATCACTAAGTGATAATCATTGTTATCAGTGCATTTCTATCATCCTTATATAAACTCTTTCATGCGATGATAAGAATTGTTCTGGAAGCATATATTTATACACATATTAAAGTGCGAAATGTTGCTCTATCTTTTGCAATCAGTGATAAATTATATTACTGATAACACAATGATAAAGTGATTGTTTCAGAATATGCTGATCAACTATCGAAAAGTGAATTCCTGAATGAAATTTCATTGATGAAAACATTGGGTTATCACGAACGATTAGTCAATATGTTGGCATGTATCACAGAAACAGAACCTTACTGCTTAATTGTTGAGTACTGTTCAGATGGCGACTTGCTACATTTCTTGAGGAAACGATGTGCTTATATGATAAAGGTAGTGATTAATTTAAATAAAAAGCTTTTGCAAGATTGATTTAAAATTAGTACTTTAAATTGAAATACGAATACAGACAATATTATCCATTCTTTTTTTTTTTTAAAAAAAAAATTTTTTAAATGTCACAACGTTAACGAATGCTTACCATTGTTTTCTGTTTTTTTTTTTTTTGTTTTTTTCTAGCTTACCGAAATGGGTATCGATTATGATGAACCAAATTTGAATGAAAAGATTGATCAGGATTTAGTGATAACACTTAAACAATTATTAATGTTTGCTGTACAAATTAGCTATGGCTTGGTAAGAAATGTTCATATCTAATCATTGAAATTCATTTAATTTCACTTTTTTGTATATATTTCATTTAAAAATTATATTTTTACTGACAGCACTTTTTCCCTGTAAAAATTTTATGTTAAAACTTTCATTAAAAATACATATATATAAAAAGATGAGTTACATTGATATATTAGATTAACTGGAATTAAATTTCAATTTTTAACTTCAATATAGATTAATTAATGTAATTATGATTGGTGAAAAAGGATTATTTTTTAGGAATACCTTAGTCAGAAAGGTTTTGTGCACCGCGATGTCGCGGCACGTAATATATTGGTGCATGATAAGACAAATGCAAAAATTGGTGATTTTGGCTTGTGTCGATACATTTATCGTGATTCTGCCAACTATAAAAGTAAGGGTGGACGATTACCGGTGAAATGGATGAGCCCAGAAGCTATCAAACACTATGAATTCACTATGCAGTCAGATGTGTTAGCATTAAATACTTCTTGGCAGCTATTAAATTGTAATATACTTAGTAATTATAAGGTTAAACAAGTATAATAGCTATCATAAAACGATGAAATGATGGATAGATTTGTTTATTTGATATAAAATTTATTGAACTAAATTGATCTTTGACAGAATTTTCCTTTTCTTTTCGTCTTTTTTTTTTTTTTTTTTTCTAGGCATTTAAATCAGTTTGGAATTTATAAATAAAAAAAAAAAAAAAAAATATAAATGAAACACTTCAAAATTTCCAATAAAAATATGGCATAAATTTTAGTTGGTCATTTGGCATATTAATGTTTGAAATTGTTACACTTGGCGGTTCACCATATCCAGGCATACAACCGGATGATATTTTGGATCATTTGGATGCCGGTGGACGAATGGATCAACCGGATAACTGCCCTAATAACTAGTAAATTTATTTTTATTGAAAAAAAAAGTTTTTTTTTTTTTTTTTTTTTTTTTAAGAAAGACTTCACAAAAAAAAAAAAAAATAACTTCAAAGAAAGTAAAAGAGAACAATTCGATTTTTTTTCTTATTTTCGAAAAGAAAGGATTTATTTTTAATATTATTTTGAAAAAAAAAAAATATGAATCCCATTATAGCTATGAAGTAATGCGTAGTTGTTGGGCACAAGAACCATCGATGAGACCTGATTTTGGGACTATTCGACAAAAATTAGCTAGCCAATTGGAAGATATCACAGATCAGTATTCATATTTAAAGCTAGATAATCAACGGGATTATTATAATGTAGTATATGATACAGATATTTTGGTATAATTTTTTTCTTGGCTAACTTTTATATGTAACTTTATGATTAGACTTAAACACTCATAAAAAGTATTTACTAATATAGAGCCAGAGCTGTGCCAGATACATAATTTATCTATATAACAAGAAATTCCTAAATGAAAATAATTATCTAATTGTCTTATCATTCATATCTTTATATCCTTACTTTTATTCTATCAACGTATCTTCTGAACATAGTTATAATATTAATTAATTAATTAATTAATTAATCCTTATCTCTTCTAATTAATCTTTATATAAATATAATAAAATTAAGAATTTTTTTTTTTCCTATTTGATTACTTACTGTTGTATGTTCGCAGAAAGATACTAAAGGAACGGTGGAAAACGATTCGGAAGCTGAGAAATTTGAAGTTGAAAGGATGAAAAGGAAAGATATACTCGATAATGCTCTTTCGATCGATGTACAGGAAGATCACCGTGATAAGACATCATCGCTGCCATACAGTACTGAAACTGTTAGGGATAGAAATGTTATCAGTAATGGATCATAGAGAATGTGATTTGATAAGGAGAATGATTACTGAGATGTAAATTAAAGTAATAAGCTAATCTAAATATTTCTTTTTTAATTAATCGAATAAGATTAGCAAGTGGTCAAGTGCATGCAACATTTCTTTGGTAATATTAACAAACACAAGGATAAAGGTGATAAAAAATTTGTTTAATTTAGTTGAGAATAAGTTATAATTTAACTCAAACTAAAGACTAAACAGGTATTAATTGTTCTGTTCCACCTGAATAAATGATGGAAGAAAATTTGATATATCATTTATAAATATGTATTGTAAATAAATAATAAAAAAAAAAAAATACTGATAAAAAAAAAAAATGGTAAAAATCTTATTTGTGCTCTTTCTCGAACCTATCATCTTATAATCTTCCAAATAGTTTTAATTCATCAAATTATCATTTTAACTAAATGTTTGTTTCTTCATTGTTGCACAAAATTAATTGACTTAAAAAAAAAATTTAAGTTAAAAAAATGAATTAATCCAACCTAAATTTCAATGATTATTCCCTCCTATTAATGCAGAATTTCATTGACGCATTTACATTTTATTAAAAATAACTTCGTTTCTTCTGAATAATAATTCATCACATAGATTTTAATAATCTTTAACTTACTTAAGAAATTTCAGAGGACAGGAATGAAATAAACACGAGAACTGAGTAAATGATTTTTAAGTAAAATTGAGTAAATGATTTTCTTTTTTTTGCCTAAGTATGACTAAAATTCACTTCTTCACTAACATAACATTTCTCTATGGCATATTTGAATTTACATCACCACGATTACATGCGACTTGATGAAGTTAATGTAAAATTTCAAATTGTTATCGGTGATTTTTATTTAAAATTTTGTGACTTGAAAATAATTCTATCGCTTTATGCTATCTTAAATTCATTAGACGAAACTAACTGAGTAAGATGTTATAAACAATATTTATATTTTATACAGCAAAAAAAAAAAAAAAAAAAAAAAAAAAAGGACATCTTGATGAAGTTAATGTAAAATTTCAATCAACAATCAATAAAACGTATCGAATGCGTGAAAAAAAAAAAAAAAAAAAAAACGTGAACAAATTGACGAAATAAATAACAATGTTATGAATTCATAAGCATAACATATCACAATGATAAAAAAAAATTATTAAGAATATAATAATCAATAAATTTAATAGATTTTTCATTTTTCAAAAATTTATGTAAAAAATAGTAATAAAGTAATGAGCGCTATGACTTAATTATGCACTATTAGCTCAATTCCACTATGATTTCTCTAAAAATCGTTTAATTGAATAAATTGGAGAATATTTTATTAAAAAGAGATAATAATAATAATAATAATAATAATAATTAGTTCTTCTAAGAAAAGCAATAATATAATATAATATAATTTTATTGTTTATAAATTGAAAGTTTGAAAAGTATTTACGAAATAAGAAATGTATGATAAAAAAAAAAATATACAAAGAAATTAATTTTGACATAATAAGAACTATCAATTTTAAATACCGCAACGCATAAAACAATTTTTTTTTTTTTAAATAAAATGGTAATACAACAATATTACGAAAGATTTGCTCGTACAATAAACTAATAGAAATGCATTTGCTAGAACAATAGTAAGTAAGCATTGATATACGGAACGAATTAAAGATTTTTGCCATATACCGTCAAAAATTAATACAATTTGTAGTAGCACTAACGAATAAATAACAATTACTTCAAATTTATAATATATTTTATTGTCGCATTTTCTTTGAAGACAAACATTTGAAAGAAAATTATTTGAAATGAAAAAAAAAAAAGAAAAGGAATATTTCTAACTAATTGGAACGATGAAATTCTTTGATCCTTAACTTACCTTCAATAAATGAAATCTCAAGTAACCATGTGAAGTACAAAAAAAAAAAAAAAAAAAAGAATAATGCGCTTTAGTAGAAATAATTAATAACTTACGAATCTTTTTTTTTTTTTAATATTTGAAAATGCACCTTCCACAAGACATTAATGAAAAAAGTATAATAAATAGAATTTTGCATAATCGTTTAAACTGGATTAAATGAACTTCCTATGCTTGATTAGATCATTCAGCTTAATTTGATCCAATTCGTGAAAAACAAGATCGTGAAAATATATTGTCGTTATCCTCGATTTTCCTAAAATTTTTGTATTTTGAATCAAATAAACACTCTTTTTTATGATAGCTAAGAATTTTAACTAAAAAATAAATAAACTATGATAATTCTGCTGAAAAAGCATAAATACTGGAAGAACTAACATATTATTAAAATGTTCACGAAATTGATTTAGAGTGATATTATTTGTGGTTATATCTGTATTAAGATGAGATTCAGTATCATCGTAACTGATAGAATAATCCGGATGAAATATTAAACCGGATCCCTGTAAAATTCATATGTCAAAGTTTGCTTCATTATTTCACACAATTAACATTAATTTAATGATATAATCGCTGAAATGTTTGTATGCAAAATATACCTGAAATGATTTCTGGAAGATATTAATAATCTAATTTAAATTAAGTTTGGTTTGATGTATAATTTCAATTTTAAAATACCTTTATTGATTGTCCTTTCTTTTCACCACCACTGAAATCGGTATTTGTTAGAGATGAGTAAAATCCGCCATGTTCATCAAAGGATGAATGATTTCCAAGAGCAACTGATGAATTAGTACTTTCAGTACTGAAAAAGATATGAAAGAGAGAGAGAGAGAGAGAGAGAGAGAGAGAGGGAGAGAATAAAATTTAAAAAAAGAAAATTTTACTGAAAATATTTTATAATATTAAATTGTTGAAAGTATTCAGAAAAGTCTTAATGATACTAACCTTTTATTCATATGTTTTATGATAAAACATCTAGAAGGACGTTGCAAATTCTTCTCACTGTTTCTTCTTGTATTTTTTTTAGTTTGCAACTGAAATGAAATAATTAAATTTTCTAGCAATCATTAATTAGTCTAATAATTTATAGATTATTGATAGACTAATCAATTAGTCTTAATTAATGGAATGCAAAATAATTCGAACAATATTTACCATATTTGTACCGATTTTTGATATTTCATTGACACGTTGATGTATATATTGACAACGTGCACCGTACGGACAATAGTTCCACACTGAGAATTTATTGCATAATTGAGTTTTGTATTTTGGATGAGCCTAAAAGTATCTTTTTGTGAAAAGTTAAAAATTGTAAGTATGGAGCTTTGCTAATGACAGTTCGAAAAATATAATCGACACTTTCATTGATTAAAATAGTTTAAATCAAGTAGCACATTTTAGTTGATCAAAGTGTCGACTATATATATTTTTGATCAAATCGTATCAATGATTCTCTTGAACAGGTAAACATAGCATTACCTGTGGTGGAAGACGAAGCTCTTTTTCTCCATGTGCAAAAACACATTCATCGCCATATTGGCATATGTTATTTTCTCGAAATGACTTACATAGTGAAGTTTTGTACGCATTCCTTTTGCGCCGCTCTGAAAGAAATTCTAGGATCTGAGAAATTCATAATTTACAATGCTTTTTTCTCTTCTAATTTTTGATCAGTAATTCATTAAATAAAGTTCTTAATTAGGAACCGTTAACTAATTATCACATATGCATTATGAAATGAAATGGAATATTGAGCACAATTAAGGTCAGAGAGCACTCAGATGACAGAATACTGTCTGTGAACCATTTTTGGAGAATAACTTTTCTAATGAATGCAATATGCAATACCACCATCATATCAAAGTATCTCACAGCTAACCTCTTTGTAATTCTTCACGTTCAGTATCAGTTAACATTTGCCATGTAGAAGTATTCATACTTTCTGATGAGTCGGTCTTTAAAGGAACATCATTTCTACTATGTTTCTAAAAAAAAAAAAGATTAATAATTTTTAATCAATCTCTCTCTCTCTCTCTCTCTCTCAATTTTTCTCTCTATTTCATTTCCTCAGAGTTCTACAGCTAATTCATCTTGAAAGCAATGTTTGATCTAAGAAGTGAGAAATAACAATTGATAAACAATTAACAATAGTACTACGAATCTATAATTTAAACAAATTCAAAGATAATAATTTTACCTCAGCAAGTTTTGATAAAACTCTTTGAATCACTTTATTTAGTTCAGCTTCTAAGTCATTCCGGACAACTGGATCATTCTGAGTTAATTCACAAGCTTTTAGAGCTAAATTCTAGAAAGAAGAAACAATACTTTCTTTTTTTGTATTATAAAATTATTTAATAAAAATAATCATTCACTATTTACCACTATTTATGCTTATCGTATCAATCATAATATCCACATATGTTTGATTTATCTCTAAATATCTCTTTTTCACTTATCATTGAAATAATAATAGTAACAATAGCACTCACAAAAAGGCTAGAAAACGAAATAAAATAATAACAATAATACAATAACAATAACAATAACAACAATAATAATACCAGCAACAACAACAACAACAGCAATCTGTATACAATTTCCCATATTGTTTCCTATTTCGACAACAGGTAACATTTCAATTCCACACTAAATCTAAGCGTTATTTATGTCAACATCCATCAGCAAAGTACAGAACATACATCAACTAACCTGCACGACAGAACCATTATTCGTTGGATTAATCATGGATAGATCGATGAAGTGCAATTGTCCATAAGCACTTACATATATTCTGAAAGGATATATGAAATAAATGATGAAGCATTTCAATGTCATTATTAAATTCAAATTATGGATTAAGATCAAATAAAACTCGCAACTAATTTTAATTAGAAAACTTAAGGAAAACTTAGTGAAGCATTAGTGACACAAATTTTTGGTATCATTATCAGAATTTTATTAAAATTTTAAGCGAGTATTTAAGGCAGTGATATTTTAATTTGTACCTGTTCGGTTCTTCTCGGTTGTAATATGCCATCATATGTCGCTCAACACCGTATGCTTCTAATAACTCATACATTTCTGATGAGACAGGAACCATATTAACTGTTGCTGCCATCAGATCTTGTTTTGGTACAGTGTTATGATCACTCTTTACTGCTGTCATATTGACCTTTATTAGCTAATTGTATTCTCACAACAATACTAATCTTAAAAAATTTGACTTTAATATTTTCAAAACGATTCGCATCCATTGATAAAGCATTAAAGAAAAAAAAAAAAAAAAAAAACAAATGCTCAATTTATCAGTAATCTATTGATAAATTATGTGATAATAATGTCTTTTTGTTTTCCAACCTTCATTTCTAATTCCTATTCTTATCATATGAAACAGTAATCAACAAAAATATCATTATATTGCACACAATATGTTGTAACCTTCCCGAACCTAAACCCTAAATGATTACAAATCTTTTTACTAATCGAAAAGAGATCACTAACTTACCCGTACTGTTACCCTGCTCGTATTCTCTATCGGATTCATCCCGCTTTCTCGTTTTCTAGAATTTTCCACTTTCATCACCGAACATATAAACTTCTTATCAGTATCTTTTCAACATATTTGTAAACATTATACTCAACTTAAAAGTTACTTGTAATAAGTAAAATACTCAAATAAGATATTGTTTGAAATTTCTCCATTAATGATATTGCATTCACTTCAATCATATTTATCCAAAAGATTTATTAGAACTGATCTTAGCTTGTGCTAATACTTTATGAATTTCTATTTAATGTCTGATGACAAATCTTCCACTCAATGTTAATTGAGTAATTAGCAATTTACATTTCTTATTTTCATCAAAAAACGAAAACCAAAAATGTTAAAATTTAACAAATGTTATACAAATTCTATTTCTACTTTCCAAAGGATACATTCTATGAAAAAAAAAAAAGAAATATTGAATTGATCATATTTAAAAAAAAAAAAAAAAAAACTATGAACTTTTAAATTGTAATGGGAAGTTATTCATTATTTGAAATTAAACAGACTGAAAAAGTTTGTTTAAAGTTACGATTTGTACACTTTGTATTTACCATTTGATTTATTTTCCTCAAATAAAAAAGCTAATGTCTATAATAGCCATTTGTTTGAAATCATCAAAAATGCACACAGTGATATTCTAAACTCAATTTACTATTCAAATTCCATTTAAAATTCTATGTGAGATGATTAGATTACATTATTCTATTCACATTTGCATAATTCTGAATGAGAATAAAAGCAAACAATTTTCTCACTAAAGTTCATTTTAAGATTATTACTAGCGTGAAGAGGATTTATGGTAAACGTAAAGTATTGGATAGATAGCTCTTGAATTTTTTAGAAAGTTTAAATTAAGCTATAAAGTTAAAATTTACAAATTTTTCTATTAAATTTAAAAAATATCGCATGGCTTCAAATCTAAATATAAAACGTGGACCATCGAAATGTGATTCAAATAAGCCAATTGTAAGTAATACTCTTCTCATTCGGAAAAAAAAAATTTAAGATGAAAAGTTGAATATTTAATTTTGACAAAAATCCTTTAGAAATGTTGCGTGCATGGTGACAAATGTTCAATTGGGCTGAAGACAATGTCAACGGAAACTTTAACTCGAAGCGAAAAATCCTCCGAGGTAATTTCCTGAATGCATATTATCCTTCTATATTAATTCCATTTTCGTATAAATCAAATCAAAAGAAGTAAATGTATCCTTGTAAATAAAATTAGCAATGAAATTAAGCGATTAGTTATCCGGAATATAACGAGATTTTTATTACAATTTGACGGATAATTGTCGGAATGTGTGCTACAGGAAGATTTATGCCGGATTTACTCTGTGATTCATTTAAATAAAGAAAAAACGGTTGTAAATTTTGAAAATACAATAATTTTAGAGTATTTCATTTGAAGAACAAGAACCAATTGTATTTCGTTTACAACGCGCAGAATCGTAAATTTCTCCTTTTTTTGGCAGAAAAAAAAGGCAAGAAGAACTGAGAAAGGGAAATGGGAGCGAAGAGAGGGAAGGAAAGAGAGAGAGAGAGAGAGAGAGAGAAGAGGGAGAGAGAAAAGAATTGGAAAAATAAACAAAAGACTAATTACTATTTTAGATTTACAAAATTTAAGTTTACACGATTTCTTGGTCATGAATATATTTGTGAAAGAAATGAAATTGAAAAGGATTCAAGGAAGTCAGTTTTTTTGCAGTATAAACAATTTGCATTCTACTGCAGTTGCAGTATTAACAGCATTAAACAACAATGCTATAGGAATAAATAAATATAAATAAATTTATTATTTAGTAGTTAAATAAACTTTGACCTATTTTATGATATCAAAGCATCCATCTGATCATCCCAGTATTTTACCATAAAGAATTTTATTTTATTTTCAGAATGAAAGAATCTAAAAGTATAGAAGATAATTCAGCATTTCCAATGAAACGTTATTACATTGGTATCGTTACACCACAAACTGCTGAATTATTCGTTTCACGTAATACTGCCTTTAGAGTATGTTGAATGCTTGCAAAAATGCCTTACAAAATAATAAGCATAATGACATTTGAAGTGTTGACACATGTCAAATAAATAATAAAGTAAGTGGTAATTAAATATTAGATTAGTTTGATTATTTGACATTCCATTGTTATTTAAAATAAATATAAATATGAAATATTCTGACAGCTATATCATTCACTTAAAGAAATAAACGATGAGAAAGTGCCATTATGCATTGTTTACAAAAATAGCCGTGGCGATTTCTAGTAAGTTTCTGATTTTATTTCATTATAATTGATGTTTAGTTAACAGCACAGTTTCAATTTACCTGAGGTAAAATCCCAATAATCAAATCATGAGATACTGAAATAGAGACAAAAAAAGAATAAAAAAAAAATAAAAAAAAATTGAGTTTATTTGGTGAAATAAAAGTGTAATAAATGTCTAAAACAATCTTATAAAATATATTAACCTTATCGACCTTGGATTATCTCTCAAAATGGATTAAAGAACTATTCTAAGACTCATTTTGTCCAGTATGATCTTATTGGAAGATTTTTAGTAATGAGATTAATTTTATACAGACAAATTTATGAAGTATTAATTTAATGACTTGATCAAAATAAGAAAAAACAAACATAACGAAAGACATTTACGAGTGAGAAAGAGAATTTAAAAAAGAAAAGACACTGATAATATTAATTATAAACACATTATCAATTTCAGTCACTATCTAATCAGAGAACGATTTGATAAGAATCTTCATACAGATTTACTTTATGTAGATTGCGGTGATGAAGAACCACCAGAATTTATTGGAATTGAGGCACTTATCAAATACTACACGTGAATTGTTATTGCTAATATTTTTTTCACTCTTTTACTTTTATTCTAATTTTAAAAATTTAACTTGAGATAGTTTGAAATTTGCACTTATTTTACATTCGTTTCATAAGATTTCAATTTATTTAATAATAGCAATAATTGATTTATTAGTGTAATTAATTTTCATGTTTGATCAAATATAGTTTTAAAAATTGCAAAAATTAATTGAATATGAGATATTTGACGTAAGCTCGTTCAGTGATATTGTTTTATAACTACATTGGACACGTAATCCAGGTATTACTTTATCCTGGATAACAGATAACTTTAATGATTGAGAAAATTAATACTTTATTAATTTTCTCTCAAAAATATTTCAGCGTTTATGCATCATTGCATTCGTTTTCACTTGCAAATGGACTTAGTGTAGACGTTTTCCCATGGTGGCATTTAATCAGCAATGTTTGAAGTATTTTAAATGTGATTTGATTCTTATCCCATTTATTTCTATTTTGAGTCATAAAATTCAATTATATTAGAAGTAATATATAATTTTCGTAATAGCTGATAAAAATATTCAATGTTATAGACAATGTCACATCATGGAACTTTTCGTCTTTATTCTTCATTAATGTTTACTATAATGACTTTTCAGGGTTTGTATTTAGTTCATACTTCATCTTTCTTGTAGCCGTTAGTACAACTAAACTATTTACTTTTTTTTTTTTTTTTTTTTTGGGTTTATGAAAAATCACTCTAAAGACAACAATTTTTGGATTTAGTTTGTGTATTTTATAATTTCGGAATTTAGAAATTAATCAAGCTATATTCAAAAGACTTTAGATCTTCAATTAAAAAAAAAAAAACTACATTCAAAATCAATTTGCAAAAATACTCAAAACCATTCTGAGAAATTTGAATCCTTACTTTTGAAAGAATGTCCCTTATTCCCTATGAAATGAAATCTTTCCAACAGTGCCACTCTGCGACGTCTCTGATGGAAGAGGTAAACTCCAACAATTATGTAATACACATGTAGTACTGCAAAAGTTATTGAATGAGTAAATATCTCAGTAATTTGTTATGCTAATTTATAGTTAACTAATTAACGGTTAAGATAATTCCTCTGCTAATAATATCACCGGGATTTCTCGATAAATCGATAAAAGCATCAAAATATCTATGTGTGAATGTATCGTTTATTTGTATATAGAATGGTAGAGAGAGAGAGGGAGAGAGAGGGAGAGAAAGAGAGGGAGAGAGAGGATGAGAAAGTGAGAACACTACGGAGGATTACGGTAGTGAAGTGACTTGAATGTAGTGGAGAAGGCAGACGTACAGCCGTCAAATATTACTAACTTTCGAACACTTAGCAAATACGGTTTGTAGGTGCTGCATCTTGTTCGTTACTGGGTGGTAGGGATCAGATTTAATTTTTATGATTTTTTAAAATGTGAATGAAAGTATAACAGTATTTTTAAAAGTGCGGCGGCAAGGGTTGAGAAAGTGTTGAGAACTGCTGTCTACCGTTAAATTAGTAAATTTCATGCAAAATGGAAGTAAAAAATTTTCTTTGCTTTAAATAAAAATAAAGTTCGAGAAATTTTGTTGGAAGTATCAGTAAAAAAAAGAACGAATAATGATTATTTTGCATTGAAGTTTCGAAAGTTTGATGATTAATGGCTGAGACATTGTCACTGTCAACGTCGGCATCCAGTCCGACAATTAATGATGGATCGATGATTGCCTATAATGCGAAGCCAATCCTGTTAGTTATTTCGGTTTATGCGCCACATATTGCATAGCATTTTAATTAAGAATTGATTTGATACACATGAAACCTATTTGTGATTTATTGCAGTATTTTGAGAACTCACAATTAGGTATCACGATGGATATACTTGGACTGTGTTCGTATAGCAATCTTTCACTCATTTACTGTTTTCCTTAAACTACCTCAGACTTTCTAATATTGTTCAGTAGTTACGATGAATGACAATTTTTCTCTCAATAAAATAAAGATTAATTAAACAGCACTTTCTCTGCAAGGCATTAACTATCCGGTTCTGCAATCTACTCGAATCAAACCTTATTTCACGACAACACTTTTGAGCAACGTTTCTATGGTAGTTTCAAAGAATCTGGCTAATGAAATCACCTTAGAAATATTCAGTACTCTTTCATTTATCGAATGTCGAACTTTTTTCTCGTTAATGAAATGCCATCTATCTGCAGTTGTTTGCCTAGTACAATACAACCAGCACCGTTGCCAGTTGTGAAGCTTGAACTCAATACAAATTTGAATGTGCCACCACTGAATGCATGGTCTGCTGATGTGTACGATGATTTTTGGACAGAAATGGAGAACAGTTCAAAAACGAGCCATGGAACAGCAACTAGCACTGCCTCATCAGGAAATTTTTCGGGAAACGGAAATAGAAGTAGTACTGGACAATGGCGTTTCAGTACTCGAATTAGAGATTGTTTCGAAAGGTAGCTAATATTTGAATTTAGAGTTAGGAAGACGAATTTATCGGGACTAATCTCTACTTAATATAGCTGAGTTGCTTGCAAGTTGTAATCTTACACGGCTTTTCGGAAGAAATTTGTGACGTACATTGATCAATTTTATTATAAAATTCGCAGTTCATAAGACTTTAGGTTTGAAATATTCCTATTTTTTAAATGATATACTTTGCAGTCTTCGTCTTGCTGATTGCTATATTGATGCTATAGTTGGTGGTATTGATGTCATTGCTGAAGCTGAAACTTTGAAAAAACTTATTGCTGCACCCTTCTCCAAGCAACCCCTAAATTTAATAGTTCATAAAATTGGGAAAACGCTAATGTTGGATAATTGTGCCTACCTAAAGAATGTAAGCTTTTCAAATTTTGAAAAAAGAACTCATATATATTGAGTTTCGTGTGATTTTAATTTTTTTTGTTTTCAGTACGCCTATATGAATCCAACTGTTGGCATTTCTTCTGTGGCAGATTTTCTTAATTCTAAGTCTCAATGCCTTATTGGTTTTGCTGGTGCCAAAACTGCAATTACAACTGGTGATATCATTGCCGATATGCATCGCAAAATGATAACTGAGAGTTTGTATACTAGGAGGTAAGCAAGCATACTTACATTGCTAATTTTTTCTGAGGTAATAAGAATTGTTCCAGATAATTTTTTAATTAGTATTTGCATGCTCATTACTCATGTATTGTATTTAGCCATATTCCTGTGTTTTCAGTTTGGCACCGTTGGATTACACGGCAACTACTGCAGAACCAGATGTTCCAGCCCAGACCAATAAAAGTCTGCATTTCTATACATATAGTTATTTCATCTAGTTTAGGCCTATTTTTCTTTATTTCTTTTTAGCTTATGAAAATGAATCGTCAAAAAAGATCAATGAAAGTGGTGGTTTAGTCGATCCGTTGGAAGATTATTTATACACAAAAATAAGGATGGATGATGGAAAAGTAAAAAACTTCCTCTTGCTCATTACTTTCCTATTATTCTTATTATTACATTTATTTCAAAAATTTAATGTGAAGAGAAAAGACTATCATACTCGGATGAAATCAGGTTGTGAAAATCAGTTGTCCGTCAACCAATACTAGCACTCCGGATGAACTTGTTTGCTTTTAGATCGAACTAGATGCTTATGGTCGATTGTGGAATTTTTATGATCTCAATATGCTCGTTGATGTTAATTTACCTATATTTGGTTGCAAATCCAACCCTTGTGTTACTTTACATCCCAAGTTAGTTCATATTCTGCATTGCTACGCTACAATTCTGTTGAGTTCTCCTATTTAAAAAAACAGAGAAAAAAAAAGAATAATTTGGTAAGTAAGTAGAGTTGTTTTTGATTATTTTCAGAGATCTCAAACAACGTCCTATCAACTTCTTAACCGGGGTAGACTTGTATTTGGACCAGTCAATGTGTAATGCACCTGAAGCATTACTTTGTTGGCATTTAGGTGGCTATGTAAAGGTAATTTATCATTATTCAAATATTTTTTATCATTGAAAGTTTTTTTTTTGGTTTAATAAAAAGAAATTTTATAGTTTGATACTTCTATTGCATTGCTATGATCTCCAAGTTTCTCTACTTACTTAGCTATTTTGCTCAGTTAATTTCATTTCCAGGAGTATGAGCTGATTCGTACCGAAGATATCCCACATTTGGAAAACTCGAAATTTGACCCACTCATTTTAAGAAATGTTGCGGAAAACATCATTGCGTTTCTTCAGGACAAAGTTGCGCAGGAAGGACACACATATTGGTTGTGTCATGGTAAAACGCATTTCTTGGAAGAGGGAATCACTTGTTTATCAATATAAGAAGTACGAATGGGTCATGAGAATAAAGAAAAAAATCTTTAAATTAGTCTGGCAGCTCTTTTTCTTTGTGGGGAAAAAGTATTTATTTAAAAATATATATGTATTTATATAAACATTTATTTAACGCAGACAAAGGAGACAGTGATCGTGAACCAATGTTGCGATTGTGGGATTTGACACCGCTTTGTGGTGATCTTTTGGAAGACTCTACGGCTAATCCATTTACGCTGAGTGTCGGAATACTTATCTATAAAGTAAGAGATCATTGCTTCTCATTTTTTCAAAAAATTGTTTCACATTTAGTTCTGAATCTTTCAATTTGTTTTTCCTATTGAGATTTACTTTTGAGATTTATTTTTAAGAAATCTGAGAGTTTCGAGAAATCGGAATGAGAGTTTCGAAAATTCGCTTATTGTTCTGAAAAGTTATATCCTGCATTTTTTCATATGCGACAAAAAGTAACGGAATAGAATAACGGTTTTTTCACTGCTTTGATTTATAACGAGTCTTTTGGTTATATTGTAGTTCAATTTTTTCTCTCCAGGTAGCTCGTAATCTTATGCGTCGTTCTGCGCACAGACGCCCAAAACGTATTGCTAATGCTGCATTTCGTCTTCTGAATGTATGCTTGGGTATTATTGATCGAAAGAAACATCCACAGGTTGGTTTACTGTTGCTATTCTCAAGTTTCAGTTTCATTCACTCCTTGATTTCGAATTAATCTCATATTTCCGTGAGGGAGGATGTAATCATAGTTTCTCGAACAATCTGTAAATAAGATTTCAGGTTGCAATTTCTTAGCGATAGCTTTTTCCTCTTTTTAAAAAATGAATGGGTTTAAATCTAGTGTAATATCACGATTATAAACTCAATTTACATGGGGTGTAATATCACGATTATAAACTCAATTTACAATGATTGTTGCACTAGAATCTACTTTGCTCATTAATTTACTCTAATATTTACATTTTAGATAGTAGCATGTGTATACTATTTGCTAGCGAACTTGTATCTTTCATATGGTTGTGACGCAGTGAAACGTAGTGCAGGCCAAGAAGAGGAGATGGAACGTGCCGAACCTCAGTGGACTTATGATGATAAATGGCAGCGAGAATACGGTGAAGAATACGCTAGTTATGCGGCTATTTCGGTGAGGGTTAAAGAGTGCTTCAGTGAAATGAATATGTAAAATGAACAGTGAAAGAGGAAAGAAGATTAAAATTCACAGTATTTTAGAATCAGAACTTATCTTTTTTCCATATAAAACTGCAGCACTAAGTTTTAAAATTGACACTAGTCTGTTTTAAATGATTGAATTTTAATTCAGTGATTTTACTGTTTAGATCAGAATTTGGTAACGTAGCTTAGATGATAAATCTAATACAAATGAGGGATTATTTGCAGATTGAGTCATTGATGAAGACACGTTACACAGTTAGTAGACGTGAGAAGCCACCAAAGTTGCGTACGTTACCAAACTGTGCAACAAAGGAAGACTGCTGTAAGGAGGCCCTAGAACACTGTTTAGAAGTTAGTTCTTTTTATCAAAAGGAGGCATGGGGTAAATCCTATGAAAACCCGCCTGTTATAATAACTGTTGCTTTACTGCTTTTTTTCTGGCATTAATTGAGTATGTTTGATAAAAGAAGGAAAAATGGTTATGTTCTCTCTGTCTTTTCTTTATACCGTAAATTTTCGCAGATTTTGTATTTTAGTATGAATGACTTCTATGAGATATTTAGTGAAGGATACTAGTGCTTTCATTGGTCAAATTACTTATTATTTCTTCATGAACATTGTTTTTATTCATATTTAGGGTTTGCGATATATGGATTTATTTGATCAAATGGAACAAGAGGCTCAACGGCTGGGAAAACCTTTGCCTGATCCGATGTCTTTTATCCGAGATATGGGCACGAACATTGATCTTGGGAGAGGTTAGTGCTTATTTTTTATTCTTTCGTTATTCATTTTTTATTTCTTATCATTTCGTTAACTTTTGCCAAAAAATATTCTCATTGTTTGATCATTCGAAAACGTGCACTAATATCTTGGCAAACTAATTTTTTTGTAAGTTGTTTATTTTTAGAAGAAGCAGACGCAATGCTTAAGGTAGATGTCCGTTCCATTTTGTTTATTCGTGCTGGAAGTGCTTATCGTATGTTGGCTGATAGTTCATTTATTTTGTCAAGATATGGCCGAACATTGAGATTTGCACGCGTTGGACTCTACTGCTGTCGTTAGTACTTAATTTCGTCAAATCATGGACTGAACAAGAAATGAACAACAAGATCATAACAATAAATAACAAGATCGTAGAGAATCTAATGTTACTGATGTTAACTGCATGTAAATCAGTATTCCATAATTTATAAAGCTACTAATGCCCAGAACAATTCATAGATATGTTAATGTATTAAGTAAAATTGTTTCACTCTTGCACATATTTTTAAAAAGAAACTTTCACTCTTTCACACATCTTTAAGAAGAAACTACGTAATAAGTCAATGCATCAACATTAAAAAACAATTAAAAGTAAGATAATCTGCTATAAATCCAAGTGTAATTATATTTCTTTAAATTTCACCTTGGTGATACTACTCAGCATTAAAAATTCAGCAAATTAAATTTAAGTACTCTTTAACTTCCTTTAAATTAGTGAGCGAATGATTAGTTAATGGTTGTTTACTAATTCACATTACTTCAGTTGCGGTACTCGCTTTGAATGCAGGTCTAAACTCCGAACATTCTCAACGAAATCTAGCCACAGCGCGAGCTTTACTTCCTGCGATGATGTGTCATATCGCGGAAGCCCTTGGCAATATTGCGTGTAGTTCACTGCCGGTTAAAGATCAGGCTAAGGTGGAGTTCATTAATGCTGAGAACTAGAAGTAATAATGAAATAAGGAAGTTATGCACGTAATCTATCCATTTCTTTTTCATGAGTTAATCAGTTTTTCTCCAGGCTGATCTGAAACGTTGCTATCGTGATAAGCAGATCAAAGCACAAGCGTTAGATTGCCTCAATAATAATCATGGTGAACAATTTTTAACTTTGTTTTTTATAATGAACAGTATTAATTCAACTATGCTTACATAATTCTATTAAGATTCGTACTCGGTATTTTCTGCTGATGCTACTGCTGCAACAACTCCATTATCTTCATCAATGGATGACTTTGGTGATAATGGTTCAGGGATTCAAGAAAGAGGAAATATAAATGAATCGAAAGAAGTTGGATATGTTGGCTCTACTGAAAGTGACATTCAGATTCAAACCAATTCTTTTACCGTTCCTACAGTTGCTGTCAATTTAAATTCTGCTAATTATGTTGGAATCTGTGATGGATCTCTTGCAAAAATCTGTAGAAGCGATAAAGGTAGTTTTTACTTGTTTTTTAACTGAAGTTTCATTTTCTGCGAATTATTTTCAAGGGTATTCTGACTTATATACTATTTAGAGGGAAAATGGGAGATTATCGGAAGTATTAGGATATACATAACATGAAATAAAGCTGATAAAAATCAAAAAGTGAGTATTTCAGTTTTCTGTGTCAGGGATATTGCAGAGTTAGTGTTGTCGACAAGCGTAAGTTACCGATGAATGACCTCCACAGATTCAGGAAGAACAGGGTAGACAGGAAACAAATTTCATAGGAAGAAGACGTCATTCCAAAACTTGCAGATTTCGTTTTATTCCTTCTAGAAAATACACTGTAATTTGTTGGACATAAAACTTAAATAACTAGTGAGGAATTGTAAAATTGGATTGACAGTATGGAAGTGGAGGAATAGTGAATACTGCTTTTATTAGTTGATGGAGCATTTAAAATTATATTCAGTGAGCTTTACTTTATTTCATGTGAAAAGTTGCTATATTTTGCAACGCTTTAAACCATATTTTCTTCATTATTTTAACTATGTTAGGAGTATGTTTTATGCATATATAATTTGAAGCAATGTGTGACAATGAGCTTATGGGCAAAGAATTATGAATGTTGATGTTTTTATCGTAGCTATAAACTGAAATCTATCACAGAATCATCGGTTGAGATGTTATCCTTGTCATTCAATATTCAGCGCAGCACATGTTTAGAATATGCTTGACCATATTGCTAAATAAGATCTTTACTGGCTTTTTTATTTTTAATGTGAAATTCTGTCAAATTCTTTTTAACTTCTTTTAATCTAGAATATTTTCAGATCGTCCATATAGTTGGGCATTCCCGAAAACTTTCCACATGCCATTTGTCGAATTGTTAGCAATTTCGGAGCGCGCTGCTGATGTAGCTATTGCAAGTGGTAAAAAAATTGGTAAGTAATTTTTCTGCGCTGTATTTATTTTTATTTCTTCCATTTTATTCTTCTATTTTTTCGAAAAATAAAATTAAAGCCTGTGATTTTGAAGTTTTTTGCAGATAAATTTATTGCTTTCATCTACAGTGGTTATTTTACAGCTCCGATGTCTTTATTCCCACCGACCGCGGATGCTATTCTTTATCCAGATCAGTTAGCTCGTCGTTTGGGTAATTTGAAGAATATTTTGGCTGTTCATCATATCGAACGACTTAAAGGCTTCGTGCAGCGTGCGGCACAGAAAGGAGCAAAATTGTTCACTGATAAAGGCAAGTATTTCTGATTGTTTACTTATTACTTCATTTTGCATTTTTGAATGCGGTTAATGGTTGTTATTTGATATATCCTACGACAGTAAGTTATTCTTAGTGCAAAATAAAATGTAATAGATGAAAGTCAAAGGAGTATCAATTTAAAAAAAAAAAGAAAAATTTTTTTTTCAAGAAAAAAACAAATGAAATACAAAGACAGTTATTTTCTTGTTTCCAGAAGCAATGCAGCAGTACATAGCAATGGATGTGGATGCGCTGAATACTACAAATGATACTTCATGTAAAGTAGTAAGTGTTATGGAACCGGAAGAAATGGTTGAGATGACCGTGAAAGCTGGGAAAAAGCTGCTTTTGCAGGTATTTTGTATTAAATGTTATGTACTTATATATTAAATAGTTATATCTTTATCTTCGCAGATTTCAAGTTTAATTCTACTAATAATTATTAACAATATCAGAGATAATCTGCTAATGCTTAAAATATATGATGTTTAAAAGTATAATGCTGAAAAAGGTTTCATTTTAATTATTTATTTATTTCTTTTTATGAACAAAATCGCTTGTTTCATTTTAGCGAACTATTTACATTTAGCAGTTGTCTTTCAGAATTTGTTGTAGAAATTTTTTTGGTTGTATTTTTTATTGCGACGTTCGAAAATTTTCTAGGGCATTTCACTATTTGGTTTGGTTGGTGATCACGTCAACGAGGCATTTTTGTTATCAAATATTGGTCAGCTGTACCGTTTACAGTTACACTGCCAAATGTATTTTACTGATTTTAGTTTGCCATATGATCCGGAGAAGGAGAAAAACTGTGTTTTAGAGGTTAGTATGGATTTTTTTTTTTCTTTGGTTTGAATTTTCATGTAAAATTTTCATGTTCATGTTTCATGTAAATTCTTTGGTTTGAATTTTCATGTAAAAAGCAGAAAAAAATTTACTCCAAATATGTAGAGTTTTTTTGAGGCATATTTTTTCTTCATTTGCTATTTACTATTGTTTTCTCAATCATATTCTTTACTACTTTTATATGCAGGCAATCGAGCATTATCAGCGTGCATTGACTACCATTGCTGATTTCCGAAGTACTCAGTTCCCACTGTTTGAAAGTATTAGTAAGGATTTGGCTGGTATTTACCTCACCTATGCAGTAAGACTTCAAGACAATGTGCAACCGGGAATGATACAAAGTCATCCTGAAAAGGTGGTTCTGTATTTTTAATGCATAGTTGATTGAATGAAGGACACTGAAGGCTAATTTTAGTTAAAGCTATATGGATTCTTGACTTCCAAAATTCTGAAGCTGGGTTTCTAATCGTAGTTGAATTCACTGCTAAAAAAGTTTAAACGAGTTTTCACTTTTTCAGGTTGTATTGTTGTCAAAAATTATGACTGTATTTTGTAGATGACAGTTGAAATACATGAATTTTTGAATCGTGCTCAGTCAGCTTACACATTAATTCGTGATTCTGTGAGATGTTCTCCAAAAATGCATTATGAAGCTGACCGGTGTATTATTGAAATTTTGTTTCGATTCGGTAAATTATTTCAGCATGCAGCGGTAGGCTGTATTTATATTGTTGGTTTTGTTAATATTTCGCCGTAGCTGTTTAAATTTCTGGAACGACTTGCTGAATTATTATTTAGAATTATTTTTATTTACTGAATTATTTCTACAGTGCTATCAATAATAACTTTTTATGCAATAGGGTTGATCTATACCTGCCTTACACTTCTTTATCCATAAAAACAAGTAGCTGTCTTTTCCAGTCATTGATTTAACCGATGTTCCATTTGTTATTATTGAAAAAACAGATTTCATTCTTATAAAATGATATGGGGTATGCATACATTTTGTTCCAATTATTCCGCAATTTCATATTGATATGCGTTTGGTCCTTTTACCATTCATTTTTAAATATTATAACAGCGCACTTATTACACCAACATTTTTGACTATTACAGCAATACAGCACTGTTGGCTTACCTCGTAAGCTAAAAGATTATGAAAGACAAGCGATCGAGCATTATAGCGCATGTTTCAACTATGTGGTGGGGAAGATTACTAGAGCCACAAGAACAAAGTCATCCAAAAAGCATGATAAAATATGTCTTCGAGAGTGTATAACAGCCTTGAGAGCTGCTTTAGAGAGTACAAAATGTTCAGGTTCGTATTTTCAATTCAAAATTTTATTTTGAAGTGCAAAATATTTCTGAACTCCACTATTACAGTAGCAACACGTCATTATTGATTTCATGTTTTCAAAAAAAAGAAGGAATCTTTTATCAAACAGCGAAAATTTTAATTCTTATTTATCTAATATTTTTAGATGTTAATACACGTGTCAGTACTGCCGATGCACGCATCAAACGTTCACGTAGATCATTGGCTGCATTATTCGTAACAACTCAACCATTAATGCTGCACCTGGAAACCTCACTTTCTGCTTCAGAGGAAGAGAAAAAAGAATTTTTTGTTAGTATTTTCATTTTTTTTCTTTTTTTGTAAATGTGAATATTGATATTATATATTTTGGGTATATGAAGAATTTTTTTCTCTTGGTTTTAGCAGAAACTATTGAAATAACAATAAAAAATTGATATGTTACAACGGAATAAGGGAATGATTCCACTCAATTTTGGTTGATTTATACATGAATTTATAAACGCATGAAATATACATTATATCATTTGAACAATGTTTACACACACATTTGAACAATGTGGTTGAGCGATGGCAGGTAGTTAGGGCTGTACATTTTTCTTTCGGAAGAAAACATTCAATTTTGTCTAACCCTATCAACAGTTAAACTTTCGATGGTTGAGGTCGCATGGCTTTTAATCGCATAATTTTTTTGCTATTGTTTTTATTGATATTTCTGAGTACATATTCAGCACATTAAGGCTACTGAGATTTCATCATAAATTGCTCAATTTTGAACTCACTATTCTTCACATAATAGCATTATACATGAGACTATTCTTGAATCTCTTCACGTCATACTAACTGCAAAGAAATTCATCAGTTTTCAATTCATTTTTCTTTACAGGAAGATGATTCTTTAATGCATCTTAATAGTTACCGCGAAACATTACATCTCTTTGTGCAATATGTCCGAAACATTGTCAAGGATGCTCTGCAGGTATAGCGGATTTATTTGCCCGAAATTCTTTTTGTTTCATTTTTTTTTTAGTTTCTGCACCACCAATTTCTAATTTAAATTGCAGTGTTTGGTAGCTCGTTGTAATTCGAAAATGTTGGATCTTTGGAAGAACATTTATCGGTTGTTACTTCAAATTCAGATTACAGGTGAAGGTTGTAGTTTGCCACAGTGCCTGCTACAACTAGCTGATTGTGCAAAGCATGTAAATAGTTGTTTTGAAAAGTCTGAATTATAATGCATTTCCTTCCTGAGTTTCATTCACATTGCATAATTTTGTTTGTACTAATTATACACCAATGATAAAAGTGCAGTAGTGTAATCACTAAGTGTAGTCTTTCTGCAAAGAAAAGTAAGATTTTTTACTGTCTCTGTCACCATGACAACATTATTTCTATTTTCAAACATCAAATACTGCGAGATAGTTATGTGACAAGTTTGATGTTTCGAAACTTTACCGGAACTTCACCATAATTAATAGCTTCTTTTTTTCAGTTTACTTTGCCTGCTGGCGTTAATTTACTTGTTTTTCGACGCTACAATGTACCTTTTTAGGAAATTGGAGGGTATCGCATGCATCCTAATTCTTTATGTGTTGTTCGAGCCTACTATTGTTTAGTTTTTGCCTTTTTCCACGTTTTTTAGGTTCAATTGCAATAGTGAGACGCTCATAGTATTTAGTTACACTTTTGTTAAGATCTTAATTCCCTTACGTAATTTATTACTGGTACCTCATTTCTCTCTTTCTCTCCCTTTCACTGTAGAATTTTCTTTCACATTCTAGTTTGTTCGGAAGAAGCTAGCTGTTCAAGTGGTGTTTTTTCACTAGATGTTTTCGAAATATTTCTTCTCATTTTATCTATCGTATATTTCATTTTTCTTTCTCTCAAGTATATTACGGGCATAATACATTGAATGGAGTTCCCTTTACGCGTGTATGCATGTGTCTTTGAAATATGATCAAACGAGGCAGGAAACTGTTTATTTATTTTACTGTTGTTTACTTATGTATTTCTATGCATTTTTATCCACGAATGAAGTTGTTTCGATTCATTTACTAATTCAAATGTCATGATGATTTCGAGGTCTTGAGATTGATTAACTCAACTAGACAAAAAAAGAAAACAGGAAGGAAGAAATCATACAATAAAAGAAATGAGAGGAATGAAAGAAAAAGGAATGACACAATGTTTACCTCATATGAAATTTGATATGGTTAAGTATCATCTGATCAATGAAAGCATGTGACGGCAAGACGTTCATTGTAGTCAGGAATACTAGTGGACCGTTGAACAGGTGAAGCAAAACAGTATCTGTCCATCTACATTGCGTTCTTGTCCAGGGGAAAGGTAAACTTTGGCGGTGGTGCATTCATCATCACCAGGTGAGTTTCCTGACTAGAACGAACACCTTGCTGTCACATATTAACTTTCATTATATCCATTGCTCAATGGTACTTTCACTGAGCGATCAGTGTAGGCTCCTATGGATATCGAGAGTATTGTATTAACTATAAACCAGCAATCGATTTGTCAAACACAAATGTAAGGGTGCAGACGAATGAGGCCAAGCATAAGGCATTTACCGATGTAACATGCATCCTATATGCGGGGTCAGTGTGACCAATATGTACCCCACCCAGCCATACATACAAAGATACTTACTTGTTAGACATACATCAACCTGTCTTGCATAGGCCAAGAACTGGGCTATTGGCTCTCCAACTATCCTTGCACATTCAATAATGATGCACAAACATATTATCATACCTGGATAATATAACTCCATTCATCTAACATTGAAAGGTTTCTATGGCAGTGCTACAATATGTATCAACCACCTCTTCCCTTTCTCTTTTTTTATTAGGAAATTTGATATTTCATTCTGGAAATATCTCACTAATACAATCGGATTTCTAATCAATTAATTTCCATAAAAATTATTATAAAGAATTTTAGCGACTTACAGTTCCTTAGATAAAATGCTTAGCAGTGGTTAGCATTATGACTGCTTTTTACATATTTCATACTTAGTCCATGAATTTGTCATTTTCATGAAAGCCGAAGGGAATGAATAAGTCAGATGGAATCAGAAATTAGGGCTGATGGTAAACTTTATCATTTATAGATATCCTTTCTATTAAAGAATTAAAATTCCTTGGATAAAAGTCTTGATCAAATTCTCAAACTAGGATTTAATTAAGAAATAGTTGTTCTAACAAATTGCTGTGTTTAAGAGAATAAATGTAAAGCGCGAATAATAACTTTGATTCTGAATAGGTATGGAAGAGGAAGCTAATATGGAAATGATAACTAATCATTTAACTCTCAATATTCTGTTTCCTCATTTAAAAAAAAAAAAAAAAAAGTGCAAACTAAACTGACAAGTATTTCTTCACAATAAGGTACCTAAGTTATTACTTTATTACCTTTTTAATCTACAGATTAGATGTGCATCTTATTCTGATCAAAAGGCAAAAATCTTCCAGTACTCCTTAAATATACCAAGAGGGAAATTATATACCTATCTAAAGTATAATATATACCTATCTAAAGCATTTACTTACTTGTAGATTACTCATATATCTCACGTCTCTTTCATCTACTTCACATTACTCTAAATAATTATCGTTAAGTCATATGGAAGAATGCGTCACGTGAACTAGAATAAGAAATGCGCCACGTAAACTAAAGTATCTATCCTTCTTGTATCACCAGTAGAAAAAACTCTCAGCCATTTAGATTTTTTTTTGCAGGACTGAGACGATGACTTTTCAGAACGACTCATACACGGACGTAAGATGCGGCAACGGTAAAAGTCTGCGTAGTATTTCCCTAATTGTATGGGTTGTGTTAGGTCGGTTTTCGTTTATGGCAGAGTTGTAGTTGTTTTCTGAGCTGATACGGTTACGTGTGTTTCACGGACGTGTTTACTAGTCTTGTACGATAAGAAACGATGAAAGATTGGTGCATTTAAACTATAATTAATTATTAATATTAACTATGTTGGTCCCAAAAAAAAATCTAATTATTACTTAGATTACTGTGAAAGAAGCGGTTACGAATACTGAATTCTCACATTTCTTCAATACCATTGATACTACTAACTATATCATTGATAGTTACAGTACCGTTGTAACACACTGTACAGTGTTATGATGGTTTATTCTGCATTTCTATCTTAATTTTTAGACTCACAGATAAACCTGATGAAATTCCCAAATTAATATGATTTGAACTAATTTAATTCAACGTAATTTTTTCAAAATTTTCAGAACGATCATATCAGTTGCTGAACAAAAGTCAAGTTTTTTTACATAAATGTAATAGGATGATGAGTTTGAGAATAAGGATTATTCTATATCTACTTCAGAAAGCTAGATTTGTAGTGCTCTAGCATCATCATGTTTGGTTGCTGTGTAAATATCACATTGTACTGACTTGCTGTTGCCATGCTCACGATAATCCAAAGCACTGAAAGCCATTTCTTGGATATATGAGGTTCAGGCAGTACTGAATTTAGTTTGCAAAAGGTCGTATATAGTCCGTTGATAGCCTATGTCACCAAGTGATTTTCTGCGATATGTAGAGCTAACACTAAAAAAGGTAAACCTGAGATATAATTCATCGTTACAATAGCATCTCATGGATACTGTTATAGTGACCAAGGAATTCGCGCGAATTTGAAAAACTTTTAAGTGCCATCATATTATGACGTAGATTAAAATAATTCTTGCTCTCTTTCATGATACGATTAATAAATCTAACCCTGCAACATAATAGCTTTTACTTTTGATATTATACTTGTGAGATAATTTCAAAAGCTACAGAAGATTAACAATGATCAGTAGTTCGCTTTTGCTTTGTTTTTGAAGTACAAATTGTGGGCAAAATAGACGAATATAGAGAAGTGAAAGATTTTAATGATAAAAGTGCTACAAAAGATAAAAGTACTTTTACTTTTTACTTTTGTTATTACCTATGAGATAATTTCAAAGATTTGTAATTGCAGACTTTTTGTTCTTTTGCTGTAATTTCTTTCCATTGTATACGTGTTTCTACTCAAAACTAACGGAAAAAAGAGTATTGTTGGTATTAGTCTGCTCATTTCCTACTTTTTATCCTAATATTCACATTTAAACTGTATGTTTTATCAGTTAATATCATAATTTCCTTTTTGTTTAACCCTTTAATCTTTATTATTCCCTTGAGCATCTCAAAAGCCAGGACGGTCAGTAGCTTCATATGTGTTCTTCGTTGATAAGTACACTTTGTTGTATTGAAAATGATATTCGAAGCACCATGTGAAGCTGCTCTCTGACCTTGGATGAATTTCCGTAGCACTTTTGTTTATTATTATCTGCTCTACTTTGATTCATTAATTCAAAACAAAATTTATACTCTCTCTTGTACATATAACAGAAAGTTTTTTCTGGTTGATAACATGAAATAATATGAAATGAACAGTTATTTCAAATGTTTTCGAATTAGGCCTTTTTTAAAGTGGAACATTTCATCAAAACTTCATTTCATCGAACAGTCGAATACTGCCGGATCATTTTCATTTCTCGTATTGAACGTGCAAAATGGCATTTGATAATAAACATTTTCTTACTTTTTTTCTTCAATTTTTAAACTCTGAAAAAATTTGTATGTCAGTACTTGCTGTCATTCTTGCATTACGTATCTCCTCTTCATTATATTAACATTAGCTTCTGATCACGATCTCGATTATTGTTTTATATATAATATGGATTCAAATATAAATTTGTGCATTGTTATTCCTACACAACATAAATGATTATTAATGAATTTTCGAGAATTAATTCCTCTTCTCAGAAGATGAAAATATCATTGAGAGCAATGATGTAGTACATAAAAACATTCTAATATGAACAGTAACTGTTCTACTTCTTTGCTTTACTTTTACCTACAAATATTTACACTATGTAATTTAATTTGAATAAAAAAGTAGGAATCATTAGATACGGGCATGTTCTAATAACAATTTAATATCATTATCAGTTGATATCATTGATATGAAAAGAATACCATAATTGGCGGTAAATTAAGTTTCCTGCAGACCATATTAATGTTCATAGTTCTTCAACATATATTGTTATCATATTAGACACATGAACCAGGAGCATTACAAAATTTTCAACTTTTTATAGTATATCATAAGAGTTTCTTCTTCATACAATTAATGATTCAACTATCATTTTCAATTCAACCGTTTCTAACACCTGCACTTCTTCCACTGGGATTGCATCACTATGAGTTCACTCCTATCAACTAGCACTAATTTCGTCTATCTATCGATTTATGATTCGGTAACTCGCAAAATTTGCAACTTGTTACTACTATTCGTCATAAATGCTGCAATACGAGCTGATCGTCATATAACTGATATGGTTTATCGAAGATTTAACTCAAACTTACGACTCAGAAATGCTTCTTACATAGCACCAAATTGTTTATGACAACAATGAAATCTGTATAGTGATAATTGTTATCACATTTTGCTCTCGTTTTGAAGTTTCCAGTTAATGACATATCATTAGAGTTAAATGTATCCTCAGCCATCATCTTTATCTCTGTTATTATGTTTGGCTTGAGAAAATCTCATTTCCTATGAGATATAAACCATTAATGAATCATATCACTATTGAACATCACATTCAATATTAAAATATTCATCATATTCTTGATTTAATAAACTGCAGAAGAGTTACCTTAATGTATCAAGAACTAACATGTTCAAAATTCAATTCTACTACCTCAAGTTATAGAGTAAACTTCTTTTTAAAAGTAGCTGTAAAGTAGCTTATTCATTGAACAATAGCTAAAAAGTGGTATGGTAATGTTACTTATCATATAATCCCATATAATAATGCTAATCTTTGATTAATGTACCTTTGTACCTTTGGTTTATGCTAATCAAATGTAAATTTTCTAATTGTAAGAATTAGGAATAAAAACAAAGATAATTGTATTTTTGATCATTTTTAATATGATTGGTTGTTTTTAAAGAAGGTTAATGTGACAATAGCTAGAAGTGGTGATTTATTGCACATATGATGGCAGGTACTTCAGAAACAAATGCTACACAGACGTCAACATACGTATCGCAAAACATACCAGTGTTTGTATTTCACATCATTGATGAAATCGTAAAGGTTTTACGAGATGAGAAACTTTATGAGATGTAGTTTTATCCTCATCGGGATATCTCGAGAGCACATTTTTTAGAATCCTAATTACAGCTAGCTGAAAATGAAATACTGGAGTTTTAGCTAACAAACTTCATTAGTTACTCCTTCTTTCTATTATTCCTATTTATTCTCCTCTAACATCTTGAACTAACAGAAATGTTAGGACAGCAAAGTCATAACAATGATAATATGAGACTATCAATTCCAAAATATTTTCTCATAAATTTAAAATTCCTTAGCGATAGAATAAAGTGTTGACAGATGAGTGTATTTATAAGTAATACACATGAATTTCCAGCGGCCTTGCACGTCTTTATCCGAAATTAAAGAAACGAAATGCAACAGTACCATTGTTTAGAATTGGTGACATTGTCGCAGAACGATGGATTATAAGCGTATGCTTTTATTCGCAATAAAACTTTTAAATAGACCAAGCAAAGGTATCTATAAAAGTTTCAATAGTTCAACTGAGTGGCTAGTTAAGTGATGCAAAAAATGAATGAATATCGATGTTACTTTTAAGATATCATTAAGTACCGTCATTTAATTCTGCTAGTTAAAATTTTTGATTGTCAAAGTTGTTTGATCATCATTAGTAGAAAGCAAACATTGCATGCAAGTTTTGAATAACAAAAAGACATTTCAAAATGATAATAAAATTGTAATGATTCATAGAAAATATTTGCATATTATTTATAGGGTCTCATAGGTCGTGGTGGATATGGACAAATTTTTTTTGCTGTAGATAATAGAGGTGAAGAATTGAAAGGAGTAGCCATAAAAACAGAACCAAAAATGAGAAGAGGAAAAGTGGCTAAACGAATGATTTTAGAACAAAAAGTACTTCTTTTTTTCAAAGAACTTTTTTCTTTCTCTATTCTCCTCTTTTTTTTTTCTGGTATCTAAGTCGTTAACAATGTTCATGTATTATTTTAAGTATTTAAGTTAGTGATTATAATCCTGTATTATTCTTTTTTTTTTTTTTTCTTTTTTTTGCAAATTACTTTTCATTACTTCATTACTTTTAATAGGTATTACTTCGATTACAAGGAAGAGCACATGTTCCACTTCTTTGGGGAAGTGGCTCCACAAACAGAGTTAATTATATAATTATGCAATTATTATCACAGAATGTAAATGATATTAGAAAGCAAAGTCCGCTTAAACGTTTTTCACGTTCAACTATGGCTCGCATTGTCATACAGGTTTAAGCATATATTCGTTAAGTGATTTAACGTATATACTTCCATTCAGGTTGTTACTATCTGTAATTATTCTACAAGAATTCTTTAAATTCAATATCCCTTTTCCATCAATTGATAAGTGAATAATGAAGGACCATGAAAGGTAATAAATTGTTTATAAACATTTACTTGGCTAATTAATGTGTTATAATTAGTCTGAAACTGGCATGTAGTTGCTATTTAAGTTGCAAATATTTGCAGCTTTTTAAAATAAAATCACCACATGTAACTATTAGCTAATATTAAATTGAAAAGGCACATTTATATTTGTTATCCTGATTTTATAGTTCAAACAACAAAAGAACATCTCCATAAACAATTTGTTTCATCCGCTGCAGGGAATAGCAGGATTGCGAGATATCCATCAGATCGGTTATATTCATCGAGATATTAAACCACATAATTTGTGCTTTGGACTCTCTGAAGTCGTAAGTTTAGGATCATCCATAAAGAAACACACTAAAAAATTGAATGAGACAAATGAAAACATAACAGATAATAAAAAGAAATCTTTAATTAGATTATTTAATCATTAACTCAACTAAAATTCATTTATTTTGTACTCTTAACATCTTGAGTTATTTGCTAAGACAAAATCATTTTGATCTTTAATTTGTACCCTTTCTGATAAACTTTTTTTTTTTTCACTTCAATCTTGCGTTTATAATGAAACTACTAATTTATGAATAAAATTACATCAGAGTAAGCATCGCTTAGTGATTGTTGATTATGGATTAGCGCGACGTTTCCGCTATCCAAATGGTCGAGTGCGACCACTAAGACGAGATTGCGGATTTCGTGGTACCAAACTTTATGCATCCCTACGGGCACATGAAGGAAAGGATCTTGGTGAGAAGTCATCGCTTCTAATTTTATCACTGATACATTGGTTTATTTAACAAGGAAAGGTTCAAATTTCAATTCGTTTCATTGAAGGACCATCAGATGACTTAGTAAGTTTGTTTTATGCGGCAATTGAAATGGTTCTTGGTTATGTACCGTGGAAAGAAGCAAGAAAAAGTAAAGAAGTGAAAGCATTGAAAGAAGCTGTTGTAAGTTTGAATTGAGAGAAAAAAAATTTCTTTCATATCGACTAGAATTGAAAACTGCAATGTTTTTTTTATTTTTCTTATATGATGGAAATTCGAGAAAAGAATATCATTTTGAAAAGTAAATAGTTTTAAGTAGATGAAAATATGTTTAAAATTTCTCAGCGATAAAAATTTCAGCAAGACATTTTTATGATTGCTTATTCTATGCTATTACCTAGTAGCAATGTAATTAATTTTAATTTACACTAATTCAATTAGATCATTTTGTAATCATTTAATATTTTCTTTCAGCAAGAAGATGATTTTCAAAGTGTAACAGAGAAGGTTGGTGAAGGTTTACGTGAATTTGGACGTGCTGTACATTCAATGGATGCAAATGATGAACCAAACTATATTGCTCTTCAGAATATAATGCTAGTGAATTTTTCTTTTTAATAATATAACTTTTTAGATGTACTTTTAAAGAGACATTCGATAGTCGTATAAACCTAGCAGAAATGGCTATAAAATGAGCTTCAAATTATCTGCACAAACTGTATAGCTTTTTTTATTCGTCAAAGTTCAAAGGTTAATCAAAAATTAGGTTAGATTACATTAGGTTGGTTTTCTTCATTCATCAATGTATTAATGATAAAATTTGATTTGTAATTTCAAATTTATTGTAAGATTCAGCGCAAAAAGTTACGTGCGTGTTTCTGGTCTAAATAGCACGTTACATGTCATCAGCTACCTCATCAAGTACGCAAAAACTCCCATATACAGTTAAAACTTTATGTATATTTTACAAGATTCATTCAAGAATATGATGTACTATAGGATTTTACGAATAATCGACAGTTAAGCGATCCATATGACTGGGATAATGATTTTGAAGAGGTATTTCGTGAAAATGACATCAATCAAATGATCTTCAAAAATGAATGACACATTCGACTTCATCACTCAGTGCTGTCAATGAGAATGATACCACGAGATAGTGGTGACAGTGAAAAAAATATGATTTTTTTATAAAGCTGTTGGAAAAATAAGTAATAAATTTAATTTTTTATTGGCGTTACATTCAAAGGATTACTCACCACTCTTTCTCTTTCCTTTACCTTCTTATGCTTTTCCTAACAGCATTGATCATTGTTATCTAAAATGACCATCATATGCTCTTACGTAAATAAAACCGTACTAACTGAAAGCTATAACGAAAATATGGACCACGACATTAGCGCATCTCGCGCATACGGTTAATTACAATTACAAGGCATTGTACAAGAAAAATGGAGAAGCGAGAAGAATATGGGAAAAGTATAAGTATTGTGGAGAAGAGAAACTAGCGCGTGGCGAAGTGTGCTTCGCATGCTTAATATTAACATGGACATTGTGCAACGTTAACGGACCACTGTGTTCTTTGAGAGTATTTTGCTGAAGTATGGTGTGATTGTCTTTGAGTTTTTGATGAATTAATTAATTTGTGAAATAAACCAAAGAGGCTTGTAAGGGAAAGTGTGACGTTAGTGTAATGTACGACGCTGTCTGAAAAAAATTGTTTCTTTGCTTCTTTCAGTTTGTTTTTGCGTTTACAAAAGAGTGAGGTCAAGTTTCCTCGTGAAACTAAGAGGAAGTACTGAATGCGAGCAATTTGACATTTGAGTTAGAGTGGAAGGATTACTCATATATAAATTTGACTTCTAGCTTAACTGTACATGGCCCGTTCGAGGAGCACAAGACGATCTCGGTAGATCGCATAATTATAATTGTGCCTATCTCACGTAACATTGGGCATCCCGTAACACTGGGTACTAAGTCTAGTCGTGTAAACATTGCATTCTAATGAGAGCTGTCATTTTATGAGGTTGAGAACGCCTGAGCTATTGGCGTTCATTTTTGTTTCGTCGCGCTAAAAGTATATGCTCATCCGTTTGACATTTGGTTTATACCTAAACCGCAAGTAAAATAAAAGATTTATGTAGTTTCGTAATTGTAGAAATTAAGGTGCAAAAATCAGTTGCGTACACTATATTTAATTGCTATTAGAAAACATGCCTTTAATTATTTTAGATTTAAAATGTTTGCTGACTTAAAATTATTTTTAATATGGTTGTTGTTTTCAGGAATAATTATAATAAATGACTGGTGGTAGTGCAGAAGTTTCGAAGAAAATTCGAGTAGGTTTTCTTCTCAGATTATGACTAAACATTTTATTTTCTTCAGAATATTCCACTGAATAAAATCTGCTTTACTTGAGAAGATTTATGCTTAACTATTTCACTTAAGATTTGTTTGTATGCTGACTTAGGTTTCATAAAAAATGTTATTGTTTATAGTACGAACTGTTGTGTAATGTTCAATTGTTTTGGGAACCGAAGGTTTTTTTTTTTATTTAATAAAGTTAATACCAAAATATGGGACAACTACTGTGTTGTAAAAATTAAATATTTTTCAGGCTGCCATAAAAGCTAAACTAGAAGAGCTAGGTGTATATGTAGATGAAGAATTACCGGACTATATAATGGTGATGATTGCAAATAAAAAGGAGAAAACACAAATGAAGGAAGATTTGTTACTTTTTCTGGGCAAAAATTCGGAAAGATTTGTAGAATGGTTGGTTTTGTGTCGTTTATGTTCTTCTAGCCGTTGATGCTCCTTAATATGTGTTTGATATGTTTATATTATGAAATGCATATCACTTTTATTAATAGAAGAATGTACAGAATAGAATAGCATTCAGTCATAATTCTTATTAAATATAAATTTCTAGTTTTCGTCAAAACAATTGTATTTTCAGGCTTTTTGACATTTTTGAACGTTTACAATCTGCCACTGTTCTGAATGCTGTCCAAGAATCAAGTGATAGCAAACGGAAAGATAACGAAAGCAGCGGTCATCGAAGAGAGCTGGAAAATTCCAATAAACGAGAAAAAGAAAAAGCAGTGGACAGAAAGAAGAAACAAGAAAGTTCCAGTTCGAGAAATACATTAAAGGAACATGAAAAAAAAGAAAAAGAAAAGCAGCGTGGAATGAAAGAATCTGAAAGAAAAGAAAACGAAAAGCGCACTGGCGTTGCAAAGGTAGTAAAGTCGAAGGTATAACCTTTATATTTTGATATTTTTGCATGTTATTTATGTATTTCGTGATCTATTTTGTATTTTGTAATCCTATCTCCTCAGTCTTTTTATTTTCTTTTCTGAAATTTTCCTTTATGAAAACCATCATTTGCAACTTGCATTTCTAATTTTAAATCTGATGACAACGAGAATTGAAATATTCTTTTTGATTACATGTTGCATTATTTCATTGGATCATAGTTGAATAAATCGATTCATAGAGAATTGCATCAAATTGACTGCTTCTTTACCATTCATTTTCTGCAAATTTCAGCCATCACGTAAAGCAAAGTCGCCTGTTTTGTCTCTAGAAAAGACACACCGTCGGAAAAAACCGGAAAGTCCAGAACGTCGAGGTATTATTTTCATAACCTTTCTATCTCAATAATTTTTAACTGCTTTTTGCTTTCATAAACTAGATATCGTTTCCTCAAAATAAGCACTGTTGAAAATATTGCAGCGGCTGCACGTTTTGGAATGAGACGGGATGATAGTGCAAGAAATGACCGAAAATTTGTGCAAATGAGATCAGATGGTAGGGTAGAAAGGGAGGCAAGAGAAGATGCAAAATATTCTAAAAGAAGAAATGATGAAGAGGAGAAACGAGCCAGAAAGGATATTTACGCAAGGTTCCACCTCTTTTTATTTTCCCTTATTCGCTGCTTATTAGTTCTGTTGTGTAATTCATGTGTAATAGTGTTTTCACTTAATATGGGAAATTGCACCATGTCGAGTATGTCTTTGAAAAGATTTCGAACGATACTGAAATCTACTTAGAAATACATTTTATCAAATCTTTTTTTCGTATTTTCTGAAAAGAAGTTAGGTTGAAATTCTATCCATCAAAATTTCACTTCTTGTCGATATGTTTACTCAGTTGCTATTGCTGTACTTATTTATTTGTGTCTAATAAATTCAAGGATATGTTTTCAGCAAAATATCAGGTGATTCGGGACAAGATGCTTTACTACAACGAAAGCGAAAGGCGCATTCCCGTTCACCAATATTAGAGGAAGATATTGACGAAGAGGAACGGATTGCTGCGGAAGAGTCGGCACGCATTTTGAGAAGCAAAAAGGTTGAATATGTTTTAATCGCAGATATAATCGATAAACATAGATAAACATAAATGAGATAAATATGGCTATCATGCAGTGGCAGGCATTACCATTATGCAGTGCTTGTCATTTATATGTGTTGTATGGTCGAGTATTCTTATGAAGTATATTAGCGAATAGTCGAATATTTGCTTATCCATCAAATATATTTTTGTGGGAATATCTTGCAGCAAATGTTATATATTACCAGAGGGATTGTTTCGTACATTTGGTTAGGAATTAAAGTTTTCAACGGTTACAGGTACAGTCATCTGCCGTCGTTAAATTACCACCAGAGCCAACTGTAAAATCGGTGTCTTCTCAAGTGGTTGTGAAGCGAAAACTTCCTGAAAAAGAAGTAACGACGTAAGTCAACCTTACAACTGTTTGAAACGTTTTGATTATAAGCATGTGCTTTTGTGTCAACTCCTAATTTTCAAAATACTCATATTGCATTGTTTTAACTCATTTGCTGTTAGGATAAGCCTTTGTTAAGTGCCTCCAGTTTTCGTTTAAAATTTGAAAATGGTTAGGAGAAAATCTTCCTCATATCAGTGTCATTTTTCAAACCACAAAATCTGTTGTTCTTTCTTCATGGTAAGTGAAATTCGTTGCAGTAAACAATCTCGTGGCGTGAAGTCGCTATTCTTGAAAGCGATTAAGGAAGCAGGCGAAACAACAAGAGCAGCAAGCCAAATTGCTGGTTATGGTAGTGGATTAACAGTGAAAAAGGAGAAAGAAATAGCTGATCATGGAAAACACAAACAGAACGATGTGAATGTTATGGATGAGGAAGAGGTTGGTAGTAAATTTATTTATTGCTTTTTCGAATAACTCATCATTTTACTGTGGTAATGTTTCCTTTATTTATATCCTTTGCTGGATTTTCACTGCTTCCGAATCTTAACAATAACTGCATGGTGATTGCTAAATTTCCTATCGTATATTTATATACATATGTTAGGGTATTGAAATCGATGTTTATGATGATATTGGTGATGCTTTGGTTGTTATGCCGGATGAATCAAATAGTGGAAATGGTAACAGTCGTTCAATCGTGCAGACAGTTGATGAATCCAATTTAAGTGAACCAGAAGTAGAAAGAAAACGCATGCGAACATATGGGTGTGTTTGATAGTTTTATTTTATTTCTTAGAATATTCCAGCTCTTGATATATGTTCGTGTTGGAGATATTATCAGTCAATTTTTGGTGTTAGTCTGCAGCTGCTAAGTATTTGTGTGGTCAGAGTTTTTGTTATTAATGTCAAAGTCTTTGTTAGTGTCAGAGTCTTTTTTGATAATAAGCATAAACGCTGTTCAGACCAAGCTCTATAGAAGAACCAAAGTTTTACATAACTTTAAAAGGCGATTCAATCAGCGGTTTGGCTAAACGACTTACAAAAATTGGTGAAGGAAATGTTGAAATTGTTAGCAAAAAGAAGGCAAAAAGGCGTAAGAATGAAACTAATCCAAGTAAGTTTTAAGATCTTTTCACACCTTCTTTCGGTTGTCTGGTTCCTTAATTCAGCTAAATATGCAAACAACTTATTGGCTCGTTATTGTATTACAGTTTTGGCACATCTGAATTTGTCACAACCAAGACAGGTAAAAAGAGAAGCGTCTCATGAGAAATCAACTGCCAACAGTACGGAAAATGAAACATGCGTGGTAGCACATTCTAATGAGGTAAAAGAATTGAAGTTGTTAAGAGAAATGAGAGCAGCGTAAATTACACACAGACTGGATAACTTTTTTTTGCATTTTTCCGCGTATTTGAAGATTTTCTTTGTCGTTCTTAAAGCTCCAAATTTTATTAAAAATTTTATATAAAATAAGATGCTGAGTGATACTAAGCATCGAACATGTGTGTAATAAAGTTTTTTTCAGGTTTCCAATAATTCGAAACCTTTACCCGCTTGGGATTTGCAAATACAGCTGCCAGAAGATGATACCAGTGATGACGGTGATGACGATGGTGATGACGGTCTGTTTTTTATCCTTAGTAAATTCATATAACTGGATCGGAATTAACGTATGATATAAATTAAATAACTGCATCTTCGCTGAATATTATGTCGCCCAAAATTATTAAACTGCTAATTCTTTTGATATTTATGAAAACATTTGTATTGCTATCAAAACATAAATTGCAATTTGATGAAAGATAATTTGTTTGTGTAGCTCTTTGTTTTGCATTCATTGTTGGATGATGTATGCATTTTTTATTTGAGCTTACGAAGACGATTGACCACTCGTTTGAACAAACATAGCTAATTTTGAAACTCGTATAGGTTAAATGTATTCATAAAAGAATTTTGGGAATATTTTTACAAAACTTAAACAAGCACATAATATATTTATCTTTTTTCAGAAGCGCAAATTGATGCTGTTCTTGCCAGTGCTCAGACTGTTGGTCAAGGTTTTGATGAGGTTAGAAGTTGATGATCAAATATTGTTGGTATTCTATAAAATCTCTTTTTACACTTTGTAAAGTTAAGATATTTGAATGGAAAGTTGGCGAGACTTGAAATATTTGAGACTCCTTGGAAATGTCTTTACCTACCTTAACTTAGGAATGGATGTCACATAGGTGACGGCTTATCATTATTTAAAACTTCTATCATACAGTGATTTCCGGTCTCGAATCTTAAAAGCTTTTTAATATTACCATATTTAAGGTACCCCCAACTCCCATCCTGTCGAGTCCGCTATTTCGTCCACAGACCCCTCCACCTCAACTTTTCTACAGTACACCACGACAAAATGTATTTGCTGCTAGTAGACAGGTATCTTATTTGGCTACACATTTATTATTTCTAATCGAAAAAAGTTTCAGGTCTTTTCCTATTCAAACAACTAAATTTTTCCTGCACAATTTTGAGAATTTAAAGATGACCCAAATATATGATGTTATGTAAGATGATGTGTGACATTTCTGTTTTGTAGTTCTGCCACGATCTGAAGATATATTGTGTTGAAGTAAACAGGTGAGTCTACTAATTGGTTGCTCGTTTAGATATCAAATTCATCAGTAGTTTCATCAACAGGAGGTGAAAAGCTAATGGAACGTTGTAAATTTTGGCCGAATTGTTCTCTTCAAAATTGTGTATATATTCACCCGAGTAAGCCTTGCAGGTAATTATTTGAAGGCTTATTGTGTTACAACTATTTTAGCTGTTTTACTTATTTGATTTCAGCATACTTAACTGTGTTACCTATTGTTTTAAACGTTTGTAATCGATTTAGCAAGTCGATTTTTTCACTGGTAATAGTTCCATTAGTGGCACTGATAGGTGCAATCAGAATGCTAAGGTCATTTAATCTCGAAATGCTAAGGTTCATTTTATGCAGCATGCATTAATGTACATAATGTAACACTAGAAAATTTTGGAAAGCAATCACTCTAAACTTTAAAAGTTAAAAAAAAAAAAAAAAAAAAACGAATTACACGCAATAGTATTTGTTAAATTAGTTCGGATGTTTATCAAATTAGCTTCCTTTCACAGCAATTTTCCGAACTGTTCGTTTGGTGACCGATGTATTTACATCCATCCGCAATGCAAATTCGGTCGTATGTGTTTGAATCCCAACTGTGTTTATGCACACATTTTGAAGTCAACGTATGTTTTTTAATTGCAGATATTATCTTCCTAATAAACTCTGAGTGCTTTGAAGCTTCCGTTTTTAAATAAAGATTGATTGAGCGTCTCATGCATGAGTATGAAGCGCTTATGCGAACTTTTTTATGCATAAGATTTATGTACATCTTAGCTCATCGGTTTTCATTATTTTTTAAAAAATATCTTTTAATTCATACATCACAAAATCATAAAATCTGAAATTTCAGGACAGCAGCAACAGCAGCTCCATCAGCTGAGGTGGGAGCACAGGCATCGCTAAGCTCAGTTACGTCTGCTGCTTCGTACGCTTTGAACATTCCATGTAAATATGGTGGGAAATGCGCGAATGCCAGCTGTAGCTTCAAACATCCTAAGGTTATTCATTTTATTATTTTAAGATTACAGTTATTTTTAAAACAAGTAATTCATGTCAGTAAGTATAGCTCGAAGTCTACGTTTTATCGTTTTAATAGGCTCCCTAAAATTTATATTCTTTACGTAATACAAAGAGTAGTGTTTTTCAGCTTTGTCGTTTTGGCGATCGTTGTACGAATCGTGCCTGTTATTTCTGGCATCCTAAGGCTAGTGCTGTTGCACTTCTTAGTGCAACAGGTGCGAAATATCGGTGGAAAGCACCAAGCGTAGCGGCAACATGAACTGACATAAGTAATTATAAAATTGGTGATTGGAGCCTGTGCTAATATAGTTTACTTCATTATTGTGACTTAAATCGATTGTGCACTATTATGGGAAATCCAGACAATTTAATTTGTCTGGAATTGCCAAACTCCTAGCACCAGTGTCTTTTCCAACTTCTGAAAAGTCATTAGTGAATTATCTCTAAAATTTGCTTCTTGCTTACTAAACTTTGCATTATTATTCATGATGGAAGGGAGTGGTGTATTTTGTTGTTTTCGAAAGTTTTCTTTTCATAATTCTAAGTCATATTTTCATGTGATTTTAAACGATTAGTTTCCCATAGAAGATTGTATCAAATTACATCTCCTTCCATCACCAAGAATCTCCATTAAAACTTTTCCGCATATCTCTACCTTTTCATTACTTATGCCTCCTACACACACGTCATTATTGATTCAAATATAATTTACAACCATTCATCCAATCAATCTTTTTCAAAATTTTATTGATATAGAATTAGGAGTCCTGAAGACTTTTCTGTCATATGATATCGGTGCACAATGCGTCATTATTTTTACAATTTAAAATGCGCAAAAGGTCAATTATTCATTAATAGGTAGTTACGTCGACTCAATCTTTTCGGTTTTTTAATTGTATTGTCTTGTACTTTTTTAAGTTTTATTGTCATTTAGCCTAGACATTTATTTGATATATACACAGGCAGCAATGTATGCCTAAAGTGTTATGGACCGAGAAACTAATAAAATAATAAGTAATAGAGAGATATATATTGGGGAGATTTATTTATTCGAGCCGTCTATCAGACTGTGAGCTTACCTCTGCTCTGAATGGCACGATTTTGTTATTAATTCGTCCTTTAGTAATTTCTGTAGTGATCTATTCTGTTTGATTTTCGTCTGAATATTTTGAAATAAAAATTTCACTTGAAATTCGTAACACTATTCCACTTTCAAATTCCTGTAGACTGTTGTTAGGATGCAGCTTCTGGTTTAACAATTTTATCAACTTACTGTTGGTGATTGCCTGCTATTCTTGATATTTGATGCAAGAAATTCTGCATCAACTGCATTTGACTTTTTCATCCGAAACGCAAGGAAATATCGTTCTGGCAGGTAATATATGAAGTCACAAGCTCTGTACCAGTTTTTTTTTTTTTGTAAAGTTCTAGAAGTACAAGCATCATTGCTGTCATCATCACTATAACTGTTGGAAGCTGTTCTTCAAGATCTAGAATGTATATGCAATGATTCTTCGAACTGACCTGTGACCTTGCAGCACACGACTCATTTTATGTGCATACAATAGAAGAAGCTGGCACTTTATCATTTGTTACTACTTAATTATTCATAAGATAGGAGGTGCTGGTGATTCATTGCACTGCTAGCTTTCATCTTCGTCCAAGTCCTTATCATTTGTGATTTGTGATCCCGGTAACATCTGTATCCTCATTGGTGTTTGTTTTGGATGTCGAATTTGTATCTGCGGCTTTTGACGATCCATGTCAAGCGATCGATTAATGTATTGACCACGATTAAGACTGCAGTAAACATTTTACTTTTAATCTAATTACTTTCCAAGCGCATATTGTATTTGTATGGTACTAAATAAGTTACTCATTTACTTTCGATCATTAGTGTGTATACATTAGGATGTATGCAGGCCCTTGGCTCAGAATCAGTGAAAGTGCAGTAGAATAAACAGCTAGGATATGATAGAGAATAGCCTAGCATAAGAAGTCTAATGAATTGCTTCATCAATAATTACATAAAGTAATTTTTATGTAACAGGTGAAAAAATATGAGATGAAGATTGAAGATCGATGAAAAAAAAAAAAAAAAAAGCCCCGATTTAGTTTTTGAACTTGAATAGGATTTCAAATGATACTTCATTTCTACCATTCTATTATTCAATCGTAAATTTAATGATACTTATAGATACGTATATTTGATTAAAGCAAGCACTCAAAAGAAAAAACAAGATTATCTAACCGAAGCGATGCTTGTGTTCGATGTGAGAATAACTTAGAGAATCGCTGATGAGCAAATAAATGTTGATATCTTTTCTGTTTATCACCACCATTACCATCATTTTGCTGTTTCCGTCGTATCGACTGAGTTCTAAAATACTAAAAGCGTGCCATTGATATTTTATATTATCTACTCAAAATACAACAAAACAATACAATATGAATAAGACATTACGAATAAGCCAATATCACTTTGAATCTTTGACAGTTTGTTCAGTTCAAATGAGTTCGCTAGATGATAAGAACAATTTATAGTACATCTGTAAGTGAAATTAAACACATTAAATGAATCTATAACTGAGAAAACCTAATGATAAGTAACTTCATTAGTTATAAGGGAAATAATTTGTTAGAGTGGAAATGAGAATACTCATTCATTAACAAATGACAAATATTTTTCTTTCTCCTCATAATACTTTCCTTCTCTAACTATTTCAAACAAAATGAGAATTACTAATGTGAAAACAGGACGACAAATAATATCTCTCCTATTAGGAGACATACTAATGGTAGAAAAGGAAGCAAATTAATTATCAGATGATCAGATCAGCAGTAAGTCAGAGTAACGTAACTCTTGATAGAAGTGTGACTGATAAGCGTACATATCAATATCAGTTTTGTGAGGAATTCAAGATACTAGTAAATGAATTGCACTGATCGATTAACTAGTTTACTGATTAAGTGATTCAGATTGCTTGATTTCAAGTATAGAGTAGAGATTGGAGAAAATTTGCACACATAGAATATTGTATTAAGAATTGAATTGTTTTAAAAGATTATTCAAATTAAACAAAACATACCGAGCAAAGTTGATAAGTGAAGAATCTTCATCGATCAGATTTTCCGGATGCTGCGATAAATAACGTTTCCAGAGTGCATCCGTAATTTCAGTACAAAACATTACACCAGCATGGAGTGCTATCATTCGTAACACTAATACACCATCCACCTGTACTTAATTATATTATAGGATATATCGAGAGTAGAATTCTCAAGAATAAAAACTAGAAAAAAGTTCAAGGAAGAAAAAGGTGCAATAAAAAAAAAAAAAAATCAAATAAAGTTACTTTGAGGTACGCCTTTAAGAAATGTTCCACTTGGTTCCGCTTTTCCTTTCGAAATAATTCAGGTCGATCAGGATCAGTTGTTAATTCCAGATGACGTAAAACAAAACGAACACGGTCCCTACAAAGCGATATATCTTCTAAAAAGCATTAAGTATATTAAACAGATTTTAGCTTTTTTCTTGCACAGTGCAAGAATCACAAATGGAAATCATAGACTAAGCAAAAAGTATAAGTGATAAATAATTTATGCAAATACTATGCAAAGAATTCTTTTTTTAGTTTTTCCTTTTTCCTTCTTATCAGATAAATATGACAGAAAGTTACCTTATTGATAGTAAAATATAGCATAGGGATTAATAAATGAGCGTAATTTGAATTTATTTTTCATCATAACATAGTCATATATAAGAATAATCTAAGCATAAATTTAAACCTGGTCGAAGTTTGAAGCATTAAACTAAACTTCAATTAAAGACTAATCCTAAATTTTTCCTTTTAAAAAGAAAAAATAATTAAGTTTGAACACTAGAAGAAAGTTTAAATTAAGTTAGACTAGATTTTAATGGTTTTTTCAATGTAAAAAAACTTTTTTTTTTTAATATAAAATTTACTCATTTCTTGTTCTAATTTTCCAAATTAATTTTTGCATTTATTTCATTTTAAAAGTAAAGAAGGAAAATTTACTTATGAAATAAGGAAATGCTGAACCAATAAGCAGCATCCAATGTGGCAGCAACAAATAACATGGAAAACCATAACCAAATTAAAATGAATATTTTCTCGTTGAATATATTTATAACAAGAACACACTACAAATATTTCATCCTCTTCCATTTCATCATAAATTTGTCCTCGTATTTACATTCATCATTTCAATCTAACTAATTTTATTTATTTCCATAAAAATTGAATCACACAATTCTGGTACTACAAAAAAAAAAAGTGAAGAAAATATGACACAATTTGACACTATTCCTTACAACTTTTTTTATTCTATCGTTTTCTTATATTTTTTTTTCTGTTATTTTTTTCCACTTTTAATTTCACAATATAACCTATTCTGTCATTTCATCACTAACTCTAAAGAATTCTATTAAAATCAGTATTGCATATAAATTTATTTCATCCAACTATCCATCTAACATGACACTAATCAACTTAGCTATTCAATCTGCTTAAGAATCTATAAGTAAAAACATGGGATATAAATGAAAACACCACTAACTCTAATGAAATTCCCAAATAATTCCCTAAGAGTATAAAAAATGAAAATTACATGCCTGTACAGAGTGCCGCTGATTATTTCCAAGAACACGTACTTCAAAGTCGCACTGAAATTAAATTTCTAAATTAACTTTTCCAAAAACATTTTTAACAAAGAAGAAATATTTAAATAGAATCAATGTGATGAACGTTTATGTGAACTGATGATTAGTCTAAATGATATTACTTAATTTATCTCATTTTTTGTCTATTAGCTAATTTATATAGAAACTAACAATTTTAATTGTCGCATTATTAGGGGAACAAACAATATTAGATATAAAAACAGAATGAACTTTTCCAAATTTTGCAGAAACATTAGGAAGAGAAGGAAAGATGGAGAAGAGTCTAAACATTTATATCAATTACACAACTTTTCTGGTCATTTCAATTAGATGAAAGATCATAGATATGCAAAGTAATCTTTCTGGTTTTTTTTAAAATGAAAACAATGAGTAGATAAAAGAACTGACCAAAGTAACTCGTGGAAAATTACCAGATTCCATCCAAGATCTGCCAAATAAGAGGTCACGCAATACACCGAGACCATAAATGGAATATTCGTCGGTCTCCAAAAATTTATTTACTAATATCAAATTGGTTAATATATTGCTTACATACATCACTTTTGTAGCCTGCA